CTTTCTCAGAATAAAAACGTAAATGCAAGACAATCCAGAAAGCAATCAACAGAGCGGCACACCCATTACCTCCACCAAGGTAGACCAGTCCAACAAACTTATCAATGGAACATGACCTACTTTGTTTGGGGAGACTAACGTTTATTTAAATCAAAACATCATTAATTTCAAGTGACACAGAGGTCATGTTGTTACAGTCTTTATGGCTAGTTCTAAACAAATCAGAACTAACAGTAACTGACCAACGAAAGAGACAAACAAAATTTTACATTTGTGCAGACATATGAAGCTGTAAATACTTCTACTGACCGGAAATCGAAAGGAAGCTTGAGCATTACGTCTTTCATTTGACACGACAAAACCAGGATAAACAGATGTCCTAAAAGCATGTATTTGAACAACGACTAATTTCATTCAAAGAAAACAAAAATTATTTTCTATAAAACCATTACCTGGCCCAAAGACATACCTTTTGTTTTTAACAGTAGAGATGTTTTTGTTATATCATGTCACCCACTTAACCCCTACAAGCAAATACCTGGACCCTATTTTATTTGGTCCCCATTGTTGACAGGGCCCTTAAATGAAGCAAAGAATAGTAACACAAACTGTGTCATAAGAGACAAACAAGAATAGTTGACCTTAACTGTACCCCAACCAGTTTATAAAAACAAATTCAGCCAGCCAAAATGAAAAGAGCTCTCACCATCAGAGAGGAGTAGAATTATAGATATACATGAATGATTTGGGGGGGGGGACGACAAGCAACTTATGAATGAAGAAACTACTTTCAAACTGGATGGAACTTCAAGAGATGGCCTGATACTTCTGACTTCAACACCTTTCTTAGATTAATAATTTATCAAAGCAATCTTTCCCATTGTAAATTTGAACAATGAAGACAAACAATACTGTACAATTTATGCCTGGCATATTTTGCTGTATCTTGTAGTAAAGTGCATACTGCAGTAAACTACTGTTGTAGCACGCATGTGAGGAGATAGAGTAAAATACATACTGCAGTAAACTACTGTAGCACGCACGTGAGGAGATGGAGTAAAATACATACTGCAGTAAACTACTGTAGCACGCACGTGAGGAGATGGAGTAAAATACATACTGCAGTAAACTACTGTAGCACGCACGTGAGGAGATGGAGTAAAATACATACTGCAGTAAACTACTGTAGCACGCACGTGAGGAGATGGAGTAAAATACATAGGCAGTAAACTGCAACTGTCTCAGTGCTTCTTGAGTTCAAATGGAGTTAAATACATACTACATGTAAAATTTACTGTAGCACGCACATGAGGAGATGGAGTAAAATACATACTGCAGTATTCACTACTGTAACACGCACGTTGAGGATATGAAAAAGTACTACTAAACTTATTTGCCAATTTATAAATTGTGCAATGATTTTCATTAGTAAATAAATTCATTTTGTTCAAATGGTACATTTAAATCCTTTTACATGATATATAAATTTAAAATAAATACATACTCTGAGAACTCAATAAACACTATATATTCCAATTCGAACCCGAAGGGTTGAACACGATATTTTTGAAAAATTACTACTACTACTTATTTGTTTAATTTATCTTCTCTTCCTGATTTGCATTCAGAGCTTTAAATAAATGTCATTGCTGGGCACGCAGCTTTATACTGTACAATGTTTGAAGGGTCTCATGAATCAAAGTTTGACTTGTTTATTTTGTGTGCCCCAGCATTTCTCATACTCTGTCATCGTTTAATGTTGAATTAAGGAATCAACATCACAGCACTAGAGACATTCCCATAAGCGCTCCACCCCCATCTTTAGCAGCCAGCACACAGCTCCAATTCCTGTGAGAAATATAAAATAATTTGGAAAGCTCTTCTTCTTGTGTTTTTGCTAATATCTTTTTGTGCTACCACCAGGCATTGCAGTTTAACCCTTTTGCCCTGAGAAGCCCCAAAAAACTGACACTTCTGGTTGGGTCTAGTTATCCATAAATTTTACTTTTCTGACTTGCCTATTCTGACCTATTTACGAGATGTATAGTTAATGCAATCTGTTGCCTGCACAAACAGCACAGGAGGGGATATGAATAAATTACCTAAAAATAGCATTTAGAAGGTTGGAAACAAATAATTCAAAATAAGCCGTTGCAGATGCATGTTTTACCACAAATCACCGGAAAAAAAAGCATATTTGAAACTGAAAAACTATAGCTGATATAGCAGACTGAAAAATTTACAGACAGCCATGATTTTTTTTTAAAATCTTGAAGTTAATGAGTTAAAAGCCAATTAATGTAACAAAATATACATGTCAAGTTACATGTCATTATGGCAATATGATTATTTACCAAATTTTACTAAAAGTGCTGGCACAATATATTTAAAAACAGTATCATCATACAGATAGCTACATTCATAAAATTGCATACATACAAAATATTTTTGTTTTTAAACAACTGGCAGGTTTGAAAACCCTGAAATATAAAACTACTGGTAAAAAACAAACGACTCATGTCAGCCATTTGCTGCATAAGTTAATGATATTCTTCTCCTTTTATTCTTTCACTGCTTGGAAATATGATCCTGTCTGCCCTTAATCCAGACTTTCACCTTTGACCCATGGCTAGAAAGCTGTAAACAATTTAAAAACAAGAAATACAAAATGACAAGCAAAATATGTTTCTATGTTTCTGTAATCTAGCTTATAGAAAAAATGAATGATAGGATTCAAAGACACCTGTTGGAGCAGTAATGTAGGTAAAGATGGGGGAACAAATAGAGATGATAAAATACAATTACAAAAGGCAAGAGGAGCTTTTGCAGCACTATGGAATTTGTGGAGGTCAAAAGAAATTAAAACTAATATTAAACTTACAATTTTTAATTATAATGTCAAATCAGTACTGTTGTATGGAGCTGAAACATGGAGAATAAAAGTTTATTAAATGGTGCCTGCACAGAATAGAGGGAATTAAATGGTATGACAAAGTCACTAACGTAGAGCTTTGGAAAAGAACAAAACAAGTTCCAGGTGAAGAAAAGATGCTGCCATTGGATAGGACACACGTTGAGAAAATTTGAGAACAATATCACTAGAATGTCATTGTACTGGAACCCATAGGGCTAGAAAGTGAATTAAAAAAGACTGGAAGGACATAGAGAGAGCTGCATATGATAGCAAAGGATAGAACGACTTGATGGGAATTGGTTGAGGGCCTATGCTCCATTGGAGATTAGAAAGGCAGAAGAAGAGAAGAAGGATACAAAGACTCTGCATCACAATTAAAACATATTTTAGTGAACTAAGCTCCCTTTTACAAGGTCCTACAATTAAATAATGAGACTTATTTTATTATGGCCAAGGCAAAAATGCCATCTATGAAGCAAAGCATAGAATTTAAAGAGGCAATATTTATCTATGATCTGGCAACTTTTCATTCCGCCGCTCGATTAGCAGACAACAAACAAGCCGCCATTTTGTTGAATTATTCAGAGGGGCATTGTTACGTAATCAGCACAAAGCAAAAAGCTAACATTAAATTCTTTTTAAAACTCAAAAAAGCGCTATTGAAACAATTGAATTGATGCAAGAAGTTTATGGGGATAATTGTTTATCTGGTGCACAAATTGTTTTATCTGGTGCAACAGTTGGTGTGACACATTTGTCTCTTCATAACCTCCTGGCAGGCCTTAGCAACTGTGTGAGGAGAGCTGTAGTTCAGCAGGTATTGGCAGGATGGCCGCATGAGGTCAGGATGCTGGACTGTGAACTGTAGTTCCCCAGAAAGAGGACAGTGATTGTAAAATGTGTAAAATGTCAGGTGGTGAGAGAGTGGGGAGAAGGGGGCATGGGGCAGTCATGCTGGGGTCGAGAAGGTGAACCATTCCAATGAATCTAACACTGATCATCAAATAAATATAATCAGCTGCGGGTGTGTTGTGTACAAAAGAGTGTATTCTGTCTGAGACACTCTCTATGACAAGCCAAATGATTATCAGTTTAATATAAAGTGATGAAGAGATCTAAAATAGTCTTCCCTTTGCTCTTTTTTCATTGTTTGCCAAAAGTTGTCACTAAATTTTCAAGTTTCTTTCTCCTCATAACAAGTCCAGTCTCAACTGTCTACAAGTATTTGTTCTAATAAAAAAAAAGTGGGAGAGGGAGAAGACTTTTCGTGCCATCTGGCATATGATGTTAGACCCACATTCTTTTATGGACTAATTCATTTTTTGAGTGACATGGTCAAAATCACCATCTTTTTGTTCGTCTAAGTGACATAAATGCGCTGAGCCTGTTTTGACATCAAAACTGCAACATTTGCACCTTTCGGACAACACATCCTACTTCAATGAACATTTTTTGACCAGGGTTAACTTCCTGGATGTTGTCAGTATCACACCAGACATCTTCACTTCCTGTAACACTTTGTGATACCCATTCTAGATTAGAACAACCTGGGAGTCCAGATAGTTTTGTTTTTTTAATACACCCTAAAACTTGAGGGAGGCAAGCAAAAATTTTGTTATTCAACTCACTTCTGATCAGTTCTTTATTTTTCATACCATCATCATCAATCACCAGGTCTTTTACGGAACTTGTCTCTTGTCATTGCAAGCCTGAAAGTCTCTATTGCTCTTGTCAGTTCTCTAACCCATTGTGCTTTAATAGCCAATGCATTTTCAGTCTCTTGTATCCCCTTTGGGAATCTGCCTCTGCCTCTTCTTCCAGAAACTGTTCCATCACCGTTCTTTCCAGACCACCAGGACATTTAACATGGCAAAACTACTCATGTTTAGTGTTTCAAGAGATATATAATGTAGTTTCCTTCTTGATGTCCACATCTACATGACTGAGTAGCTCAACCTTCTACCATCTTTTAGACTGCCAGGGTAACTTTAAAAACAGTCAAAATGTAATTTCCATAAGGAAATGTATCAAAGTTTGAACATACCCCAAAACAGATATCACAGTTGTTTGCTGCTAAGATGAAGACAATATAGGATTCAGAGACCAGGCTCCATCGATGCCTAGTTTCAGCTCCATGTCATGATATGGCCTAATTGTAGACCTGTGACCAACACTCATGACTGTGATTTTCAACTCAAAACATGTCTTGTACAACAGCTGCTCCATCTCCTCACTGACTTGGCTTGTAGCCTCATCCAAAACTGTTGACATTCAAATACAAGAATCTTAGTAGTATGACATTTATTGATTTTAACTATTTCAGTCCTTAAGAAAATAGGGGCTTTTGAGCTGAAATGCTATAGAAAGATTCTCAGAATACCATGGACAAAGAAGAGAGAAAACACTGACATTTTAAAAGATCTGAAAATCAAGAAAGATTGGCTAATTAACAGCATCTTGTCTCAAAACCTGAAATAATTTTAATCATATAAAGCGTCATGGCAGACTGGAAAAAAATAATAGCTGAAGGCATGGTACCAGGAAGAGGGGCAATGGTCAACCAACATGAAGACGGGCACAGGATATAAGTGACTCCTGGTATACCAAAGTTCACGATGTGGGAGAGCTGGTGAGAGACAGAGTTTCTTTCAGACAGATCGTGTTGAGTGTGACGCTCTGCAAAGGACCTGCTACATGATCATGAACTATTTCAGTATCATTCAATTATTTTAACTCATTATACCCACTGTAGTTATTAATTTAAACTTTTGTATGTAAACTCTGAAGGAGTTTGAATAATAACTCTGGGACAGAATAACAATTGTGGTAGTAAAGTAAGATAATGTACAACTGAATGACACATATCCTGTGTAGGTTCTGGCCTCTTTTTTTCGGGGGGGGGGGGGGGGGGGAGAATATACTGATTTCTTTTTTTGCCAGATAAAAAAAACAACCTTGGATATACTTTTTTGCCAGGCTGGTGCTGTGTCTTTAAGCTGTCTTTGCTTTCTTTATTGACCACATTATAGGGTGGTGTAGCACAGAGACAGTCTTCAGCCTGGTGTTCCTGTGTTTAAACCTCTGGGTAAGATTAATTTATTGACTAGAATTTACAGGTTTGACCCAGGTTAAAATGAAAATCAAGAATAGTTCTGGGAAGTAAATATAGTGGTATAAAGTGAGCTTCTTATCATCTGCACTAACGCAGCCCCTCTTGGCATGAGAATAAAACCACTGTTAATTTCTCTTTCAATGTGATTCAGTTAGTTAGTCGTTTTGTTATGGTTCCAGCATCACAGCAAACGAGCTTGGCCCATAATTGCTCAACCGCCTATGCCAGTGATTTCAGTCACAAAAAGTCAGAATACACACGATTTTATCTGGCAAACCATAAGGTGCATGCCTTCTTAAACACACTGCTGGACCAGGCGATATCACTGAAAAATCAACTTCATTCGACGAATAGCTGAGCGATGAGTAGATCAAAACTATTCCTGACCATTCTCCACATGTCCTCGGCCAAGGTGCAGCCACAGCCAGCAAATAAATAGCAGCTATAGCACACGCCTTGTCCCAGGAACACAACGAAGAAAAATACACCACCCATCATTGCCATTATGTGCGAATCTGGAACTCAAAAAACAATAATCACAGCTCATAGTGTGGCCAGGAGCACTAAACTCAGTCTATGTGATTCATTCAACTCTTACAAACCACCACATTTCACAATCCTCAGTAATATCATCATTTCATAAGAACTGTTGCCGGAACTACGTCATCTTCAGCGAGCAGCAAAGACAGAGTGAAGAGGAGAAAACGAGGAAGACGGACAAATAACCAGATTATGACTGATACCATAGGTACTGGAACTCTGCACTGGCTGCTGAAGATGAGGATGGAGCATGCACAAGAATGCCCCGAGTGCTGTGATGTCAATTCTTGACTCAACTAAACTAAACTCAATAATATCAATCATCATCATTAATCGGCATGTTCTTTATAGAACATCACTCTCGGTATGACACCCTTGAAAGTATTTTTTTCTCTAGCCAATTCTCCAGCTTTGTGTGCCTCCACAGTCAATAAAAAATATAAACCTGAACGAAAAGTATATTAGCAAGCTTTACAATAACAAATACAAACAAAATATGAACGTTGCAGCTATTAAGCCTTCATCAGCACATACAAATTAAACAATACTACATAGATAAACAAAATCACTTGGCTGGTAAAATGAAGCTCAGATAGCTGGTGCTGCAGGGGGGTGGTTAAATCAGCATGACAAGCGCATTTTGAGATGTCTTGTATCCACCTTTGTGAAGGTATACCTCTGTGCCATTTTCTGAAAACTTTACCCTCCATATCGCTTCTCTCCATGTTTAACATGGGCTCTCCTTTGAATCACGTATCCTGATCATACACAAAATATGTAACTAACAGAGACTCACTCATATCTGTATTTGCATGTGTTTCAGTTAAATAACTTACATTCTATTAGTACAAGAAATCAACACTAAACTACATTAAAACTAAATGAATGATCTTCATGTTTGCATTATGAAAGAAACTGAAAAACACTTACTAGCATATGGAGGATGGTGAAAGAACAGGCGTACGAATGACAGCCGTTGCATTTCACCTGGCGACAGTTCATCATACCTGTTTGAGAGTGTAGTGAAAACGTATTGACTGACTGACTTGTAGAATGATGTAGTATAAAATGTAATGAAACATAATGTCAGGATGGTGTGAAGAAACTAAAGATATACTCTGCATTACAAGTTCCGTTACAGTTCCAGTCTAGCTTTTTTTTTTTTAAATAATGTGGGAGAGATTAAAAAATGAGAGGAGAGAGAGAGAGATGAGGATGGAGAGAGAGAGAGAGAGAGAGAGGAGTGAGAGAGAGAGAGAGAGAGAGAGCTGAGAGAGAGAGAGAGGAGAGAGAGAGAGAGAGAGAGAGAGAGAGAGAGAGAGAGAGAGAGAGAGAGAGAGAGAGAGTATGTGTATTTGTGTGTTTGCAAGTAGTTTTTTTTTTTTTTTTTTTTTTTTTTTTTTTTTTTGCAGTATTACATATTCCATTTTAGTAAGAAAATATGCATTTACAATGTCTTGCCAGAACACATAGTACAATAACTTTATAAAAAGCTGAGAAAGGCACGCTTCATGCAGAGTGGCAAGCATCACTTCAGAGGTCCTTCGTAGTTAGTATCCTTTGGATTTTTCTCTGGGGGGTGTCCATCTGTGTTGGAAAATGAACAGGCAGACAGACTGACTGGTGCTGCCCCAGTGGGTGGTGAATGCATGACATGCTAGACGTGGTCAACATCCTCTGGGAGCTAGTAAACAGGGCTGAGGTGCAAAGATCATTATTCTGTGGAATTATTGGTGCAACAGAGAGTGACGAGTGCATCTGGTAAACATTCTACTCGCAGAGGAACGAACAAAAACTGTATTTTCGAATTGGGCACACAGGCCTGTCTTACACTGGGCAGCCTCATCTATCACACAGCAATTGTATTTTATCAGTAAAGCATGTTATGTTCATATAACAGTAGACATATAATGAATTTCAAGGGGCAAAAGCATGGAGAGTAAACGCAAGTGCACATATGCCTACTTAAATGCATGCACAAACACACACACACATACATTCATACATGCATATTGCACAATCACTCATATGGATAATACTCGCTCATATATACCCACAAATATACTCTCATACATAGATACATACATATTTACATTATACACAAACATGCATATACACACTCCTGTAACGAGTTTATTTTCTGCTGAGAAAGGATGTATGCATTAATAATGAGGTCAGAGAGCGAACATAAATTACATACTCCATTTCCGATGAATTGGGTTAAAAAGTGAATAAATTATGAATTTACGTGAAGAATCATTGAAAAACATGGAGGCATGAAAGATTACTTTAGTCAAAGGGTTCCTAGAAAAGTGTGTCTCTGATGAATGAAGTTATAAGTTGTGTTTGAACCACATTTGGCTGTGAGCTCTTGGACAAACCTGGCTACCACTCATTTAACAATTCTGGTCCAGACGGGACATGTTGTTGTTTATTCAGCATGGAAGAGTGTGACTGTCAAGTTATCAAATTATTCATTTGTTTATTATGTAGAAAGGTAATTATCCTTTGAACTGATTTTTTGCGATAAGTTGTGGTGTTGCGATCTGGACTGCCATCGCAGGGTGCACTGGCTTGGGGGAGATTGAGTGAGTCAATAAACAGTGACATTAGCATCTAAGCATCAGCGGTGTGTTCACATTTTTCATCTTTCAACCTGTTAAAGTGTAAGTCGACTTGCACCTGAGAAGCCTGAGGATGATTGGAGCCAAGAGAGTGATAGAAAGAGAGTCATTGCACTCCTGCATGCACACACAGTCATACATAAACAACCATTGACATTCAAACATACACAGGTGCACATAATCTTGCATCCACATATACATATATGCACTCACCTATCCATAATTCACTTCCATTTATCAGGATAGCATTTACATAGAGAATTATCTTTCTCATCTCAACTGACAAAGAAAGACTGCATTGAACATTCTTCATTTTGTAAAATGCTCCTTTGTGTAAGCTATTCACATTTAACTGACTGACTGACTTTCTACCCCACCAGGACATCACACAAGCGATAAACACCCGATGACACAAAGTGCCACCATGTGGATGAGGATCACCGTGGAGAGGTCCCAGAAACCACGTTCAGACAATTGGCCATATTTATGGCCTGCCTATATTGCGGCCCCTGGCAAAAGCCAGAGTGGGGCTTCAAATAAGAAAAATATTACGTCCTAAAAAGGATGTAAGGGATGTAACATTTAACTTCTAATACATTCAGCTTAATACAGAAAATTCCAGAACTCTGAATTGTGTGTTGGTTTATTACTGACCAGTTCCAGTCTGTTGTAGCATCAAGCCCTCCCAGCCTGTTCAGCAAACCAGTGAGTCGAAAAGACTTTAAATAATCCTCAATTTTATGGTCATCTGTCATGAAATTTAAAAAAATGCATTCACAAATGTATGCCTTTATTCTGTAAATTAAGTGTAGAAAAAAAAAAGATTGGGATAAAGACTAAACAATACCAACAAAAACATACAAAATGTCTTAATATTTAACTGAATAAATTAAAAGTAAAACCAATCTAGGCAATACAGCTTAGATCAGCCACACATACAGCAGAAGCATTTGAAAAAGGGAAAGGCAGACCAGAAAATAGTATGCAAGGTGGTGGAACAGAGGAAAATAATCAATAAGAATTCAGAATGCCATAGGCAGAGTCCCGTGAGAAGAGAAATGCCTACAGAATTTGACTAGGCATATGATGACCATATTTACAGACAATAAATGCTCAAAACATCTGGCCATATGGTATGACTAGCCATAATCTATGCTGGAAGAAAATTGCTTACAAAAGCTCATGTGTTTTGCACTTATGGGAAGATAGTTCCCATTCCAGTGTGGCGATGTGCAGTTGGCTTGATTTGCAGAGATAATTTCACTATTTTTAATTTCCACTGCTTGTATTAGTCTCATTAGTCTTTAGTCAAGCATCTAACTTGACTGCAAACAGATTGCCCCACACCTGCCCCGTTCCTGAGCCAGCGGAAAATCACACAAAATGTCCGTCACTCTCCCCTAGTGAAAAACATGTCGGACTCAGAAAAATCTTGAAGCTAACACAAATTAAATGCATTAGGCAGCTGTCAGATGTGCCAGCACTAACAGTCCACCACCAGAATTTCAGTTCCCTGCTGCTGCAAGCAGTCAATTATGAAAGCCTGGCAATGTGTGAATATTATTGGATCATCAAAATATGTTGAGTTGAGTCAAGAATTGACATGAAGGGCATTTCCATGTATGTTCCATCTTCATCTTCAGCAGCCAGCGCAGAGTTCCAATATTGATGGTACAGGTCACGATCTGGTTATTTGTCCGTCTTGCCTTTCCACAGAGTGTAATGAGTGTAGTGATCATCAAAATATTTTGTTCTAAAACAAGACAGCAAAGTATTCCTTGCTGGATGCCTCTAGGAAGCTGATAGGTTGGGTCTATACTGTGTAATTCGTGTAGGATGTGCTTGTGGCCACTAAAAGTTTTGGTCCCAGCAATGATATCTACATGTTTTGCCTTTGTGAATATGGCAGTTCAAGGTTTATCTCATTCTTGTGATGGAGCAGTTAAGCTGAGATCCTCCTCGCTTGTTCACTGATGTCCAGTGAGTATGAACAAGTGCAGTTAGTTGATATACGCTTGTGCAACTATTAGGGAAGAGATTGGAGCACCTAATGTACTGACCAGAGTGATGTAACAATAGTCCTCACTATCCATTCAAAGATGAACAAGAAATAATTTGCTAGTGTACAAGTAATCTGGGATGCAGAAAGCATTAAAGCTACATTGTGACCAATCTTCAATGTGGAGTCACAGCAGACTGAAACTATGAGGTAAATATTATTTATAAATTGTTTGCTGTATGTACTTTTCAGACTGGAAACTACTGTCAGTCTTGTTAAAGTCTGGTCCCCGACCAATTGGAATTATTGGGTCAAAATTACTGTTTAGGCTCTATCAACATAGATGCCACAGAGTGCAGTCGTTTGAATTATTGCCTACTGATCTGGTTGTCACTTGTTTTATTTTTTTATCAAAGGTACATTTTAATACAAGTTTACATGAGTTCTCAGGTACCCCCCCCCCCCCCCAACCACCACCTCCAGGCTAAACTGGGGACCAAGAAAGCCTGAGAAGGGAAGTAAAGGTTGACTGTATTATCTGTCTATAATTTTATGGAGCATAAAACCTATACTCAATATGCATCAAATCAATGAAATTTTTTTTTTTTTTTACATTTTTCAACTTACAGTTAAGAATGGGAGCTGTAATGGTTGGTTACTCATTGGAAGATCGTAGATTTATGTCCTGACGAAGCCTGACTTTTTTAAAAATGACCTTGGCTCCCAGGTCAACCCAGCCTTAAATGGGTACTAGGTACAGTCCTGGGAAGCAAAGGTGGCTGGCATGATGAGCACACCATCTACAGAGTGCTGATTATTATATAAAAATATACGTCTAGCCCTATATGCCCAATATGCCTGAAGGCGTGGAAAAGGGTCCTTTACTTACTTACCTTACAGCTAAAAATGATACTGTTAAAAAACTAGATAAGAGCAAATTAGGAAAAACGTAACAAATCTCTTAACTATACCTAATAAGGAAAAACAAGTCTATTTTTTAACTATACTTTTCCAACATAGTTTTTGTATGTCTCCATGATGAAGTGGTCAAGCCATTTGTCTCATGCTCTGAAGGTCGTATGTTTGTTTCAGGGGTGTGTCATTCAGTTCACAAGCGCAATTTTTACTGGGGCCCCCCCCCCCTTCCACGGATTGTCGACGAAGCTTGTGTTCATGCTTTGTGCAACATTTACAGCAGATTACTAGTTGTTCTGTGAAGAGAGACAGCCATATGGGATAAAACTCTGCGCAATTAAATCAATCTCTCAACACACACCAAAAAACAAAAAAATACAATATTTTGCTATCATTCCAAAAATGCTTCCGCTACTTACCTGATGATTTCCAGTCTTGCAAGGGATACACAATCTGAGAATTGTATGAGAAAACAGATGAATAACCAGGTTTTTATGGACATTTCAATATATCAAGAGCTATATAAATATATCAAGCCTTACTTTCCTCCTCTGTAACATTAAAAATCCAGACTGTGTTTGCTAATCTCATAATTTTACTCCAAATTCTAATTTTTAATTTTTTTTCTTAATTTAGCTTCAATAAATTTGCATGGTTATCCTGCATAATATGTGCTACTTGAGCTGGTACAGGTGATCATACCTTTCTACAACTAGATCTTTTTCATGATCTTCAAAGGATTCCATAGCTGATCCTTTTCTGCCCTGATTATCATTTTCTCCTAATATCTCTTTCTCAACATTCTCACTCTTTCAAGCTGTCACAAATATCACTACTTTCTCTCTTATAACAATACTGATAAATAATTTGTCCTGTCCGCTTTTAGTATAATTCTTCTATGAATCTGCCCAATTTACTTGTTAGATGTTGAATTAAGAATCAAAATCACAGTACTCGGGACACTCCTATAAGCGCTCCGTCCCCATCTTCAGCAGCAAGTGAACCGTTTCAAATCCAATGGCACCAGTAACTGTCTGATTGTACATCCATCTCTGGAGGGTTCAGGCAGGTTCGGTGCGAAGACAATGGCTTGAATCAATTCAGAAGTCCACTGTGCGAGGAGTCACCTTTATTTTTGTTCCGGGACACGCAGGCGTCGATGGAAATGAAAGAGCTGACAGGTTGGCTGGATCCGCTATCACTACCGACGGTCGGCCTATGGATCATGCTGATATTATCAATGCCCTCAGAGAAATGGGAAGGATAGAGGACTTTGGTGGCAGTGAATCCACATCACTCGCCAGGATGGCAGACTTGGGAATTAAGATCGGCACAGCAAAAAACGAGACGCACACCGGACACGTCAGAAGACTTGTTAATCAACATAGAACTGGTACTATTTGCCATCGGACGTTGGGATTCATACTGAGGGGAGGATCTGAGCACCTATGGACATGTCCGGAGTGCAATGATGATAACCCAACTAACTAACTAACTAACTAACATCCATCTCACATTTCCCTTGAGTGTTGAGCATCACTCAGATCCCCTTGTCTCCTCAGACCGCAATTTGTGCCTCCACACTTTTCAGTTTCTCACAGAGGGTTCTCACGACATGTAGTTTGTCATACATCAATTCACCACCGAGTGGTGCAGAACTGGCCAGTTTATCCGTCTTCTCATTTCCCAACACACTGAAAAAGAAAATTTCCAAAGGACGCTAACTACCTGGGACCTCTGAGGCGATGCTTGCCACTCTGCATGGAGCACAGCTGTCTCCACCTTTATCAACATGCTCTATGAGTTGGGTACAATTATGACTTGCGTGTAAAGCTGATTCTCAAGCCAGCAGTGATGGCCTCCACCCCCCATCCCCCTCCCATTCTCAAACTAGACACTGGATATCATATGTCAGGCCTTGCTGCACTAAGCGACATCCATTTGCTTTTGCTATGAACTCCCATGGGTACATCATTTGCCTCTTAACACAGAACCATTGAACAGAAAATCACATCACCTGGATGGGGAGAGTCATGAATCAATTGTTGAACTAATTTTGCTTCACCAGCTGGCCAGTCCCCGCACTCATGACCTAAACTTATTAGCATCCTTAACAACTCTAAATTTTGCTCTCGCCAAACTTTGTCAAGGCTATTTACATTTCTAATTGCATCTTCAGCTTGTGTTGAATTACATAAAAAGAATAAAGCTTTATCTTGATACCAATAACACTGTTAATGGCATATATATATATAGTAGGTGTACTTTAGAATGATATAAAAGTCTAAGATTACTTTAATACTAGAGACAACATTGCAGATATAATCTATTTCAAGCAAACAAAAGAAGAACTTTAATACTATGACTAAGTAATGAAATAAAACTTGTATTATAACTTAGATTTGCAATGTTATACATAAACTGGAATTGGTGTATTTGTAATAACTTGAATTTACTGCCCGATTTCAGAAAAATAGAGTTTCTTAAAAGTTAATTAACTTTGTTTCTCGAAGTCCACTGGCTGTAAACTCTGGTGAAAAGTTATAGTTGTCTGTCCACTTCTTGGCTTTGATATTGTCCCAGGACTTGAGTTTTGCATGCACTCATAACTAACAAATGGCAGTACCTGCTCTCTAAGGGTTCCATCAGTGAGGTAAGGTTTCTGAGGCAGGTAAAACACTCCTGTTGGACCCAGATTCACATTTTTGTTGATGACACCTGTAAGAGAATTTCTATTGTATTAGTTAGTTGGATTACCATTATTCCACTCTGGACATGTCCATAGGTGCTCAGTTTCTCCCCTCAGTATGAACCCCAGCCTCCGGTGGCTAATAGTACCAGTTCTATGTTGATTAACAAGTCCTCTGAAGTGCCTGGTGTGCATCTCGTTTTTTGCTATGAAGATCTTAACTCCCAAGTCTATCATTCTGGTGAGTGACGTGGATTCAGTGCCCCCAAAACCCTCCACACTTCACATTTTTGGGAGGGCATTAATAATAAAAGCATGATTCACAGGCTGACCATCGGTGGTGATATTGGATCCAGCCAATCTATCTGCTCTTTCATTTCTATTGATGCCCGTAAGTCCCTGAACAAAAATAGAGGTGATTCCACACACAGTGACCTTCTGTAATGATCCAAACTGTTGCCTTTGCACCGAACCTGCCTAAACCCAGCGGATCAATTTCATTGAATCACTGAGTACACATGCGCGGGTGTAGTTTTGTGTTTTGAGCTATTGATTCCTTGCGTTACTGCCATCACCTCCATTGTCATGCTGCTGGTTGTCATGGTGAAGGCGCCATTAGCTTCTTTGACTGTTCTGCTTGCTGAGCGTGCTGTGAAAGCCCATGCACTTCTTTGTATTTCTGTTTCTATTTACAATTTCCATTGTATATGAGCTTAAAACATGTTATCTTTGTTAGTTGTGGTGAGCAAAATGTTTTTAAGAGTCATTAATGACCACGAATCATGGACAGATGGCTGATTAGTGAAGTTACAGAAGAAAAAAAAGAGTAATTTCTGTAATCAATTCAGTCTATCATTTTCAAGGCAGATAATAAACAATGAAGATGACTTGAAAGAGATTAACTCACATGAAGAGCTGATTACTCACATCAAAAATTACAATCTTTAGGCACATCACGAGATGAGGGGGATGGGGGGGGAATAGGAGTATAACAACAACAGGCAAGTTTGAAGGCAAGAAAGCCAGAAACAAACCAATAAACACAGTGGTTTTATAAGTGACTCCTTGAGAATGAAAGTACATGAGGCGGGAGAGCTAGCGAGAGACCGAGTTTCTTTCAGGCAGACTGTGATGAGAGTGACGTTCTGCAAAGGACCTGCTACATGATGATATTTGAACAAGCTTAGTCTTTTGAACAGTTAATGAAATCGATGCATGTTAAATGTTCTAATAGAACAATGCATGTGTGTACACTTTTGTTACCTCCTCATTTGCTTTTTTCATGCAGCACTGCATTAAATCCTACATTCTTGCAGTCTTGGAAAAGTTAACACATCGAAACCTACTACATAAAGTTTGGGTATCTATTACTTATTGGTTGTGCTAAAATGTACAGCAAAACAGTAGAATCTTCAGACTAGAAACATGATATTTACACATAACAGCTACAAATATGTTTAGTCAAACCTGAGACAGGTTTCCACAATCCACTCAAAATTCGAAGTAATGCCGTCTTTCCACAACCACTGTCTCCAGTCACCAAGACGTTTATACCAGACGACAGTTGGAAGGTCAGGTCTGTTGGAAGTGTAAACACAGTGCAATTTAAAAAAAAAAATATAGCAAAGCCTAAGATACATGATTTTACAGAAGAATTCTTAAACTTCTTTGAACAGCCAGAATGAGTTACCCATATGTTTTGAAAGAGGACCCAAAGACAACTTATCATGATCATCAAAGAAAGAAGTCACAATTGTTTCGTCAAGTTATGAGAAGAAAGAAACTGGAACATATTGTGACCACTGGAAAGATTTGAGGAAAGAAAGATAGAGGAAGACAATATGAGAGGATTTCTGACAGCCCTTTGAGGGGTGTCAGCACACAAACTGATACAAGCTGTTGCAGGCCACAGGTTGTGTAGAGAAATAATCACCCATACTAGCTGGGAAATCACTTGATGATGCTGATACAGTTTGTTTACTCATGCTTTTTTGTTATGTTAGTAGTCATGATAGTTTAGCTGTTAGTGAAATCATCTAAAGTGGCATCTACAATCAGAGTTGAACTATGGTAACTGTCTATCTCTTCAGATCACACTTCACAATACTCAGAATCAAATGAGTGGCTGCAACTTGTGAAGACTCAAACCCCCAGAAACTTGTCTGGATGTATTGCCCAGGACAAGCAGGAGTGCAGTGAAAGAACCTGTTAATGATATGGTGATGATCAATGCACATCTCGATTTCCTGATCCAAAGAAACTTCAGCATGAACGGGACCTCACATTCTATGACAATCCTCAGATTCTATGCCAGTAGATAGTCCATTAACAAAACTATAAAAATGCCCATGCTAATAAACACAATTTTAAAAAATGAAGAGAAATATCAAACAACTTACTTTTACACAAAATGTGACAAGATTTAGGCTGCCCATATGTCAAATTGTGGACATCAAATGCTGCACTCTTGACCTCTATTGACCGGTGGTCAACATCCCCATTTATGAGGCTGAGAATAAATTATTGTTTGTTTACACTGTGTGCTAACTGAAGAAATTCATAAGAAAAAACCAAAAGGGCTGAAATTATGGATAAATAATTCAAAAAGATGTATTTTCATAGTGAATTTAAAGCATGCAGGCAACAAAAACACATTGCACAATTTATTGCCTGGTATATTTAGCTGAACCTCACCAGGTGTACTTTAACACATCCATATCCTGTAACAAAGCAAAGGGAACAATATTTTGCAACATCTGCAGAGCAGCTAAAACAACTGCTTGCAAACATTCTTTGACAGTGTTTTAGTGGTTTGATACAATATTTCTCCAACTACAACCCCACCTATTAAATAACCAGTCTTTATACACCAATCCAATTGCATGTATCAGTTTAAATGTTTATGTCAGTTAACTTAAACTGATTGACTATAGAAACAGCTTAAAAACAAGAGTAGCAGAATATCTATCTAAATGACTCCATACACACTTGATTGTTATCAAGATCAGCCAAGAGAAAATATTAGATTTGTAGCACATCATTTGTTTGACTCTTGTCATGTACCTGATATGAACTGTGCCTTCCATGTTATTTATAACACATCTAAAAGGTGAGTATTGAAACTGGTGGAAGCTGTGACAATTTAAATGAAAAAATCATGTTTTATGAAGAAACAAAATATGATATCTTGTTATACCAGAGGACAGTTGGAAGGTCAGATCTGCTGAAAGTGTAAACATAGTGCAATAAAAAAAAAATGAAGGACCCTATAAGACATGATTTTACAGAAAAAACAAATAGAGCATGTGATCAATCTTAAACTTCAATGGTAACCACACAGCTATCTAGAACTTCAATGGTAATCACACAGCTGTATAGAACTTCAATGGTAATCACACAGCTGTAAAGAACTTTAATGGTAACCACACAGCTGTCTAGAACTTCCACTGGTAAGATCTAGTGTAACTAGAGACAAAGTTATTTATGTTTTTCAAGGCAAAATATTATTTGTGTTGATTGAACTCTGTAGTAATGCATCTTATGAGATACAGAGAATGACGCCAAGCAATAAACTGAGCAATATACTGTTTGTGTCCATTTTTATTTAAAGGATAAAAAAAAAAGGTTCTCAACCAACTTACACCAAGCACTTTGTAGACTTGTTCATGATTGGTGGAATTTAGCTAATGTTTTCTTTAGGGATGAGGTAGTCGGTCTCATGGCAGCCTTTCGTAGTTCTCTCGTAAAACATTCACAGTAGGTTACATTATTTCACTAGTGTTATTACGATCATTTTGTTACTTTCCATACTGAGCAGCTGTTGATTATCTGGGACTAAACTGTTAAGAGGCTACGTCAACTGATTGATCAGTCTGACCCCTCTGAGCTGGTATGTAAAGGTTTAACGTACCATCCTAAGACTAAAAAATGTCATTCTATCCAGCAGATCAACAAGGTCGTTCCCAGATATCAAGTTCACCCTCCAGTTATAATTAGGGTACTCGTAATGGCTACACCAGCCAGGTATAACCTGCAGTCCTACGTGGTCTAATGTAAGCCTAGCAGTTATGAATAAACTTCAGTTGAGAAAACCTGAGAACAATATAATGTCCTTGCACTGGAGCTCACAGGGGCATAGGAATAAAGGAAGACCAAAAAACACATGTAGAAGGGAGCGGAGGTAAAAAGATGGGGAGGATAGAGGAGAGATGCATCTGATAGCACGAGCTGGCATGAGTTGTTGAAGACCTATGCTCCATTGAAAGGCAGAAGAAAGAAGATAAGCCACGCAGTTATAAATAAATTAACCCCACATATATTTGAAACCAGAAGCATCACACACCAGTGAACTTGCTGCTCCTGCACAACCATGGTTTGTTTAAATGAAAATAGCTCACAATCATTCATCTTTTGAGAAGAAACTCTACTGAGATGTTGAAATAACCTCTTTTCTTTAAAATGATTATTGCTGAAGAAGCATTTTGAAATGTAAACATATAAATTAAGTACAGGTATAATGATGCAAATATAGAGGTTACTGCTAAAGTCAGTTGATAATTTTTAACTGAGTTAGAAAACCCTGAGATAACAACAGGCCGTGACCACAGGTTAAAAGTCAGGAATTATAGTGTGGGAATGCCAACAAGAGAATTTTCATAATAGTCTGAATATTGTCTGGAACTGAATGGTGATGAGAAAGTGAACTGGCCACTCAAGTTCATTACACCATTACCTAAAATATTTGAAGGCCTAACACTTCACACTTAAACAGAGGACACTGAAATGTTTTCCTTTATAAATGATGGTCTAAACAGCCACAGTAAACATAAGATGACAAGGTCTTAAAATTAACTCTTTCTGTCCAAATGCATAGTTGTGTGATGGGATAATCCTTGCGAGTAAAGCTTGCAGGTAAAGCTACTGTGAGGGGCAGATGTACCGGGGACCATGCTGATATACTGAATGCTCTAAAAGAAGTTAAATGTTTGTGAGAGCCAAGTGATGACTAAATCTGCAGCCATGACCAGTGTGCAAAAACAGCATGTTAAAAGGGGTGTGGCCAGAGAAGAGCACTATGTGGAAAGTAAAAGACAAATAAGAAACAAAGAGAAGATGAGTGTTATCAGCTATACGGTGAAGGATTTACTGAGATGAGAATCCATGCACTTATAGACTGAATGGCTTGATGTGCAGTCAAAATATTCTGTCGAATGACTAACTTGTAAGTCATAGCCAACAAATAATGTGTTTTTATTTACATTTTATATCTGGTCAAAGTATACTCTGGAAATCTGGCTATCCAAGTGGTTATTCTGTTGTTTATCTCTGTCTAGCATTCATAATTTTTGTCCCATTTAGGGATTTGCTGTCAAATCTTCTGGCAATCAAAGAGTTAAACACTATAATCATATGGTAAGTCACAAGTTAAATCATGTGGAAAGGTTATGTATTGTTTTCTTCTAGTAAATGTGAAAGAACCAAGGGGTCACAACGACATAAACTTTAGAAATGTACTGCCTGGCATTTTTGATGTACCACTTCAGGACTTACTACAAAATTACACATCAGATGGTAGTCAGTTTTCATGGCACATTAAAATATCAGGGGCTAAATTTGTTGTGTATCCCTTCTGATGGAGATTGTGAGTTCCATCGACAACCAAGAGCTATGTCAAGGGTATTCTGGCTACTGGTAGAGACTCTCACATCTCATATGTCATGGGATAGAGGCCAAAGATAGACACAAACCAGTTGCCTCATAGATGGGCTGCAAACACTAAAAATGCCTGAAAAAGCAAACCTTTAAAAAAAAATAAGAAAATAAAGCTTGATGAAATCTGTTGTATTGAGCCATTCAGGATAAACCAGTAAACCATAAATAGTTTCATGATAATATAACCATATACTTAAACTAAAAATAGGATTCATAAATTTGTCTCGTATTATAAGTGGGTTCTATGGTATGCACTTGTCAGGACACAGCAAAATGTACAAGGTAAATTAAATATATATATATATTGCAATTCATTTTGTGTGTGTGTGTGTGTGTGTTTGCAATGTCATTAGCAACAATAAAATAAGAAGTTCAAATAAAAAGTATGTAATTTACCACTCTGTTTCAGAAGAAGAATTGGTACAGTTTTCAAGTTGACCATGTTCATCTTTCAGCCTCTCCAGTTCTTCAAATAGCTGACCTATTCTGTACAGATGAAAAAAAAGATTTATGGCCCTTTGTTTCATTATACCACAAGCGGTCACGAACATAAACGTAGCAGAACTCCGGGGAATGTGGGTATAATTTTCTGACTCCTTCCCCACAGTCCATAACACTGCAGGTTACACCTGGCTGTTGTTTCCATTATGGGTGCCCTAATTATAACTTTACTGGAGGTTGAAGAGGCTGGGATCTGCCTTGTTCATCTGCCATTCAGCTGAAATGTTTAATCTCAGGATGATATGATGAACAGTTAGGTAGCAGCCCATAGAGGACAAACCAATCAATCAATCAGGCATAATTTTTTTTTCTGTTGTTGCGACATATTCATTTTATTTTAATTACTTCTATAAAAATAATTTTTTTTTTTTTCAAAAAAGAGACGGTAGAACTCATTTGTCAACAGCTAAAAATCGGTACTATGAAATGTCATGGGAAGTAACTCTGGCTGATCTAATTCTGACCATGTCAGTCAATGTTCCTTAGTTCCATTTTTTCCCCCCTCTGGGATGCAGTTTGAAGGTTGACACCCTGAGATTACAAAATGTCAGACACCCGATTCAACCTGAAAGAAAGTTATAATTGGGGACACATGTAATAGTTACACAAAGCTGGTGTCACCTGCAGTCCTGTGTAGATAAGGATAAATTCCCGCCTGTTCATTAAGTACTGACTGATCTACACAAAATAGGGGCAAACACAGGGCTTTGTCCTGGTAGTATGCAAAGCTATGCAGTACCTGGCACCCTTTTAGTCATAATTTGTTAGCATTACTCTAATAGAAACTTTGTGGCGAGTATCTTTTTAGACACTTTGTGATCAGTACCTGGAAAAAAAACGCCCATTATGCCTCAAGATTTGCAAATAGGTTAAAAAAGAAACAACACACAAACTCTCATGATAATATAAACAGTAAAACAGTATGATTCAGGAGAAGCTAAGACACAAAGTAATATTACTGGGACACAACAAAAACTATTTTCTAAACAAACAGTGGTCTCAGTGTCAAAAATATTCTACACTGTTACACTTTAAAGAAGTCTTCTAGGCATTCACCGACTCCTGGATTTTCATCTTGATTGTGCACTTCTATTTTACAGATTTGGCTTATTTGTATGCAGACTGTTTTTTTTTTCCTCTCAGGCAGATGCACTTCAAATCTGAAGGAAAACAGCCCTAATTAGTCATCTCCAACAAAATGCTTGTTACAGGGGCAGAGGCTTTTGTTTGTTGTTCTCCAGATTGGAGATTCAAAGTCTACACTTGGACTTTAAATAAATGAGAGAACTCCTGATCAAGTTATAATTAACCTCAAGTAATTGAACAGTATCCATATTTTTTTTTAAACTTCTAAACACACGCAAAACATCTATAAACTAACACCTTATTGTCCAACTATTGCATATTTATACTAATAGTATCCAGTTCATACAGTCAAGTTTTGGTCAAATATGACTGGTGCTACCATTTGACAATAGTGAGTACTATCTGTTCTATGTTAATGATTGGTTCTCAGAGAATACCAAACCTGACATCGACATTGTGCCACTGGCTTCAGGTGCAGGAGTGTATTGAGGAGGATACTAGCCTTATCCTAGGAAAATTGAATGCAGCCTGAAAACTTCATGCTATGGCAGAGCAGACCAGGCCCTTAGCCTTGGTAAACAGCTGGTCTGGGACATAAGGTCTGATAAGTGCATAGACAGAGAACAACTAATTCTGATTCAGCAGTTTTTGCAGTATGATTTATTCCTAGCATATCGGTGTTACCTTTATTTCTGAATAAACAAGGCAGGTCGACATGGGCGACACATAGTCTCTGTAATAATGCCCCGACTCTGTGCTATGGTGAAGAAGAAAACTTATCCCCATGTGCTTTGCTTCCATACCCTTAGAGAGATAGAAGCACATCCACATCACTGCTAGAATGCAAGAATATGAAATAAAGACTGGCACATTTAGAACATGAGAACCATACCAGATGCACAAGAAATCTTGGTCAACTCTACAGGATAGGCTTTAGTAACCACATTGTGCTGATGTATATGTCGGAAAAAAAAGGGGGGAGGGGGGGTCTGAATACCTATGGACACATCTGCATGCACATGCCCTGAAGATTAGCCAGCTAATAACTCCCTACAACACAGTATAACATTATCGTCTGGAAAGATAGAAACATGCCAATAATTTATCAAAGTGATGCTGTGCTATGTTTATATTTAACCAAATGATTTAACAACGGTCACCTGTGAGCAGTTCCAATGACATCAGTCATTTGTGCTGACTGGTCTATTAATGTTGTGAAACAGTTGACCAGGTAGATTGAGTAGAACCCATACTGGAATTAAAAAAGAGTAATCAAGTTTTGGTCATTTCATAAATGAACTTGTGTACATTATGTTTTACTACTGCTGCATATTACTGTATATTTCAGTTACATAAACTATATTTTTCTTCTTCTTCTTCTTCTTCAGCATTCCAAGCCTTTAAGGTCAACTGCTGCAGATATCACCTGTCTCCATTTATCTCTATGACTGCCTTCTCTTTCCACTTGATGATTCCAAGAGTTTGTTAGTCTACCTGTATATTATCTCTCTACATTTTTTATTAGTCTTCCTCATGATTTATTCCCATTCAGCTTTAATTATCTTTATCTTTTCTTTTCAGATGAACAGACGTCAACAATATCAGTTTTCAAACAATTGAACAAAACATTATGGAGAAATGTGTAATGTCTTCTTCTTCACTTTTCGTTTACCGCTTTGGGTGTCAAGAAGATATAAGGTTCAGCTTCCTGTTCTTCTGGCCGACTCAACCATAGACATATTGTGCTGTTGTAGAGTTCCTTTGATATTTTTTTCCATCTTGTTGATATGGCTGGTCTTTCTTTAGAAACCCTTGTTCTGTGCTGTGTGTCATTTTTTGACTGCTTTTTTCTCTTATGACCTCTGATTTTATCTCTTCTGGTCACTCCAGCAGCCCTCCTCAGCCATCTCATATCTAACGTAATTTCCAAAACTCTACAAATTCCATAATATGAAATAGAAATGATGAATTAAATTACTTACTTATTTAAAATATATCTGCCATATCTTGAATTTTAATAAAATGAACTTATGCATCAAAAAAATTATAAGGCTTACCTGACTGATCAGTGCTGTCAGATCCCCTGGAGACAGACTTGCATATTTTCCAGAAAATATTGGAAAGGAGATTGCAATGTAACTCAGGATTCCTCCAAAGTAATCCGCTAAATTTATGCAGTCTAATCAAAAGAAGACAGACATACATTTTTCCTTTATTTCAAGGGATAGTGAAATTACAAAGGATATAAAAAATAGAGTGTATGAAAATAGAGTAAAGCTGTGAGGTTAAATATGAAGCATACATAGGACACAGCACGGCTAGCACCAGCAGTAAGGCTAAACATGTCTATGGAAATTCCCGTTTTGTTAGGCCGGTCCATGGCCAGTGTGTGCTCACTATTGTTACTGAGTAAATTTATACACAAATTAAACTACAGTTTTAATTACCTTGCAACCTATTTTTTTTTTTTTTTGAATGAATTATCGTTATGAAGATAAATAAGAGAGCCATTAGAAAATAGAATAATAATTATTATAAAATTTTCAATAAAATATGTAACAAATTAATTAAACATTAGTTTAAATTGTAAATAATTTTACTCGATAACAATGATGAGGCACAGACCAGCCGCAGAACAGCCTAACAAAATATAAATTTCCATAAACCTGTTCGGCGTTACTGCTGGAACTGACCATGCACACAGTAAAGAAAAACTAACTAAAATGCGCAACAATGGAAATCACAAGAAAGTAAAAAAAAAAAAAACAGAAAGATTCGGATAACATACACTAAAAGGCTGTGAATATAAATATTAGCACCAGTGAGCAAACAAAATAAAGTAACACAAATATTTATGCATTCATGGGTCGGGGGAGGGGAAGGCCCTGTGGTGGAGCGGCTAGATGCTCGCCGCGGATCGGAAGGTAGTGGGTTCGCTCCCTGGAAGAGCCAGACTTTTTTTTTTTTTAATGACATTGGCTTCCAAGTAGACCCAGCCTTGAGAGGGTACCGGGTGCAGTCCCCGGAAGTAGAGGCGGCCGGCGTGATCTCACCACATCACCCATCCTGTGCCGATTAATCTAAAAAAAATATAGATCTAGCCCTATATGCCTTAAGGCGTGGAAAAGGGTCCTTTACATTTTTTTTTTTAAACATGGGTCAGGGAACATATCATTTAGTTAAGGACACTCAAGGATACTCAAGAACACTCAAGAACCCTCAAGGACACTCAAGGACACTCAAGGTGATAATGGCTTCCTGTACTCACTGTTGAGTGCAAACTGCCAGGCAATGAGTCGACCTTGAGTGGACAGCAGTTTTTCAAGCTTCTGATTGGCTTTGAGTTTTTCAGTATTCTCTGCCTGGTAGAAAGCTGCAGACTCAGCATTGACTCGTATCTGCATATGCTGGAATCTAATCAATTATTAAAATGATTTAACATAAATACATCAACTTTCATTTTTGATAATTTGAACATGCATGAAGAAAGCGTGTGTTTTTTTTTTGTTTTTTTTTTTAATTTACTGATTTAAGATATAATATATATTGAAAAGTAAATACATTATTTTTACAAAAACATCAAAGGAATCAAAATATCATACTCTAAAAATTACATGTTTGTTTTTAAATCTTTGAGTCCCAAGGACTGCATCACGCGCTAATCCATTACTACCGAGCTGCACAATCGCCACGTTAAGTGTACTGGTTTTTAATTTACTTCTGGCCAGTATAAGAACAACAACAATTTTAAATGGTATTTATTGTTCTCTGTGTCTGATGTTTTATGTGTTGACTATAAGGCTTTTTAAGAAACGTGGTGAAAAACATAAAACATATTGTGTCTTTTGAGTTTTATTTATTTTTTTTTTTTTTTTTTTGCATCATGACCTATGCTTAGTTAATATAATTTATATCTGTGTCGGCACCTTTCATATTTTCATAATTTGTCTATTTATGCCATAAACATGTGGATTTGAAAAAAAAAAAAAAAGAGTATTTCCATATTCTTCTTGTTACACAATGAAAGCCTATGCTCCTCTGGGAGATGAAATAAACTGATGAATTTCCAGTTCAGGGTAATTGGTGCAAAGGCCAGACCAAAGAGATAAACAAGAAGACTGAAAGAAACATAAATAAGACAGAATATAAAAATATTTGATGGGTGTAGAAAAAAAGTAATAAATTAATGTTAATCAGTCAATACAAAAATATGGGTCTAATACTTAATGGTACACCTTGAAATGGGTCGCTTACAATAACAGTGACTTTCTATTTAATCAATCAATCAAATCAGCGTGGCCTTTATAGAAGGTCGCTCTCTTAATGGCACGCCTGAAGTCTCATTTTCTAATTCCCCAGCCCTGTGTGCTTTCATAGCCAATGCATCTTCAATGTCCTGTGTCCATTTTTGCAGTGGTCAACCTCTGCCTCATTTTCTAGAAACTGTATGTATGTATGTGAGTATCTGTATGAGTGATTGTATATGTGTGTGTATGCATGCATGTGTGTGTATGTATGTAATGTGTGTCGGCATGTATGTGGGTGTGCGTATGTGTGTATGTATGCATGTTTGTGGATGTGTGTATGCATTTGTAGATGTATAAGTATATGGGTGTATTTGTGTGTATTTAGGTATGTATGCAAGTATGTGTGTAAAGATGTAGGTATATGTATTGATATGTGTGTGTATGTATGTGTGTTTGTATGTTTGCATGTGAGTGTAAATGTGTGGTTGTGGGTGTCTGTACATGTGATTGTATGTGTGTATATGCATGTGTAGGTGTGTATGTGGAATGTGTGTGTGCAAATATGTATATAGTGTGTGTCTTTTCTGTTTGTGTATATATGTAGATGCGTGTATGTATGTATTAGGTATGTGTGTGTGTGTGTGTGTATATATATATATATATATATATATATATATATATATATATATATATATATATGTGTGTGTGTGTGTGTGAAGATTGTGTACACATAATGTGTATATGCATTATTCTATAATGTATATTTCTTTATTATATCCATAACATGCATTTTAGATAACAGGCATTGGTACTCTGAAAAATGAGAGCTTAGAAGGGCCGAATGTCAGAAGGGCCTGCGTGCCCAATTTGTAACCCTTTGAAAATAAAGTTTGTTCGTTCGTTCGTTCTTCAAAGAATGAGCGAGAGTCCATGTCTCACATCCATAAGTTGCAACTGGACTTTATTTTATTATTTATCAACTGGTCTTTATGCTCTTACTATCAATGCAAAGTCTAAAAATACATTTTGGTTTTGCAGGATGTGTTCATATGATGCCCTGTTATTAGGAACAAAAATCTAATACATTAAAAAAAATTATTTTACATTTGACTGATTGTGGTGTTCAGAGACTAGTTTTATATTAATTCTAATAAATGGTAGATGTTCAAAAATAATAACAACAAAATAGATAATACATACTCAATAAATTTCTTATGAGTGTACAAACTGTTCAAGTTTTGTAGTGCCTCTGGCATATGTTAACTTTTGTGGAAATTGTGGAAGGGGGGGGGGTTGAAATCTCAACTAGTTACTATCATAGCCACACTGTAAATTTTTTTTTTAAACCATGGCTTTATATATCCAATGCAATGATGAATCGGCAACCTTGACAAGACTTCAAGAACTGCATGTCAAAAGACGTGTTGCAAGACATTAACACTAAACAGGTAGCCCAAAAAAAAACTACAAATATAAATATTTTATCAGACACCACATGCTGAGGGAGATACTGAAGATGGGGTCCAAGCACATATGGACTTGGCTGATGTGTGATGAGAATGATCAGTTGACTAACTAACTTTCTTAAACTTACATGGAATAAAATGTTTATATGTTGGTATTTTTTTTTCTCAGAAAGATGACAAGCATGCATTTTACTGTCAAAACATTTCCGATAACCAGATTCTTCTTCTTCAGCATTCACCCTTAAAAGAGCAGTTAGAACACTGTCTTGTGATTAACAGCTGGGCTGGGATTTATGTGCCTTCTAAACATAGTACATTTTTTTTTTAACAAACCCTTAACTGGTCACCATATATGATATGCCTGTTAACCCTTCGCCCTGAGAATGTAAAAAAAAAATGGACCATGAACCTGTGGGAATGTCCTAAAAAAATCATTTTTTAAAAAACAAACATTTTACACATGGAACTACTTAATTGTTTTAAAATTAATCTTTTTTTTTTTTTTGTAACTTTTGTTTTGAAATATATAAAGATATACAAATGGAGTTTTTGATAAACAAGAACAGTGAAATAATTAATAGAATGCATTCCCCAGGGACAAAAACATATGACCCATATTTCAATCACGAGACTTAAGGGGAAAAGTTTTTAAGTCAACCTGGCTTTAAAAAAGCTCTGCATTCACAAGGAAACCCCTCTAAACGCTATATTTGGTTGATTTATTCACATTCAGGCTTCCTAAACACCACACAGGTGCATATATAACAAATGGTTTAACTGCGCTTTCCCAAGAACATAGTGTACAAATTGCAATATATCTGTATTTGAAAGGCTCTGTCACAACCAAAATTGACTAGATTTAGGCATTGCAACATGGTGACAGGGTTAAGGGGCAGTGGATTTATTCTTGGTTTCCTCCAAAATGGGTCCTAAGTCAAATTTTTAAACCCTTTGAAGTATACAAGAAGCTACCTGAAATTTCCCTCCATCTTCTCTTGCAAGTAAACATATTTGGCAACAGGTGACATCAGCAGCTTGTTGATGACAGTAAAGATGATAAAGAAAGTGACTGTGCTGACTGGACCCAGATAACTTGTGCTGAGGAATAATACAACACAGCTTAAACACAGGAACAAACATTGGTATATGTGGTATTAATATTAAAGAGCAAAAAATAATAATCCACGTCGCTTTTAATATACCCACCGATAGATAAATAACACAATCTGATTCTCATATATGGCGTCTTCTTCTTCTTCTTCATTCATCCTAAAACACACAAATGCTTTGTGTCCGTTTGCAACCAGGCTGTGATATCTTCACCTTCCAGCCAAGAAATCCAGCTGCTGCAGGAATTCCTTGCCCTGTTATCCTTCCTGGCCATAATTATTTGAAAGATACACTTATAACCTATAATAGTGAAATCTATTACAATTAACACTTATATACAATGCAATATTAAATAGTAATAGTTTAAACAACAATATCTTATTCGATTACATGATATTTATGCTTGCAAATTACTTTTAGTTATTAATATTGCATAGATTATGTGTTAACTGCAGGAGTTTAGATTGTGCTTTAATATATTTTTGGCTCTTTTGATCCCAAGGAACACGACATATGCTAATCAATAACTACTCAAAAGACCAATCAGCACATGGCATTTCTGTTTGTAATTTACAACTGAGCAGTATAACATATGAACAGGGCAATTTGAATGTTCTTTCAGGTACTTTTGTGTTTAATTCATACAAGTGTTTGCATACATTCAATTTATAGCAAGTTTTTAATTTTAAAAACTATATTTTTAGTGGTCTACTGAGTAACTGTTTGAAAACCATACAGCTGCTCGTCTTCACACATACCAACATTACAATGTAACCTCTCAAAATGAACAAACAACTCTCAGAAAAGAAAATACATTTCTTTTTATAAAGAAAAAAAAGAACAATCTGCAAACTACAGATTCCACTGACGCGGAAGAGATTATTCAATTAAACATAAAACTGTCTTTAATTTTTTTTTTTTTTTTTTTAATTAACTAAACATAGAAAACTTAAATGAGAGAAGATACATTTTTTTTTTTTTTGCAAATACAAAAAAAAAGGGGGGAAAATATATCTATAAACAAAACAACGCAAAAGTTTTAAAAAAAAACAGAAGTTTTCAAAAAGTAAATAATGAAATAAAGCAACAACAACAAAAATAAATAAATTAATAAAAGGAAAATTCAAAGGAAATTTCTTTTTCATGATAAAAAGGACTAAAAAGGAAAACAGAGGTTAAGCAAATACAGATACAGATTAGAAACATATAAGAAGTTGAGTTTGAGTTTCACCTATAACTGCCCATATGTCACAGAAGTCCTCACTGGAAGAAAAGAACAGAAACCTAACAGACATGTTGTAAGAGAGACTGAGGTTAGGGTTAAGATTAGGGTTGGCTACCTCATCCAGTAAGACTTACAGCAAAGAAAGAAAAATAACCAATTATAGAAAAGTAGTGCAGGACACCCCTGATTGATTTAAAGAATATCAATAAGTAATTAGCCATAATTAGACATGGCTTTTGTGCTGAAATGCTATAGAAAGATTCTCAGAATATTTTGGACAAAGAAGAGGAGAAGTATATCTTGAAAGATCTGAACATCAAGGAAGATTGGCTAATAAACAGCATAATGTCTCGGAAGCTGAAATATTTTGGTCATATCAAGCGCCACAACAGATTGGAAAAAAATTATAGCAGAAGGCACAGTACCAGGAAGGAGGGACAGGGGCTGACCAACACGAAGATGGGCACAGGTTATAAGTGACTCCTTGAGTATGAAAGTACATGAGGTGGGAGAGCTGGCGAGAGACCGAGTTTCTTTCAGGCAGACCGTGATGAGAGCAACATTCTGCAAAGGACCTGCTACATGATGATGAATTAGCCATAAGCATACATGGTTAGTTAGAGGATTAGAAACAAACTTTCACTTACACTGTCCAACATTTATAAATATAATAACATATTGTGAACGGTGTGATGATAACAGGAACCAGAACTAGACTAAATGTTCTGCACAAGCGGTCAACATCCTGGGTTATTCTTTGATCTCTGCAAACAAAGACAATAACTTATTAACGGTAACAACACTGCTACCAGCTAAAACATCAGATCATTCTGACAGAAATTAAGCAAATTCTACCAAATACAGAGCTGAGGTGAGTCAAGAACCAACATCACAGCAATCACGACATTCCTATAAACACTCTGTCCCTAACTTAAGCAGCCAAAGACTCAATTCTGATGTTACCAGTAGCAGTCTGATATTATGTGGGGGGGGGGGGGGGGGCTGCGTGGTCACGACTCATGGTGTCTGCCTTGAGTGTTAGAGGTTCAATCCCAGTAAGGACAGGTATTTTTTTCATGTGGACTTTGACTTCTAGTAATCCCCCCTGGTCTGTGGGTAGTGAGATCGGACACCCATGTGCATGTAAAAAATCCCTTGGCAGTTGGAAATTGAAAAGAGTAGCCTAATGGCGCTGCTCGGGAACAATTTTGAGTTAAAAATCAACCCAAAGTATTTCAGGATCCTCGCCGGTGCTACAGAGCCTGTGCACTGTGTTGGGCTTCTTCGGACTCAGACTTGAGTTAGAAAAAGAACAGAGCACTTATAGGTTACCACCCATGTGCCATGATGTTGATCTGTTGTTCAATCCTCAAACCTCTGATAATATGTCTGTGTTATCTTGCCTCTGAGTGTAGGGTGTCAACCAGGTGCCCCTTCCCTTCTAGCTGTACAATTCTTTCCAAAGTCTGAGGATTATTCACACTTCTGCATTATTCACTTGTTCTCAAAGGGCCTTGATCACTTCTAGCTTCCTAAGCATCAGCAGCCAATCTGTTTGCTACATGCCCTAGAGAAAAGATCCAAAGTATGCTAACTACATTAGACTTCTGAAACTTTGCCACTCCATACTATATACCTTTCTCCACCTTTACTGCATTTCTGGTAAAGTCACACAAAATATCCAGATGTAGATAGGACATGTAAAGTAAAGTACTCTTTTTCATGCCTTTAGGCATACTGCACTTATAGGGCTAGACCTATATTTTATAGACCAATTGGCACTCAGTGGATGATGTGGTCACATCACACCAGCTACCTTTACTTCCCAGGACTATACCTGGTATCCACTCAAGGCTGGGTCAACATGGGAGCCAAGGACATTTTTTTTTTTAAAGTCCAGCTCTGTCAGGATCCGAACCCATGACCTTCTGAACTGCAGTCGAGCATCTAGCCACTCCAGATAGGACATGTAAATTAAGAATATATATTTTTCTAAATAATTAACTTCTAAAATTTAACTAAGCATCAAAGTAATGCTTTTAGTTCTAAGGTATTTTTAGAATTACAGCCAGACCTGTTAAGCAGGAGCTATCCTGCCTCAGACAAAGCAGTCATAGTTTGGTCAAATTATTCACCAAGATTCAGTGGATGCAATAAAGACTTGAGTAAGCTGTCATAAAAGGGAACAAGGGGGGCTGTTAGAGCTACAAGTTGATCAAGAGAAACAATGACAGAAGGGAATGTGGAATGGTACAAAAGAAGATAAGTGACCAAACTTCACAAAAACACAAAAGATATGTTTGTGGGTAGCATGATCATCATCATAATTGTCCTGTTGAAGGATTATATATTACACAGGGCTCGCAGTCTATTCCTTAATTCCATTCTAACCTATGTAATCAGTGTGCCATCATGAATTGAATTGAGTCTAGCACCAGTCCTCTCATATCAATGTTCATTTTAGGGTTTCTTTTAGACATCACTTACACAATGAATTTATTTCCCATTTTAGTGTCTATTTGGTGGTTCTCTGCTCATTTCTTTGCAGGATGTATCCGGTATAGTGCCAACTTCTTTGTCTCATACATGTTATTACCAGTGGTTGTCCAGACATTTCTCTTATTTCTTCAAACCTCTTGAATTCCTCCATGATCACCTTTACTATTTAGAAGGAGATACCTTTTTCTCCTGTCCACTGCACCCCCACCTCACCCCCTTTTTTCCAACCCACAAGCAGGTCATAAAATGTGACTAAGCTGGGTTTTGATGAAATTTGATGCGTAAGGGCTAAAAGTGCAGATATCACTGCCTGGCTGTAAACCAGAATACAACATGCCAGCCACAGTTTTCATGGTGAATGCAGAAGTAGAATACAACTGCATTCTTAATAGTTCCTCCGAGTTTACTCACTGATTCTGAGCGGTATGCTAACTCTGTTCTATGTAATAAGTAGGGATGCTTCTTTTGGCAAGTCAAGATACAAATGTATTTATAATAGAAAAGTCATGCACAACTGCAAGTTAACATTTACACCACAGTTGTTATCTAGGAATCAACCATTTGCAGATTTTAATTTTTAGTACCACTTCAACTGTAGTCACCCCCTATTTCTGACATCATTAAGCCTCATATAATTGCATCGTTCCTTTCCACACTGCTTTATTTATAATAAAAACAAACATTAATCTAAAAATGTATAACATATAAAAATAAGTGTAAAAAGAAATTAGTTTCTCTAGTTTGGTAGTTTAGAATTTTTCGTGGCAGAAATTTGACTAGAAAACTTGGAAGATACAAAAAAATTTACCTGTTAAACAGATTAGCTGCTGATTAACATAAATTATAAATATTGCATATTTTCTGCTTCTTTTTATCCCCCCCCCCCCCCTTTTTTTTTTCTCCAGTGGTTTTCAGATAAAGGTCACAGGTCTCAGCAAAGTTTGTGCTACTAAGCATGTCCTACACTGATCCGTATAGCTTCCTATCCACAGGAATGCCATCTGTCAGTATGTTGAATGTTGTTGAATATTGAATTGCCAATCGACATCATAGCACTTGGGACATTCCCATAAGCGCTCTGTCCCCATCTTCAGCAGCAAACAAAGAGTTCAAATTCTGATGGTACCAGTAACTGTCTGATTGTATATCCATCTCGCCTTTCCCCGCCAAAGAGCCCTCACAACATCTAGCTTGTCATTAATCAGTTCACAACCAAGTGGTGCAGAACCGGCCAGTCTATCTGCCTGCTCATTTTGCAACACACTGGCTTGTCATACATCAGTTCACAACCAAGTGGTGCAGAACCGGCCAGTCTACCTGCCTGCTCATTTTGCAACACACAGGCATTACCTGGAGAGAATATCCAAAGTATGCTAACTACCCAGGACCTCTGAAGTGATGCTTGCCACTCTGCATGGAGCATACCTGTCTCCACCTTTCTCAACATGCTCTGTGAGTCAGTTACAATCATGGCATGTGTGTACAGCTGATTCTCAAGCCAGCAGAAGGTCAGTATAACCATTTCTGACTCAATGCTGCATTCACTGAGTTATCTGGATACAGCTTCGCCCAGCGCCACTAAATCTACAATTCTACAGCGTAACTGGAGGAGTGTTTTCCTGAAGGGAGACTATATCCTTTTATACAACCATTGATCATGTCAGTACGGACTTCACCTCCTCCACCACTTACAGATTCCTGTGCTGAGACAACCATGAATACCCATATCCGTATGTTTTTTCCTAGGAATGGGGTGGGGGATGAGGAGTTTTGTTGTAACATCTGATTGGTGACTGAATTGCATTTCCAAGGAAGTATGTTGTCCTTGGGTTAGTATGCCATCTATTGTGTTTCTAATGTGAAAGGTGCTTGGGGTTCCATGGCGCAAATTCAGGCTAAGTAGGCAATTTTATTTTTTGGGTCAGGAATTGGAAGCTCAGATTTTAAGTGCAAAATCTTTGGTTGTCTAGATGAAGTTAATTCTTTTTAAAAAAAAAGTTATTTTCTTGTTAATAAAAGGTCTGTTACAAAATAGGTCCTTATGCATGCATGCAGTGTTTTTCTAGTATAGACAAGTTACAGAACTAGGTGAGCAAGCCATGGATTGCAAAACTGACATTGTTTCCATCGCTGCATGCCGGGGTTGAGCATCAGCTGCCAGTCACAGTAAGAATGTTTAGGTTTTTGTACCTTTGCAATTTTCTGGAAGATTTTTTTTTCCATATGACATATTATATTCTAATACTAGTCAAACATATCCAATATAGGTTAACCCTGTATATTTCGACAGAGGCTTCCCACCCAGTACATGCTACTTTTTTTGCCTAAATTAAAGACTGCAAATTAAAAATCACATTACTGACTTCAGAGCAGTTACCTTCAACAGATGACACAGATTATAAATATTGTTTCGGTTTACATTGTACCAAGTTTTTAGGTGCTCCTTCAGTCTTCCACCTCATTACTTTCATGCTTTAGGTTTTGCAGTTTAATTATGCAACAGATGGCTGGTTATTGATTGAAATACCATGTTTTTTAATTATCAACATCTCTCCTGAAAGTAATTGTTTAGCGGGCACATAAACAGTAGCAGCACATCACCCTACTTCTCAATGAGCACAGCAGAAGCGCAAAGTACTAAATAAGTGGATAAAACACAACAAGCTAACAATTCAGGGATGATCAAAACTACAGGAACAACTTGAAAAACTGCTCAGTGATTTTTACAACTAAACCAGCAAAACAATGAGGCAAGAATGAAAGGACACAGTGGCAAGACTGTAATGGATCCTTCAAAAGACTAGTCCTTTTCAGGATTAACACTCAGAAATGCACTTTAGAAAATATACATGAAGACTTCATTGTTTGGAAACGGTATTTTAAAAAAACAGAAGAAAATGTGATGACAAACTATTTTTAAAAACTCATCTTTTTTCTTTTTTAATATTTATTTTTCCAAAATAACGCAATAACTTTTGGCAAAAATTTGAAGGCACACATGGCAATAAAACTCATAGCTTATCTCAAAAGTAAGTGATTACTGAACATTGTTCGGACAGGAGGCATATAAAGGGATGGTCACCCCACCTTGCTGAGCACTGTACATGCTATGTGACTGTGCCTTCTAAGACTCACACTGATAGTCTTCAACAACAACAAACAAACAAAAAAATGTGTATACCAACCCAGGTTCAGAATTCACACACATTTTTCTTATTTTAAAATGCGTAGTTGTTGTAGTACTGATTAATTTTGTGCGTTTTTTACTTTCTTGTCATAATAAGGCGGATAAAAGAACCACAGCCACCAAAAAAGAAAAAAAGTGTGACATATCGTACTTCACATAAAAATGAAATTCAAAACTGTCAAATGTTTCAAATGTGAATGAATAACTTTGAAAGGTAATTAAATACTTACGGATTATCAATGGTCTTGTCAGTAACATTGAGTCTGTAGTAAAGGATGTCACTGAAGTACTGATTATGAATAGCATAACATATACTCCTTCTCCAGGTGATGTATAGGAATGATGCAACAAAGAATTTCAAACTCAGTAGCTGAGGGAATAAATGTAGATATATTATGTATGTATGTATGTATGTATATGTGTGTGTGTATATATATATATATATTATATATATATATATATATATATATATATATATATATATATATATATATATATATATATATATATATATATATATATATATATATATATATATCCACCCCATAAAAGTCAACAGTACTGTATACACATATCATTTCAGTGGTAGATCTGTTCCCACAAAAGCCACACTGGGACTCTGGGTAAACCTGGTCTCCTAGGATATGGCTGGAGTCTTCACAGAACAATTCTCGCAAGTACTTTTCCAACAGTACACAACAGTGATATACCCCTGTAGTTTTTGCAGTCACTTCGATCACCCTTGTTCTTGTACATAGTTATGATCCTTGAGTCTTTCAAGTCCTGTAGAACTTGTCCCTCTTGCCAGCAGTGTTATTAGCTGATGAATATGTGGGGTTAGAATGTCTTTCCCACTCCTGATGATCTCAGTAGAAATCCCATCTCTGCTTGGGGCTTTCCCTCCCCAAAGCCAGTCCATCAATAGTATTCCTAACTTCTACGAGTGTTGGAAATGTGCCCAGACAGTCCAGAGCTGGTAGCGTCTTCATAGCATTAAGAGCACTATTTATAATAGATGTTAGTTTAGTATCAACTGAATACAGCTCACATAATATCCCCCCCCCCCCCCCCATCTTTCTAGCTGCTTCTTCCTGTCATTATTAATCTCCCCATTCAAACTCTTTAGTGGTGCACTTTATCTTAATAGTTGAGCCGATGGCCTTCTTTATCCCCTCAAACATGCCTCTAACATTACCACTTCTGTTAGCATATGTGAGTATATATGTGTATGCAGGCACGGTGTATATATGCGTTGGGGGTCTCTGTGGCAAAGTGGTCAAGCTGCCCGCCTTGCGCTCTGAAGGTCATGGATTCACTCCACAGCTTATATATATATATATATATATAATATATATATATATATATATATATATATATATATATATATATATATATATATATATATATATATATATATATATATATATATATATATATATATAAAAATATATATATATTTTATATATAAAAGAGTTTAGGTGTATTTAATTAATGTGTATGCATGAGTGTGGGTGCATGTATGTGTCTGTATGAGCACGAGTGAATGTATGCATTTGTAGGAGGGTGTATGTATGAGTGTCTGTGTATGTATGTATATATGAGTGTGTATGTGTCTGAATGTATGGGCATGTAAGAGTATGTGTACATGAATATTTGGATTGTGTATGATTGTGTATATATGATGTATGTACGCTTATTTCATTATGTATATTTTAATATAAACATAACATGCATAATCGATAACATGCAACTGTGGTTTGATAGATGGGTGCTTGAAAGGGCCAAATATAAGACAGGCCTGTGTACGCCAATTTTTACCATTTGAAATAAAGTTTGTTAATTCTCTCTAATAAAGAGAATAGGGGGCCTTTGAGCTGAAATGCTATAGAAAGATTCTAAGAATATCTTGGACAAAAAAAAGGAGAAATATCGATATCTTAAAAGATCTGAACATCAAGGAAGATTGGCTAATTAACAGCATCCTTTCTCGGAAGCTGAAATTTTTTGTTCATATCAAGCGCCACAACGGATTGAAAAAAATTATAGCAGAAGGCATGGTACCAGGAAGGAGGGGTAGGGGCTAACCGACACGAAGATGGGCACAGGATATAAGTGACTCCTTGAGTATGAAAGTACATAAGGTGGGAGAACTGGCGAGATACTGAGTTTCTTTCAGGCAGACTGTGATGAGAGCGACGTTCTGCAAAGGACCTGCTACATGATGAATTCTCTCTCTCACTCTCTTTCTCTCTTTCTGTCTAATTAATATAGTGTTTCTGGTTAAGATCACATAGTTAAAAGACATAATTAAATCATTTGTTTTTAAAAAAAAGTTAAGAAGGGCAAATGTTAAATGATTCAGAATAATTGTTAACTCTCTGAAAATAAAGTTCATTTCTATCCATTTATCTATGTATTTGTGCAAAGAAAAAGTCACTGTAATACATAAGTTTTAAAAAAAGCAAGACACTTACAAATGCCTTCCCAATTATCAGACTTATTGAATAAGCAACATGGGATGTAAAGCCAGATTCATCATTGTCTGTGAAGATCTTGTAAAACTTGCTAGGCACCAGACCAATAAAATAAGTAACAACTTGCTCTGTGAAAAAATATTTGAATTTTTGTTATAAAGTACAAAAGGAACTATATCAATGTGGCTTTTGTTCTACTGCTGGATCTCCACCTGAATTCTTCAGAGAGGAATAAACATTGTTTTCAATGGATGAGGTTGGCTAACATCAGTCATTCTCTGTTGCCTCTAATAACATGTATGGTAGCTTACAACATTTCAATTCTCTACTCACTTCCAAAATGGCCTTGGAATACATGGATAGGACCAGCTGTATATAATCATTTCCCCTGTAAAAATCTTTTTTTTTTTAAAATAATTGGTAGACAAATATACATTACTGAAATAGAAAAAAAATAGTCTATATTTCACAATTATAACCCATGTGGATTTAAATGGATATTTTTTTTTATTACTAATACTTTTAAAAATAATTACCTTTTTCAATATTTTATGTTTTAAAAAAATAATATAAAATCTCAGAAAATCTACCCTAAGAAACTGAAGTAAAAGAAGTAGTTGGAAAAAAAACTTGTTGAGTCTTGGTCAATTTTTATTAAAAATGCAGGGCTGAACCATAGACCACAGAGAAGACAGGCAACTGTGATGGCTATTGTGACACTGGCCATCAATTCACTAAAAAAAAATTCATTTTTTTTCCTTTATTCACTTTTATTAGCGGTATAATTATTTTTAGTAATAAAATTAATCACTAAATACAAACAGTGCAAAAACTTAACAGCTTTCCTTCCCTTTGACCATGATAAATGTAATTTTGTTGACTTAGTTACTTGGAGCAAAGCGACATCATATGTTATGACAGAAAGATGCCACATTTTTTGGGGGGAGGATTTTGTTTTCCAACCAAAAATATATCTATTAAAACAAAATGGGTGGTAAACATAATTATATCTACCATGTTTTCATTCTATGTAGTTGCAACCAGTACCAAAGCTATTATACAAACGTAGTGGCCGCTGTCTTAAGACTGTTATCAGCAACCAGTAAATGCCAGAAATATGGCTTTATTTTGGCAATAGGGTGGAATTATCAAGCCGTATAAAAACAGACGGTCCTGCAATGTCCTGTAAAGGATATGCAACTAACCTATAAAAACAGAAAATCTAATAATTTTTCTTAGTTTTAAGCGGTTAATGGCACATTTGAAGTAAAAAATAAAGAAAATATTAATGATGAAAGTAACATTCAACAACCAGGACAAAACTGGCACCTGATAGTGATACTCAAGTGTCCCAAGCAACACATCATGTCTGATTGGTCAATGTCTGTGTGCATCAAACAACACATGGTGTGTTATTATTCCCTTCACATTTGATCTAAAGAAATCTGGCTTGTCATTTTCAAAACAGTGTATACTACATCTGTGAAATTCATAGTGGTGTTATTTTCACTGTGGTTATTGTTTCAAGGTAACCTATTGCTCATCACATAACCCATCAAGTGCCAGCTGGTCTACAGATTTAAAGGTCAAGTATTATATCTTCTTCTTCTTCGTTGCATTTGGTTTCACATGCTCAGTTTAGACCATCAGGTGGGTTGCCTCTATGAACTCGCATGTCAGCTGCAGGTCCTTCAAGGTTCCCCATAGCTTGTTCTGCACACTTTGCTCTTGAGGCCAGGTGTCTTTTCGAAGTTTAAGGTAGGGTAGGCATGTCTCTGCAGAATGTGCTCAGGTGGTTGTGGTCCTGTTTGACAGGCACCCTGTGGGGTCTGTACAATCTTTATTTTATGCATGTGGTAGTGCTGCCTAATGTCCTGTTCGTAGACCGAAATTTGTTGTATGTTGTTTTCTGTTGAGTCTGCTGATGAGGTCTCGTAAATGTTTAAAGCATCATATGAATGACATGAAACCGTACTGTACTCAAATTATTTAAATATGACAGCTAAAGCAAAGAAAAGTCTACATCCTGCAGATTATTTTCTTGAAAAATTTCACCCCTACTCAAGGATTTTTTTTTTTTTTTTTGCTGGTACGCAGTGCCGGCACATTCTTTTTTTTTTTTTTAAAGTCATTTTTTTAGTGTGACAGTAATAGACACTGTGTTGTCTTTTATAGACACTTTGTGGAGAGTACGAGAACTTTCTTTTAGAAAAACATAATGCTCATCATCATCAACTTACACTTTGCCATTGGGCGCCATAAGGAGGAAATGCTTACAGTCCACGGCTACATCGGTAGCATCTCTTTGTAGAAGTTGTCGCCGTATTTTAATTCGAGGACAACCTTATGAGCTGCTTTTCTATTAATGTGGTGCAAGGTGTTCTAATTGTCTGATAGTACCATTTCTTACTCATCTCAGATGGTTAAGTTGGTGGCTTTCTTCAAGCATCTCATCTTACAGCTGTTTATTTTATGTAGGTGATTAAGTTCCAGACTCTTAAAGCTATATAGACATATAAATTATAATACAAAGGAAAACTTGATGCAAAAATAATAATCTTACCTAGCAAGCAAAGCAGCAACAAGAACAAAGTCAGCCATACTGACGCACTACGCCAGGATGGAAAAAGAAATCCGCATAGTTTCCAAAATCGCTTGAAAAACAATATCCCAAATTTGGCTCTGTAATTTTTAACAACAAAAGATTTAGAAATAAAGTAATTTTTCATATATTACAAGAGGGAGGACAATATCCTAGGATGGATGAACAGCAGTCTGAGAATTAACATTTGCCAATGATGTTCTTGCATATCGGCAGGGGAGTGTTAGGCAATAGATAACCCAAGAGCTACAGGCAACTGTAGACAAAGTGACTGACTGGTAGGCAGAAGTGACTGCTGTCATCAATTCAGAAAAAACGGTTGTTTTGTGGTGTTCTCTGGACAATAGAATTGTAAGATCTAATGTTTTTATAGAAGCCTATTTATACAAATGGCTCTGTTTTGAGGGGCAGATGAAGTGTATAGGGGTTTATAGCAAAAGCAAATTGATGTCGCATAGTGCAGCAAAGCTTGGCATATGATATCACGTCTAGTTTGAGAATGGAGGTGGAAGCAGTCACTGCTGCCTTTAGAATCAACTGTACACACATGCCGTGATTATATCTGACACAGACTATGTTGAGAAAGGTGGAGACAAGCATGCTCCATGCACTTCAAAGGCCCTGGGCAACTAGCATCCTTTGGATTTCTCTAGGTTATGCCGGTGTGTTAGGAAATTGGCAGGCAGATAGACTAATAAATGGAATAGCCCACTTATTTATCTTCAAAATGACAATTCATTCAATAACACATGTTGCTAATTAATTAAACTGTAGTTTAATTTATGTATAAATCTACTCAATGTAAATAAATGATGAGCCCTGACCGGCCATGAAAGCCTCACAAAAACGGGAATGCCCGTTTGAGCTTGATGGCCTTACTGCTGGAGCCGGCCGGGCTTTTAACTATCCCAAAACATCTAGAACTGGGCTTAACCCCAACCCACCTACATCCCACAAGATAGTGCAGCCTAGGTCCGACAACTGCATGCAGCTAATCTACCACCCCCTAAATTATTGCACGTCTGTTTGGGGTGATTTATTGGGATAGTACCACCAAGCACCATATGTCCAATGTGAAACCTTGTTGGACTCAAAATTATTTAAGACAGGTTAAGCCAAAAAAATTGTGTGTATCCTGCAAATTATTTTGTTGTAATCCTTCCCCGTTACTCAGTAACTTTTTTCTGGCAGTCATAGTAACAGCACCTTGTTTTCGAGTCATTTTTTTCTTTCTTTTTGCACTGCACATCACTTGATCATGTTTACCTGAATGGTGTCCTTTCCTGCGCTGTAGCAGATAATATTTTTATAGGGTGGGGGAGCTGGCCCCATGCCCAACCTTTCTTCTTTCTCATCCGTGCTCGGGACCGGCGATGGCGGAGATTACTCTTAGTATATGACATGAATACTGCAATGTGAGTAAGGAAAGGACTGTTTCATACATTTGCCATATGGTGCTATACTCATATTTTCATAGATAAATCAGCACTTGATAGGTGATACATTTGGCTGATTTTTTTTTTAAAAACCCGCAAAATAATGACTAAAATTATCATAAATATTTTTTTGTTTTGCCACCACCTTGCAGTGGCCATCATAATTGCCTGTCTGATCGATGATCATAGGTTTCAACCCCATGGATTTTTAGGCTATCCTCCGAATAACAGGCACAAAAGATGGCGGCCGCAAAAACATCTTAACAGAGCCTCAGTCACATGTCAATTGCTCACTTCCGGCGACCTAATTTGCGGTTTTCCGGCGACAACCACCATCGCCGAGAGTATCCCCCACGCCGCTCACGTGGTGTGGATTGGGGCTAAACTAAATAGATGGGACTCACGAGCAGCAGCTTCCGCACCTCCTACAGCTTTGCTCGTGAGTCGCAGCCATCTAGTTTAGCCCCAATCCACGCCGCGCGAGCGTGGGGGATACTATTGGTGGTGGCGGTAGTCGCCAGGAAACCACAAATTAGGTCGCCGAAGTTCGCAACTGACATGTGACTGAGGCCCTGTTTTTGGCCGAAATTAGCCACCATCTTTTGTGCCCGTTATTCGGAGGATAGCCGATTTTATAATGATCAAGACTTCACATTTGTTTCTTATTCCTCTGTTCTAGTTTTATAACAATGCATTTATTTTTTAACAAAATTTGGAAAACGGTGAATTTTTAAGATTCTCATGGTGAAAAGGGTATAATTCTCTTGGTTACAGCTGTTGCCACAAACTGTGCGTTAGGATTTTTAGTTCTGCACCTGATATAAGAAATAACCGTCATTTGCCAGGGCCTCCCTCATAACAGCCTGGTGCCCTTAATCAGTCATAAAGCTTTATTTTGATATAATTATTTCAAATGTGTGTGTACCTTTACATTGTGATTAAACAATGTGTGCTACATATCACACTATTGTGCAGGTAATGGTTCCTGATCTCTACCTGTCCTTCACACTGACGATGTTGATGACACTGCTAATTGCTACAGTAAAACATCCAAACTAGGTGCTAATTATTGGGTTGCAGTTGAGGTCGCTTTGTACTTCTACTGCATGATGGTTAAACTATTCATCATCATCATCAGGTGCCTTGCCGACTGGCGTGGGCGATCATGCCTCTCCATAATCTGCGATCTGCAGCATGTATCAGTTCGTGTGCCGACACACCTCCATGCCATGCAACAAGACTGTCAAGCATCTTCTCTCGTTGTCTTCCTCTATCTCTCCTTCCACATATCTTTCCAGTGGTCACAACATGTTCTATTTTCCCTCTTCTCATAACATGGCCGAAAAATGATGACTGTCTCCTTCTGATGTCTGTGATAAGTTGTCTTCGGGCTCCCGCCTCTTTCAAAACCTCTTGGTTGCTCTTTTTTGGCTGTCCAAGGTATTCTAAGCATAATTCAGTAAAACCACATCTCCGAGGCCTCCAGAAATTATTTAGCCTGCCTACAGATTGTCCAGGATTCACAGCCATATGTTAAAACTTGATGTATGTAGCAAGCAAGAATTCTTTTTCTAACTCTCAATGACAAGTATATATTGCACAAGATGTTTTTTATTTTATAAAATGCAGTTTTTGCCTGTCCCATTCTATTTCTTATCTCAGTTATGCATCTTCCATCAGATGTTATCCATGTGCCCAGATACTTAAATTTATGTACTTGTCCTAAAATAACACCATCAACTTTTATTACACACTTAGGAATAATTCGTTTCTTTGATACCACCATTACTTTTATCTTCCCATTATTCAAACTGAGGTCCATTCTTCCACTTTCTAACACCACAATGTCTATCATTTCCTGTAGTTCTTTCTGACTTGTTGCTATCAAGACTGTGTCATCAGCATAACGTAAATTGTTTATATTGTGCCCACCAACCACAATTCAGGGCATACCAATTAAAGCTCTCATTTTATATTCACTGTATATTGAAAACAAATAAGGAGACAGTACACATCTATGTCATACGCACCTCTTTATGCTTTGAAATTTACCTAAACAGTTGTTAATTCTTATAGCTGCTGTTTGCTGCCAATACATATTCTTTATTATTCGTAGATCTTTACCATCAATTTTTCTAAGTTTGATTACTTCTTCATGCTTCACACAGATGCTTTTGTATAGTCTATGAAGCATATGTACAAATCAGTCTTTACTTCTATAGCTCTTTCTGACAATGCCCTTAGGGTGTATATGGCATTGTTTGTACCTTTTCTTTCTACAAATCCACATTGTTCATCGCTGATTTATGGTTTAATATTGTTTCTTATTCTTCTCATAATTATTCTCAGTAAAATCTTAGTCATGTGACTCATAAGACATTGTGTGATGGTCTTCACATTTTATAGTGCCTGGTTTCTTAGGTAGAGCTATAAATATGGATTTTAAAAGGTCATTTGGAAAATACCCACTATTTTAAATATCATTTAAAAGTTTATTATTTCAATTCCAAAATCTCCCAGTGCTTCGATTTCTTCCAGTGAGTTGTCTGGCCTGGGTGATTATACTATTACTGATAATGAAACTGTCAATGACAATAGTGTTGATAATGAATGCAGATAAAAATATTGTTTATTCACGGTATTCAGCCAATATAGGCAAAATAATATCCTGACCACTGAGGAAAAAAAGAAAATGAGCAAAAAATGTGTCTAGCCCTTAAACAGTGACTTCAAACACATCCAGCTGACAATGCTGTGGCTGTAAAAGATTATGACATTTATAAAACTCATGGCCCGGCTCTCTAGCGTAGTTGGCTAAACCGGATTGCGCGGAGACCGGGTGATGAACTCCTTGTGGTCCGGGTTCAATCCCATGGATAGGCAGTAAAGCCACATTTTCTCCCAGATTTACAGTATTTACAATGGAATCAAGGCCGAAAGGTTGCAATATCCATAATACCGAGCCTAAGGGTTAACAACTCATGGCTTCTGGATACTAAAACAAACAAACATAAAACTCATGAAGGAATCATCATCAGCCTAGGCTTAACTCAGCTAGTCTGTACATTCTGTGCTCAATTATGACATCATCACTACCATGTACTGTGCAAATAAACATAGGCTGTTATTTTTTGCCACCACCCATAATCACCAGAATCACAGATCAGGTCAGTGTTATTCATCTCGCCCCATCCGTATGGCCAAGTCAGCCAGGTATTTATCTTTTTATCTTCACCTTGCTATTTTTCTGTAATGACTTCATTCTATTGTAAAATTTCCATCTACACATAGAAAATTTACAGTAAATAGTTTTGCAAAGCCTGGTGATATCTAAGCTTGTAGAAGTGAGTGAGAACTCAGTAAAACAGTCCCAAAGGAAATGATACTTCTTAAAGTCTCACCATCATACTTTGTTTGATCGATGCAAGTCATTTTCATAGCTCAAATAATGTGAATGCCTACACATTGAATTTAATCCTCTGGACTGAGATGCTGCTACAAATCCCAGAGAAGCTACTAAACCGGGATTGCTGGACTGGCCAGTCCCTGAAAAGCCTAGTTAGTGCCATTGGTTCTGTTTGTGCATGTGCAGTGTTGGGGCTCAGACATGATTATATTGACTACAAAATAACATTGATGGATGGTGTTATCTGGAAAAGGTGGAAAAGGGGGGGGGGGGGGGGAGGACTTTTTAGCCATTATGATGTCATAGTTCCACATTAACCTACAGTAATTAGGGTCACAGGCGCTGGATCCGAGGGGATCATGTCTTTTTTAGCCTTCTACCCCCAACAAAAAATTGTTTAAGGATAGGGACTGAGGTGCACCTAGACAACTAGCCCTCTATTGAGTGCAGCGTCTATAAAACTACATCAGCTTATCCTGACTTCAAATAAAATATACAGGAAAATCAGTCTATCTCAGTATTTGCCCTAACTAAGAATGGTAGTAAGGCAGTGCTTCATGTTACAGCATAGGTGTTATCAGGGAATTTCCTTGCTAAAAATAACAAAAGCCAGTTTAGTGTCAGGAAAACTGGAGTGATGGTGAAAATATGTGCTAGTCACATACGAAAGTGGTTCTGGTGCCTCAAGGACACCCTCCCCACACACAAAAATTTGACGGAAGACATATCCCCTTTCCACCCCCCTCCAGTAACCATGCACAGAAATAATAATGTGCTGAATGGAAAATAAATATAACGTACTAGGGCTATCTTCCGAATAACGGTCCCAAATTATAGAGGCAGAAAATATACCCTAACAAGGCCTCAGTCACGTGTCAATTGCGTACTTCAGGGGACTATACCGCGCCGCCAAATTGCGAAGCTCCACCACCGCCAAGAGTGTCCCCCACACAACTCATGCGGCGGAAGTGCACAATTGACACGTGAATGAGGCCTATTAGGGTATGTTTTCTGCCTCGATAATTTGGGACCAATATTCAGGAGATAGATCGTGCTAGAAACAATATGACATTTATAAAGAAATATTTTACAAGATAATTTATATTCATTCATCTTAGCTCCCTTACAAAATTACTGGGTTGTCAGCCCCCCACCCCTTCCCCCCCAATTTATACTTAAAAAATTTGTCAGATAAATTCCCAGTGATTGACTTTGTGGTGGTGTGTCAGACTGGGGTTATGGTAGGAGTCAATGTGTGCATTTTTCTTCAAGGCTCAGGTGACTGTAGTCATTTAATACTACACTCTGTTTGTTTATTTAATGATTACTTTTTTCAAAAATACTTGTAAAAGGTAGACATGTGTTGTTTTTTTTAAATGTAATTTCTCCTTGACCTGTGTTTATTTCTAGAAGATGCTTTTTTTTTTTTTTGGGGGGGGGGGGGGGGGGTAGAGGGGGTCGATTTCCAGATTCTTGGGTATCTAAACAGTTTCTGAGGTAAAAGGGTTAAGCTTTAAAAACAAGTCTCACAGAAAATTCACCAACCCAACCAGTTACAAAGAAACAGAAGAAAACAAAATGCTTAGATTTTACAAAAACTTGACTTTATTCTCATCTGGCTAATGCTTGCTTTTTTTCTGCAGCCAGTTGATACTAATGTTGAAAACCTGATAAACAAGACAGTGTTATTACCCATCATTACAGTCCTATTAAAATGCATAACCACGCTACTAAATGTGCTGTGATGTTCAAAGGTTTTATCTGTATTCATAAACAATCAAAGATAGATTATTTAAATCCAAAAGTAATACAGTTTGTTTTGATGGAATAAAGCTTCCTAAAGGATTTCTTTTTTTCTGCATTAAAAAAAAAGTATTTGCAACGATAGTTAATGAAAGCAAAATAGTATCTCCATTTATAAATTATATACAGCCTTTTAATAACTTGTATCAGTTTTTTTTTTTTCTTGCCAACTAATTTCAAAACGTGAAATAAGGGTTCTTCAATTTAAACTTTGTCTATAGGTAAAATGGTGAATTTTATTTTTGATTTAATAAATAACTAGAAAAAAATTATTAAAGCACAAATTAATTTAATTAAAGTGAACACGAACAAAGAAAATACAATGTGCACATTATTTTTTTTAAAGAAAACAATACTATAGGTGCAGGGACAGAGTTTGTCAGTGAACCACGAGACTCACTCATCGGCTGACGCCCTCGTCCGTCGACTGCTACCTAACACATCCATGCCACGAGAGAGACAGACGATCTTTGTGCTGCGACACCGGGTTTTGTTTGTGTCGGTAACTTCAAATGTCGTTTCAAATCTTCCTACAGAATAAACTTTAATTCATGGCTTCTAAATGATAAATAATACATTTTATAATGTTTGAATTGTTTTAAATATTCACTAAAAAAGTATTGATTTTTTATAAATATATATGAATATTAAATTTTAGTCAATGATTCATGTATTCTTTTAATTAATGCCGTAAAAAGAATGACAAACAGTTTTTTAATATTTTATTGATCAAGAACAAGAACTCGTCTCCTAGGCATTCCTGAGCGTCAAAATGGAAGACGGGGGTCTAGGTTTAGGAACACAGCAAAAAAAGGTTTGCGATTTCTGTGTTATAGAGTGGTTAATTTTGAAGAAGTTTGATGCTTTAATTTATACTGTGTCAAACAAAACACTGTAGTTCTTCTTTAAGCATGTTTTTTTTTAATAGTATAAAAAGATGAAGTTTATAGAAACCGACAACAAACGGAACGTACTAAAACGATTAATAACGAACATTTCGATTAAAGTCATCATTAACACAGCGATGAAGGAAAAAACCACAGGAATATCTGACTACAGACAGATAATAGATTCTGCAGTAAATTGACTTCTAACATTTATGTCACTGCCATGAAATCTTGTTCATGGGATGTTATTACCAGTCTATCCATTTGAAATCGCGTTATTTATCGTTTGGGTGTCTTCACCCAGCTACTGAGTTGAGTGATTGGTGCGACAGTGGAGACTTCATGTGATATGCAGTGTTACATAGGCACTGCATGCTTCCATGGTTAACTGCTTGGATCAAAAGTGAGCTTCAATTCTGGTGGGATACTGTTGTTGTTGGCACATCTGACTGCTGTCTTTTGCATTTCCTATGCATGTGTCAGCTTCATGATTTTTGCTGGGTCTGATATTTTTTCTCAAATGGGACAGTGGAGAATATTTTGTGTGATTTCCGCTGACACAGGAATGATGCAAATATAGGAAGACCTGACTGCAGAAACTAACCCATCAGGAATTAATATTCAGATTTCGTCTTTCAGATCTACCCAAATTTTTTCTAATGTGTTTCATTTACTTTGTACTCAACCTTTTTACTTTTTGTTTCCAGAAGTACAGATTTCATTATAGTTTTGTCTGTGTTTTTCTTCTCTTTACTAAACGCAGTATCTGCAACTTTTTAAAGGCATCATTGTTTTTAGGCACTGTTGTAATTGACACTTGGATGTGAGTACCAGTACCTTTTCCTTTCAAGACACTTTATGGTGATTACTGGCAGTGTTTAAAACTTTGGTTAAAACTGTTAATTTGTGTGTGTGTTTTTGTTTTCTTAGCCAGCATTTCCAGTTCTCTTTGCCTGTGTGTGTTTGGTGGTTCATAAACTTTAATCTGTAATGAGAGATTTGAATGCCTAAATTACCTGGCAAGGCATGTATTGATTATAGAACTATATTACTATTACCTTTACCCGCACAAGACTGCAAATTATACCTGCTTGTCAAAGCCATTATGGGTAAACTAGTCCGGCTAGCTAGCGTAGTTAGTTAAACCTGACTTTGTGGTGCCAGGGTGACGAACTCCTTGTGGTACAGGTTTACGCCCAGGGGTAGGCAGAAAATCCACATTTCTCCCAAATTTATGGTATCTGTCATGAAATCAAGGCCGAAGGGTTGCGATATCTATAGTACTAAGCCAAAGAGTTAACAACTCATGGTTTCTAGATACTTAAAACAAAAAAATGGATGCTCTAATTAGATTTTCCTTGGATGTTAAACCGGGATCTGCCTTGTTGATTCAGATTGTAATTTTTGTTTCATCTCAAGGTGTCATGAGACAGGAAAAAAACACATTTTAAAATATGGTGATTGAAAATGGTTTGCGTTTATTCTACATAAATTTGTCAAATACACCTTCTGCTCGACTTATGACCTGTGTGACTTAATACCCTCTGCACTTACGACCACACAAAATAAGTAAATAAAACAAGTAAATAAAGAAAGATGATTACATTGGTAGGGTCATAAGGTTCCCAGAACTGGTGCCAAGAGCAAAGCAGGGTTTTATTAAATGTTTATGGATTGAATGTTTGTGTTTTATGTACGTTGTACCTGTTTGAATTAAAATAGTGTTGAACTTACCACCAGTTTGACTTAGCGACCTGTTAGTCAAAACGGAACTTGGTCGTAAGCTGCGAGAAACTGTAGTATGTTTTATAGTGGTATAAACTAATATTATCATAATAAAATAATTCTCCCATTTGTTAAATTATTTTAGAAGGGAGCAAAGTCAGGACGCAGAGCAACAGGTGCTCCCTCAGTCACAGCATCTACACTTGATGAAGAAGAGCTTGCATCAGAACTGCCATCCAAGAAAAACACATCAGCAAGTGACTTTTTAAATATAACTTCAAATAATTGTTAATGTTTTTATTTATTATCGTATGCCCTGAGAATTTCATTTGGATGGAGTCAGTTGGTGGTTTGGGGGGGGGGGGGGGAGATTGACCCACTCCTGTAGATGCAAGCCCTTATCAGAACTTTATATATAAAAACAAACAGACAGTGTATTGATCGGCACTCATAGAAAGAAGTAGAAAGATAGAAGGACACACAAGACAACATAAAAATCAAAAGTTATAGTTACCGTGCCAAGAATATAACCTGCCACCCCTAAATGGCATGAGTGTCTCGCTGTCGCCATCGTCTGGCCACTAGGTCTCTCCAAGAGAACTAGACCATTCATATTTCGTATAAAAGTAGCCAATATGATCTGGAAAATGCTTTTTCACCGAATAGACTGCATACCCTGGGTGTACCAATTGGAGCGAAGAGACAGGAAAACCATGTGGGAGCCATCCGTCATTACATCAGCCAGAACAGAATAGCTTAATTTGTTAGCTTAAGAACACATGAAGACATACAAAGGACAAGAACAGAGCACTTTTTATCATGTCCGATGTGCACTGAAGATGATCTCTAAAACAAACAATGAACAGTATTATGTTGCTCACAAAAACTATTGAGTGTTAGTTGGAATATAAAAATATTTGACTCACACTAAGTCTCTACTTCAAGGAGTGGAAAACAGTTTCCCATCAGAACACCCTAAATAAATTCTCCAACAATTTTATTGTTGGCTAGTGAATATATTGTTGGTCTTCTCATTTAAAAGCTGGAAAAAGGAGAGCTTCTATGTGGAACATGAGTATTTGAAGAATCGCAACAGTTGGAGCTTCTAGAAAGTAGGCCATGATTGCCACTGATCTGTTAATAATTTTAAATTAGAAGTGGTAACGGCTATCCTCCGAATAACGGCCTCAAATTATTGAGGCCCAAAATATACCCTAACAGGGCCTCAGTCACATGTAAATTGCCGACTTCGACAGCTACTGCCAACGCCGAGAGTATCTCGTGCGGAGTGGGGCTAAACTAGATTGCTGGGACTCACAGGCAAATAAAATGAAGGAAGCTACAGGAGAGCTGCTGCTCGTGAGTCCCAGCCATTTAGTTTAGCCCCGATCCGCGCCTCACAGAGCGGCATGGGAGATACTCTTGCTGCGGTGGTAGTGAGCTGGAAGTCCACAATTTACATGTGACTGAGGCCCTGTTAGGGTATATTTTCGGCCTCGAAAATTTGGGACCGTTATTTGGAGGATAGCCGTGGTACCCATGGTAGAATATTTATGACATATAAACCTTTTATACTGATAAGAAAGTTACATGCAAACTGAGTCTCGACATTTATTGGCAATCAGTTTATGGTCAAAGTACATGTTTAAAAATCTGTATATTAGTCTTTGGAGTGAATAAAGACACACGACTATTGTATTTCAGGATGCCCCACCAGGAAGACCTAATAAAGCAGTTTCAGGTTGGAGTGAGGAAGCTCCTGTCCGTAAACCACGGTAAGAGTTTTCTGTTCGGCGAATGTTCTGTCATACATTATTAACCCTTTGTGATGGTTAAATCATTATTTAACTCATTCTATAATATTCAGAATATTATGCATCACTGTGTAATGTGTCGTTGAGCAGACTGCATATTCAGCTGCTGTTTGCTTGATGTTACATTCTCAGCTGGACAGCTCTCAGAATGCTTGCCAGTTAGTCCTTATGTTGCCAAAATACTTTCAGGTTTTTTTTCCTTTATTGGCCATGTGAATTCCGGAGCCCCATTATGGAGAAAACAACAATAGACCCACTGCCTCCACAACAAACATGTCATAGGTGTTAACTAATTTGGGGGCGTCCTTTGAAGTCGGAGTACCTCTGCCTGAGAGACAAGGAACTAAGAGTCTGCATTCAAATAAGCCAGATGTGGGAAACGGATGTGCACACTGGATTTCATCTGGAATAAGACTAAAGTCCAGAGGTGGACGAACACCCAGAACTTTCTGCCAGAGTTTACAACTGGTGAAGGGGAAGATGAAGAAGAAGAATTTTCTCCAGCAGTTTTTAACTGTTATTATTTTTAAGCAGCATGTAATACTTTAAATATGTCTTTGTAATTTTTGCAATAATACCTTTCTAACCCCCAATGGAGCATAGGCCCTCAATCAACTTATGCCAACTCTGCCTTTTTTTCTATGCCTGTGTAAGTCGAAGTGCAAAAAACATTTTAGTTATATTATTCTCAGGTTTTCTCAGTGTGAATTTATTTTAGTTGTTACTTTATTTCCTTCAGTTTCAGGCAATTTCTTATGTCTGTTCTAGTTGTTACTTTTCAATTTGTCTGTTCTGTGTGTAACAAAATTTAATTCCATCTATGACTTGTACTGAAAATAAAATGGTCTACTGAAGCACATGGCACATATTTTATTTTAGATGCTCCTGTTTTATGCTCTAATGATTTCTTTTGTGGCTGCTTGATAAATTATTGTCAAAGACCCCAGTATTTGTTGTATTCCCATGATATTGTTTGTAAATGTTATCATCAGTTTTCATTCTTGATCTGTTATTTTTGGTTTATTATAAATAAATCTGTATATTTTATGCTGAATATGGATGTAAGAAAGATGGCTTGAATGATAGCTGGGTCACTTTTACTCTGAAACAAGTACAGCTTCCTACAGTTGACAACTGAAACACCACTCAGATTCCATTTTACAATCGGCCAGTTTATTTTCCTGTTACATCACAATTGTTCAATCATAATTATTCAATTTTCACTTCCACATCTATACCACAGTAATCATTTACTCAATAATCATTTAAAACAATTGCTTTACTGTTAACGTATAAATTATGTTATCAGTTAAATTCACAACGGTATTGAGCGCTGGAGTGCAAATTGTTCCCCCTCATTACACTTAACTCTTTACAGACTGGACAGCACTTTAGTGGCTTTTGAATCTATTACGTTCAGTCAGAAGGCCACTTAAATTGTTCCTCATAAAGATGTTCTAATATTGTTTCGTTTGCTGGGAAAATTAATTTGTATGACCCTGTTTAAAAAAATCTAGAATTAGCTGAACGAAGTCTTTATGTTTTGGAAGTTTGGCATGGTCTTTGGATTATTTTCTGATTTTTTAAAAATAAATTCAGTGTGATACAATTTCTGTGTGATTGTTTTCCAGACCAAATGATAAGGGAACAGGTCTAGAACTGTTTATACTGCTCTGTGGTTGATCAATCTAGCCAGATAGTGACAATGGTCTTGATATTATGACTGATAATGCAAGTGACAGGTTATTGCAGACAATTTAGGTTAGGATGACGTTGAACAAAATATTTCATTTGATCAGCTGTTTTCCCGAATTTGATTGTTGTGGAACTTGTCATGTCATTCAAAAGTGGTCATAAAATTAGAAGTAGTTAAATTAATTGTTTTGAATAACGACTACCTGATGTGTAATTATATAGAGAAGGCATGTAAACTTATAGAAATAGATAACAGTGTTGTTGAACAAGTAAAAAGTATGGCAAGTGCTACATTTTGAATTAAAATAATCCTTTTATGTGTGTAACATCCTTGAATGTTGTGCAATTTTAATTTTTAAAAAATTTTAATACTGACACGTAAATAGTTTAATTTATTCTGCAACGATTTCTCTTTAATTTGATATATTATATGTCTATTTACAGCTAATACTTTTTCTTCAGGAAGGTTTTAACTTTGTCATGTTGCAGTAAAATAAAATCAGCTCAAAATTAATGCTGTTCAAACCCCAGAAATAATGTCATCCTGAAAGAATAGGAAAATTTGAAGCAGAGGAGGTTATTGATGAAACAGAAGAGTTGACTTTTTGATTACTTTCATTTTTGAAGGTTGAATATGGAATCAATGGACCCCTGCTGCAGCTAACAAGCGGAAGATTGTTACAACAGAGATGAGATGTCTTAGGAGAGCTGCCGGTGTGAGAAGAAGAGATAAAATCAAGAATGAAGAAACTAGAAGAGGAGACTAGGACTGAAACCAGTCATACAGTTAATTAAAGAGCACCAAATGAGATGGTTTGGCCACCTGACGGGAATGTCCTGTACTAACTGCCACAGAAAGCCACGCTAAAGAAATATAGTAAACAAAGAGCAAAGGAAAGACCATGCAAGAGATAGAGTGAAACTATCAGGAGCAACCTAACAGAAATGAATACCAACTTGTACAATGCATTGGAAAAAGCAACCAAACGATTCTTAAATCCCCCCCCCCCCCCCCCCCCAACACCTCACTGAGGTAAATGGGGGAAGAGAAGAAGAAGAAGTTGATCATCTACATAAATACGCACACACATTGCATCAGTAATATTAAAACCTGTTAAAATTTCTTTTTTTTTTAATCTCAGTTTGTGCATGCATGTAGAATGTGCTGATTATGTATGTTATATGCACATTTGTAGCAGTGTTTTACTGAATATGTACCAGACATCCTCCCATGCATATTGTCAGCATAAGTGTTGCCTTGTCAGCATAGTTGTTACCTTGTCAGCTAACTGTTACCTTGTCAGCATAGTTGTTACCTTGTCAGCTAACTCTTACCTTGTCAGCATAGTTGTTACCTTGTCAGCTAACTGTTACCTTGTCAGCATAAGTGTTACCTTGTCAGCATAGTTGTTACCTTGTCAGCATAGTTGTTACCTTGTCAGCATAGTTGTTACCTTGTCAGCATAGTTGTTACCTTGTCAGCATAGTTGTTACCTTGTCAGTATAGTTGTTACCTTGTCAGCATAGTTGTTACCTTGTCAGCTAACTCTTACCTTGTCAGCATAGTTGTTACCTTGTCAGCATAGTTGTTACCTTGTCAGCATAGTTGTTACCTTGTCAGTATAGTTGTTACCTTGTCAGCATAGTTGTTACCTTGTCAGCTAACTGTTACCTTGTCAGCATAGTTGTTACCTTGTCAGCATAGTTGTTACCTTGTCAGCATAGTTGTTACCTTGTCAGCTAACTGTTACCTTGTCAGCATAGTTGTTACCTTGTCAGCATAGTTGTTACCTTGTCAGCATAGTTGTTACCTTGTCAGCATAGTTGTTACCTTGTCAGCATAGTTGTTACCTTGTCAGTATAGTTGTTACCTTGTCAGCATAGTTGTTACCTTGTCAGCTAACTGTTACCTTGTCAGCATAGTTGTTACCTTGTCAGCATAGTTGTTACCTTGTCAGCATAGTTGTTACCTTGTCAGCATAGTTGTTACCTTGTCAGTATAGTTGTTACCTTGTCAGCATAGTTGTTACCTTGTGAGCTAACTGTTACCTTGTCAGCATAGTTGTTACCTTGTCAGCATAGTTGTTACCTTGTCAGCTAACTGTTACCTTGTCAGCATAGTTGTTACCTTGTCAGCTAACTGTTACCTTGTCAGCATAGTTGTTACCTTGTCAGCATAGTTGTTACTTGTCAGCATAGTTGTTACCTTGTCAGCATAGTTGTTACCTTGTCAGTATAGTTGTTACCTTGTCAGCATAGTTGTTACCTTGTCAGCTAACTCTTACCTTGTCAGCATAGTTGTTACCTTGTCAGCATAGTTGTTACCTTGTCAGCATAGTTGTTACCTTGTCAGTATAGTTGTTACCTTGTCAGCATAGTTGTTACCTTGTCAGCTAACTGTTACCTTGTCAGCATAGTTGTTACCTTGTCAGCATAGTTGTTACCTTGTCAGCATAGTTGTTACCTTGTCAGCTAACTGTTACCTTGTCAGCATAGTTGTTACCTTGTCAGCATAGTTGTTACCTTGTCAGCATAGTTGTTACCTTGTCAGCATAGTTGTTACCTTGTCAGCATAGTTGTTACCTTGTCAGCATAGTTGTTACCTTGTCAGTATAGTTGTTACCTTGTCAGCATAGTTGTTACCTTGTCAGCTAACTGTTACCTTGTCAGCATAGTTGTTACCTTGTCAGCTAACTCTTACCTTGTCAGCATAGTTGTTACCTTGTCAGCATAGTTGTTACCTTGTCAGCATAGTTGTTACCTTGTCAGTATAGTTGTTACCTTGTCAGCATAGTTGTTACCTTGTGAGCTAACTGTTACCTTGTCAGCATAGTTGTTACCTTGTCAGCATAGTTGTTACCTTGTCAGCTAACTGTTACCTTGTCAGCATAGTTGTTACCTTGTCAGCTAACTCTTACCTTGTCAGCATAGTTGTTACCTTGTCAGCATAGTTGTTACCTTGTCAGCATAGTTGTTACCTTGTCAGTATAGTTGTTACCTTGTCAGCATAGTTGTTACCTTGTCAGCTAACTGTTACCTTGTCAGCATAGTTGTTACCTTGTCAGCATAGTTGTTACCTTGTCAGCATAGTTGTTACCTTGTCAGCTAACTGTTACCTTGTCAGCATAGTTGTTACCTTGTCAGCATAGTTGTTACCTTGTCAGCATAGTTGTTACCTTGTCAGCATAGTTGTTACCTTGTCAGTATAGTTGTTACCTTGTCAGCATAGTTGTTACCTTGTCAGCTAACTGTTACCTTGTCAGCATAGTTGTTACCTTGTCAGCATAGTTGTTACCTTGTCAGCATAGTTGTTACCTTGTCAGCATAGTTGTTACCTTGTCAGTATAGTTGTTACCTTGTTAGCATAGTTGTTACCTTGTCAGCTAACTCTTACCTTGTCAGCATAGTTGTTACCTTGTCAGCATAGTTGTTACCTTGTCAGCATAGTTGTTACCTTGTCAGTATAGTTGTTACCTTGTCAGCATAGTTGTTACCTTGTGAGCTAACTGTTACCTTGTCAGCATAGTTGTTACCTTGTCAGCATAGTTGTTACCTTGTCAGCTAACTGTTACCTTGTCAGCATAGTTGTTACCTTGTCAGCTAACTGTTACCTTGTCAGCATAGTTGTTACCTTGTCAGCATAGTTGTTACTTGTCAGCATAGTTGTTACCTTGTCAGCATAGTTGTTACCTTGTCAGCATAGTTGTTACCTTGTCAGCATAATTTTAACACTGACGTTGAATGTTTCTTTGCTTGAGATAATATTAATATGGAAGTCCTGTTGCGTCTGCACATATTTTCAGAACACGACAACTTGGTGAAGGATTTGAAACTCTGGAGGAGTAAGTCAGAAATTCCTTCAGAGTGCTGGTCATCTGGCACAGTTACAACTTTGCTTATTGTTTCATTTAATTTTATATAACAAATTTTCACTCTTTCACTTTTTTTCTATTTTTCATTGAAGTTACTAATATTGCTAATTTTATTTATTGCTAAATTATCTATTGCTATTTTATTGCTAAATTAATTTTTAATTTTGTTATTTTGTTCAAACCTAACATTGTAGTGTCTCTTATTTCTTTTCTGTCTAAGATAACAAACCTTATCTTCCCATTAGTATGGTTTCTGTCTAATAGGTTTTGCCAGGGAAGTCACCTTACAGCCTACCCTGTGGAATTTCTTACCACTAGGATTTTTCAGATGCAGTGTTTGCACTTCCAATTAGTGATTAGTGATTAGAAAGGATTATTATCACAGCAATTTGGACAGATCCATAGGTGCTCCGATCTCCTCCTCAAAAGCTCCACAAGTGTAAAACGACTGATGACGCCTGTTCTTTGTTGGTTTATGAAACGTCTTGTCCCCTTAGTGAAATGTTCATTTCTTGCAGCTCCAGGCTGCACCCTCGTGTCCATCAGTCTAGACAGGGATTCGGAGTCATGTCCTTTGGCGTGCTCCTCGGTACGGTAAGTGCAGCGCATGGCATTGATAACATCACTTCTGTCCAGTACTGGACCAGCCAAAGCAACTGCAGTGTCAGCAAGATAGTCTGCACACTCGTTCACTTCTAATTATTCATCCTTATCCTGGGAAAACTAAGCATTTGAAATCACAAATTATGATGTTATCATAAACCAGTGACCCTTGTAAACATTTGCAGCCCTAGCCTTGAAGGTTAACTGTGATTTTGTGATTTTTTAAAGTGAGGCAAACACATTAATCGGTCAGTGACACTCACCCCTCTCTCCTTTCTCATAGTCTATGCCATGTGTCATTAGTAATCATCTCTTTCCACAGCTTTCTGTCTTGAGTACTGTCAACCATTTTTGATACAAATGATCTTCCATGTCATGATGCCAGACTGTACAACTTCCCTCTCTCTCTCCTTCAGGCTCTCTTGCCTTTCAATGCTCCTATTGTCAGAATATACTCTGTTAGTCCCTTTCTCATAATGAACCCAGAGAATGTGTGTTACCTTTTTTCTGATCACAGTAATTAATTCCCTTCACTGCTTTTCAAGATATCTTCACAATGCTTTTTTTTTTTCCATGGTAGTCTCATCGTTATTGTATAAAACCTGCTCTGCTTTCACTCGATTTTACACTAACTGTCTATTTATCCATGATTTATGTTTATACAAAATGTTTGGCTTTTTATAGATCTTAAGAACTCTTTGTTAACTTCAGTTGACAAGTTTCTATATCATTAACTGTCCTTCCTTTGTGGATTCCGGGCTCCATTTTAAGGGGGGTGGGGGGGGGGGGAGTAGTTTACCTAATTACCGAACAAGTTATAAAAAGTGACAAATTAGAGGTTTGATTAAACCGGATGTGTTGGGCTGTAAACCACAACACAATGTACCAGCCGTCCCTTTGAGAGCAAACACAGAAGAAGCAGAAGAGTATTCTTTATCCTCTGGAACACAGCTTTTGACTGAGATATTTTCTCATTTATTATAGTGTAAATACAAGTAAATCAACATTCAGATGTTAGCCGGAGCCCATAAGGGAAGCAAAGATTGGCAACACTAGGGGTGCTGCCACAGAGAAAACATTACAGCTGACAGCCCTCCCTTTTCAGGGGTGGGGGGATGGGGCACTGAAGGGGCTTAACTCTTGTTTCATATATTACATAATACATAATATTATTATTATTATGCAATTAACCTTGGAAAATTATTGTTCAAGGGGACTTCAGCCCTCTTTTTTTTTTAATTGCACAATAATAATTATGTAGTTTAAAAAAAAACAATGGTAGAAGTGAGAATGCTTTGTACTACACATTGTTCAGGGGACATTTAACCCCTTTGCAGATTTTTGGAGGGGGAAGGGAGGGATGTATGTGTTCAGAGTGCCTGAGCTCTCAGAGTCTGGCTCCACTGGGTCATACTGTAACCTACTGAAACTTTTAGTATGTAAAGTCAGATCTGTTGTGAACGAGTTTGAAATTGCTTGGCATGAATTAGCTGAAGGCGTATGCTCCATTGGGAGATAAAAGGCAGAAGGAAAACAAATCAAGACAGAACTGGTCACCTTTCAAAGAACATAATCACAGGTTACAGAACGAGCATTGCAGCAAGAAATTAATATTTAATTAAGAATCGACATCGTAGCACTCAGGATATTCCCTTAAGCGCTCCATCCCCAAATTCAGCAGCAAGTGCAGAGTTCCAATTCCGATGGTGCCAGTAATAACCTGATTGTATATCTGTTTCACCTTTCCCTTGAGTATTTAAAAACTCCCTTAGCTTTGTGTTGATTTTCATGATTAAAATGAATGCTAGCTATCAGCAGTCAGGTAAATATAATCAGTACAAACAACATTCATCAACTTTCTAACAAAACAGTTTGACAATATTAAGGATAGATAAATGCCAAATACTACTGTAAAATACCTGCCTAGAGAAAGATCCAGATAGCCCAACCCTAGCTACAATGAAAGAGGACCAGCAGTCTCATTGGTGTGGCAGACCAAAACATGAAATTACATTTGGTTGAGTCAAGATTCTCTGGAAAGTCTGGAAACAGCCAGGGTTAAACTTGAATCAAACCAAAAAGAAAACTATTGATGGAACTGTCCAATGGGCTTTTAATGTTTTCTGAATGTGATAGCCATTTGGTTCAGACCTGTAAGAGATTGCAGTGTCCATAAGAGAAAATTTATCTTGATCTTGCTACATTGAAAGACCAAAATATAACAGCAGATTAAGTACATAAAATCGCATACAAATTTAATATTTGTATCAGCACTTGAGTTTGCATATATAAAAGCTGAACCAAAATAATTTTCCTCTGCTATCCTTCAGTTTCTGCATTGCATTTCTGAAATATATTTGCTTTCAACTCTAAATTATTGTATTTGACATAAACTTCTCATGTACAGTACATATTCTCATTGTAAGTAGTTGCTGTCTTATATGTTTGCTTACCTTTTCTGTTGTAGCTTATGTATCATGATGTAATTATGTTGTAATCTTTTTTGCTTCACTCCTTGTATAAAAACATGTATAACACCATTTTTGTAATAGTTACAGTAGGTTTCATTTTCATTTAGTGTGTTGACTTATAAAGGTCTAGTACTATATGCCCAATACGACTGTTACAAGTGTTAGTAAAATGTGTTCTCTTCTTCTTCTTCCTCCTCCTCTAGTTATCTCAGCAAATTATAGATCTGTGAATGGTCTCTATGCTCTTGCTACTTATTCTGCCTTTCTAGCCCCCACTTAAGCCTAAGCCCATTCTCTGCTACTGCTTTGTGTAAATGGATTTTCTTCATTTCTGTAAGGCTGCACTTGATGCTATTTCACCATGTTTTATGTGATCTTCCTCTTACTCTATGAGAACTATATTTCTTCTGTAGAACTCTCTGTGATAGTTGGTGGCATATGGCAAAACCATATCATCTGTTAATGTTTAGATAATTGTTTGACTGGCAGGTCATATAATATTACTATGTTGTGATGTTTTTCTTCACTCTGTATATTCATTGGAATTTATTAATGTATCAATTTTAAGTAATTTTAGCAACAGTTACAGTATGTTGTCATCTAATTTAATTTCATGGATTGTCTAACATAAAGCGGCTATTACTGCCTGTAATTATGTTGCAGGCACTGGGGATTTAGGGCTGCATAGCTAGTGCTGAAGCCAGGTTCATCACTGGTTTCAAATAGGAACCTCCATATGTGGGTTCTAGAGTTCCATTTTGGGCAGGGGAGAATAAACCAACGGCTACCCTAACAAGCATGTCGTAAAAGTCAACTAATTGGAAGTTTCCTTCGAGGTCAAACTGCATCTGCTTGAGAGGCAATGAACCAACAGTCTGTATAAAGATAAGCCAGATTTGTGAAATTTGAGTTCTGAAACAAGAAAGTGTAGAAGCAGACAAACAGCCACAACTTTATGCCAGAGTTTTCTGCTGGCAAACATGAAAAAGAAGAAAAAATATGAACTCTTGGCATGTTAGGTATCTGTTATGTAAATGCAGCATTCTAATACCATTTCAAAACACTCTTGACATCCTTAACAATACTATTGACAGGTTACTAGGCAATGGCATGCTTGCTATAGTTTCTATCACTCTTTTATGATATTCTTTTGAAGCTACCTTGTAGTAAAGTAAAACTCTGAAATGTTTAGCCCATCAGCACTGACTGAGCAAAATGGTCATTCTAACATTTTTGTTACTTTCCATTTTAGACTGGATCATCCTGGGAGCCTGAGGCCACTTTTTTTTTTTTAATTCTTTTTTATTTAATGGGGATTTGAACATTTTACTACTAGACTGGCTATGCATTGTAGCCACTTCACTATGGCAGCTACCCACAAATAAATAAAAGTGGCCTTTGAATATTTTATGCTGGCCACATATTTTAACCGACCAATGAGTGTGTACACAAAGGAGTTGAATGGGAGTAGGACCAAGAGGTTGACCAAGAAGGACATGGAGAGAGAATATACAGTCACACCTTGCACACACTTGGAGTCACCAGCTGGAGCGAGGAAGCCACCCTGAGAGAGACTAATGGAGGTCAGTGATATCTGCAGCCATGAACCTCCAGGGCTCGGAATGCTGAAGATGAAGAATATTGTTTATGTCTTGATTTTTAAAATATATACAAATAAATATGTATGTTTTATTTTGTGTAAAACAGGGACAGACTGAAACAGAAGAGTCCAGATAAAGATAACACTGATGACGATGATGGTATGTTAGAACCACTGTGATGAATCTTGGTTGCTTTCTGTGGTTTAACTTTTTCTGTCAGTTTCTTTTCTTTCACATTTAAAGCTGCAGATTGTATTCATACTTATCCTTAGTTTCTGCTTGACTGATTAATCATTTGGAAAATTCATTTTGTAGCAGGTCCTTGCATACATGGCATCAATTATTCAGGTGCCATCTTCACAAAGAAGGCTGGCTAATGGATCTCCAACATCTTCACTCTCTTGTCTAGATTGTACACTCTCTCAGACTGCTGTTCGTCCATCTCTTGATGTTGCCGTTGACCTTTCACTCCATTATGGTTTTTTAAAAGAGTGTAATATCTTTTATTTTGGCCAAAATATTTCAGTTGTCTCTCTTTTGTTTTATTTTTTTAATTTAATTTCTTTTAGTAACTTTCTTTTCTTTCAGTCTCTCCAGATTCTGTGTATTTGATTGTTTTTATTTCCAAGAAATGGTGCTCTGGCATGCTGGAAAGCTATTTGGTCCCTTGCCCCCACCCCCCTCCAGTGTCCTTGACATTCTGTGTTTACTATCGTGCTGGTCATCCCCTGTTGGTCATTCTCTGCCTCTGCTTCCAGGAATCATACCGTGATATTGTTCTATCAAAGCCATTGTGGTGTTTATTGTGGCTGAAGTATATCGGTTTACAAGAAACTATACTGTTTATAAACCAGCTCCCCTCGATGTTTGGTTCAAATATATTTTTTTTTTCTCTTCTTAGTCCATGATACCTTTAGCAAAATGCAAAAGATTCTCGCCAGTAAGAAATCAATTGCACTGAGAAGAGGACTGTTTAAGTGCTATGTAGAAGCTGTGTTATTATATGCATGTGAAACATAGACAATCAGCAGACAAGCTGACAAACGTCACTCGTGGCAGACAGGTGGTTTTTGAGAAGAATGCAAAGAATATCTTGGAAGGAAAGAAAAACAAGCAAAGCAGATCTTATCAAGAGGGATGAAAGTCATAAACATATTTGAATAATTAGATGTAGACAATGTTTTTGTTGTTGTTGATATATGAGAAGGAGTAGACTTGATAACTTAGTGAGTACTGCAAGATTGACAGAAAGAGAGCAAGAGGAAGGCAAGGAGATAAATACCTAGACGGCATGGCCAGATGGTTGGGTCGAGACAAAAACATTGAACTGATGCGTGATCATGTGAGAAGGCCAAACATGACACCGTACACTTACTGGCACAGCACATTATGATGATGCTGATAAGTCCTAGATACTCTGATAATTCCTCTGTAGTATTTAACTTCTTCCTCCTCTCTTGCATGTCCTATTATACTGTTTCAAGTGTTAAGGGAAATGCAGAATTCTGGTTTTTGTTCTTCTGGCTGCATCGGCCATAAACACTTTCATGTAGTTGTAGAGTTTTTCTGATGTTATCTTTCCATCTTGTTTTTGCTTCACCTTGGGCCTTGCATTTCTCTCCTCTTTTGGCACATACCTTGTATGGCATGGCATCACAAGGCATTTTTTTAAATGGCCATCCATTTTATTTGCTATCCTTGTATGTAGTTTAGTATTGGTTCTTTGCTGCTTCATGATTCTGTTAAATGTGTAAGATGGTGAAAAGTGACTGCTTATGCTCATCAGCATGGCACATAATGATGATGATGATTTTGTTGACATTATTTAACCTCTTTTTTTTTATTCATCTAATTGCAGATATACCAGTTATTCCAGAGTTGGAGGATCAACAGGAAGATGACTTATCTACAAAGGTTGCTTCAGCTCCCAAGTATGACACAGTTTTCTTCTGCCCTCTGTCTTTCACTGGAGTAGTTAGCATCTTTTGGATATTTTCTCCAGGTCAGGTCATGCCAGTGTGTTTGGAAATCAGCAGGCAGATAGACTGGCTGGTTCTGCACCACTTGGTGGTGAACTGGTGTATGACAAGCTGGATGTTGTGAGGGGTTTTTGGAAGCAAGTAAACAGTGCCGAGGCACAGATAGATCATTACGGTCTGAGGAGAATGGCACTGCCAGGAGTTACAAGGGGATCTGGCTGACACTCGACACTCAGGGGAAAGGTGAGACGGATATAAAATCAGACAGTTACTGGTACCATCAGAATTTTAACTCTTTGCTTGCTGAAAATGGAGACGGAGCGCTTATGGGGATGTCCCGAGTGCTGTGATGTTGATTCTTAATTAAACATTCAACATTCTCAATGGAGCATAGTCCCTCAATCAACTATTTTCTTTCTTGTCCTATATCATCTTCTTCACCTCTTTACATTTAATTCATCTTCACCTCTGTCTTCTTCAGAAGAAATAAGAAATTATTAACTAAAGTAAATAAGGTACAGGATCTTTTAGCGTATTAGGCATTTAGTTCTAGACCTATAGTTCTTAGATTATACCAGTCGGCACTCGGTGGGTGATGTGGCTGGCATATTGCTAGCTGCTTTTACTTCCCAGAACTTCACCTGGTACCTATTTAAGGCTCGGCCGACATGGGAGCCAAGGTTATTTTTGAGGGGGAGGGGTGATCCGACTCGATGTTTTGAACCCTCAACCTTCAGATCTGCAGTCGAGCGCCTAGCTGCTACATCAAATTATAAGCTAGGGGTGAGAAGTGAAAGATAAGGAAGACTTATTCATTTGGGTGAAGAAATCACAATAATCATTGTAAAATTTTAAAAAATGTTGGTGCTAATTCAAAGAAGACTTACTCTTAATCTTAGTCGAGCTTTCACATTCACTGCAGTCATATATACTTGCTCCATTTCTGTTCCAGTGAAAATCAAATGAAATATTCCTCACTATCCCATTTGAAAAACTGGTGAACAAACAATTGTTCTGGCACAATCAAGATATATGAGCATGCACTAAGTAGCAGTTGCTAAAGGTGCCAAGCCCAACACTCCCCACTAGAAATGGAGTTTGTAATTGATGGAAGTACTTGATCACAATAAGTTGGCTATACACACGTAAAAGGTATTACTTAAGGTATTTCACTAGCCCAAACATAAACCGACTACCAGCCATTTTGAATACCACAACACAACCACTGCACAAATGAAAGGCATTACACATGAAAAACACAGCTCACAGGGCTGCACCAAGCACTAAACTCAGTAGCTCAGGCAGCAAAACCATAGACTTTCGTCCATATGTGGAAACTGTATTAGCAAAGCGCTGCTGGGAGCAAAAATAACTTAGAAGCTAAATATTCTGTGATGTCTAATCCTCCATTTTGGACCAGAAGAAGACTTTACTAAACAGGTAATATCCCTGGAGCAAACATTAAGTAATTTCATAATGATCACAGAAAGCTTATACCTAAATCCAGCAATGATGGCCTAACAATTTGAAGGGCCTCCTACTCTGTCTGACAGCCACTTAACACTTCAAAGAGCTCCCGACAGACAGTCACTCAATGCTGTGAACACTACCTTACTGACAGTCACAGTGATATGAACTATCCTTTCTTCTAATGTTTTAGCGTTGTAGTGAACAGAGTGGCCACCTACAGGGAGCTGGACAATGATTTTCTGAAACAGGCAGCATTCCTGACTATGGTAAGTTCATGCTTCCTGTGTTCCAGTAGGAAGTGGGTTGGCATCTGTTGACAGTGAAATACCTCAATCGTGTTTGGAAACATTACAGACTCAGGCCTAATCACAGCTAGTTTTGGGTAGTGTTTATATCAGGGCTATTCAATGGACAGGATAAATTCGGTTTTCTGAAGCTCAGCAAGTAGCCCAGTGGATCATTGCCACATGTATTGTATTGATGATCTTTTTATTTATATGCTGGGGTTTGGGCCTCTGGCGATCTCAATTGTAAACATTTTGACCCCTGGACAAACTTAATTGAAAAGCCCTGGTTTATATCAGGTTACAGACAAGAACTGGCCTTAACACCATGCAGATTTCTGAGTTTATTTTTGGGAAGTAGCAACTCAGTCTGCTTAGAAGTATACATTTTTATATTATTCTATCATTTTATTGTTTTTTTGTTTTATTTGTTTCAATAATATTTTAATGCTGTTACATAGTTACTTCAACCTCACTGTGTATGTATATGTGTGTGTATTTGTAATTTTGTTTCTTGTTGTTTGCTGGTAAAGGCTTGTCACCCAACGTCCTCTGTTAGCTTAATTTATTGTGTTCTACAATGCTGACATATAATTTTTGTTTTTTCCCCAAACAATTCTGTAATATTATGAACTATTTGACACTTTTCAGGACAATGAGATAGATCTGAAGCTGCTGACAAAAGTTTTATCACCACCAGAAGACATTATAGAGGTAAATTATATCAGACACAGATTGGGGAGTAAGTTTGAAAGCCTTTGTGGCACACTAGATTTATAATAGTGCACAAAAATATCCATTGCTGACAGTAACTGAATGATCTTGAGAAAAAATTTACTAACTGAATTATCTTGAAAAATAAATTTACTAAAAGAATTATCTTGAGAAATAAATTTACAAGTATTGATCGGCACTCATAAAAGTAAATGAAAGAAACAAACAAACTAGAAAATTAAAAGTGTGAAAGTTAACCCTCCTGCCCTGTAAAAGCCATTTTTTCCGACTTGTATGGGTTTTTGATGATCTGACGACGAGGCAATGGCTAATATACCTATATGAAGGCTTTGGTATCGACTGCACCTGCATAGTTTATAGGTGTGGTGGGTCTGATTACATTAACACAATCCCCTGAGTGCCGTGATGTCAATCCTTGACTCAACTCAACTCCAGACGATAGTGTTATATTGTACTACAAGGAGACATGAGACTCACAGACCATAGCGATGGCGAGTATGACTAGCAAGACCCGTCCCACGTTAAGAAGTTAAGAACAGTCTTCCACAGTTATAGCATGGGATTTCAGGACCGTTGTTGTCAACATTTGTGTTTAGTATGTTTCTTCTCAGATGCTCAGCTCTCATCCTTTCTGCAATCATTCCTTCATTCTCATTCTCTTTCTGATGTGCCTCCCCATGAACCGGTCGCCTGGTAACCCAACGACTAATGGGGAAATATGATATCAGACTTTTTATAAATAAAACAATTTTCTTCCCAGAGCAAACCCCTCTAAATTCTATTTTTAGTAAATGTAATCATTCCCAGTCCTACTAAACATTTGTGCAGGTGAAAACAAAATGAGTTCTTTAATTAGGCTTCTCATTAACAAGCAACTCTAGCAAGCCTGTAACAAAGAACTTACTGGGGAATGGCACCACCCTCAAGTGCAGTGCTTGGGGTTTCTCTCTGTGACATGGTTAAACACTAATCCAGACAGACTAATCCAGTTATGTTGAATAGACCCTTTATTTATCCTGTTACATTATGTGGTAGAAACAGGAAATTTTGAACTTTTGAGATTCCTGCTCTGGAGCAGTTATCAGTGATCATGACTCTTGACTGCTCTCTATCATTTGATATCTTGACCAAGCTGTTTTTTATTATAATTTTTGTCCAGCTGTTTACACAAATATGTATATCTCTGTCTTCCTGTTCCTTTTATGTCTAGTTGTTTATCTCCTATGGCTGCTTTCTCTGTGCCACCTGTTTTTTAAACTACATAAATATAATTTGTCATGTTTCTGGGATTTTAATGAGCCATCTTGAAACTCCTGCTATACTTATTACCCTAGTGTTCATTCTCTTTTCTGTCCAGGATATTCTGTCGTGAAATTACATTAGGATTTCTTATTTTTATTATTTGAAATAGGATGACAAGCCATGGGACTGGGACAGACTGTTTACAGAGGTATCATCAGACTTAAGGACTGAGTTGGAAAAGACTGATGATGAGGAAAAACCAACTGAAATTGAGCAGTGATCTTCTGGCATATTTTTTTCTTGTTATAAATGTCCATTAACATGTGAATGTATAAAATTTTATGGTACTAAATGTCAATATAGTCTTTGTTCTAAATTTGTAGGTTTTTATTGTGTGTGGTGTGTATGTGTAATATATGTGTGTGTGTCAATGTTTACAGTAGTTTATATTGACCCGTTTAAGCCTCACAAGAAAATTACTTAGTAGAATACTATTGTAAACTAAATTATTTAATGAGAATACTATTGTAAGGTGAGTGACTTAATGAGAGTACTAGTGTAAGGTGAGTGACTTAATGATAATACCTCTGTAAAGTGAGTAACTTAATGAGTACTAGTGTAAGGTGAGTGACCCAATGAGTACTAGTGTAAGGTGACTGACTTGATGAGAGTACTAGTGTAAGGTGATTGACCTAATGAGAGTACTAGTGTAAGGTGATTGACTTGAGGAGTACTAGTGTAAGGTGATTGACCTAATGAGAATATTAGTGTAAGGTGAATGACTTGATGAGTACTAGTGTAAGGTGATTGACTTGATGAGAGTACTAGTGTAAGGTGAATGACTTGATGAGAGTACTAGTGTAAGGTGAATGACTTGATGAGAGTACTAGTGTAAGGTGATTGACTTGATGAGAGTACTAGTGTAAGGTGATTGACTTGATGAGTACTAGTGTAAGGTGATTGACTTGATGAGAGTACTAGTGTAAGGTGATTGACTTAATGAGTACTAGTGTAAGGTGATTGACTTAATGAGTACTAGTGTAAGGTGATTGACTTGATGAGAGTACTAGTGTAAGGTGATTGACTTAATGAGTACTAGTGTAAGGTGATTGACTTAATGAGTACTAGTGTAAGGTGATTGACTTGATGAGAGTACTAGTGTAAGGTGACTGACTTGATGAGTACTAGTGTAAGGTGATTGACCTAATGAGAGTACTAGTGTAGGGTGATTGACTTAATGAGAGCACTAGCGCAAGGTGATTGACCTAATGAGAGTACTAGTGTAGGGTGATTGACTTAATGAGAGCACTAGCGTAAGGTGATTGACCTAAAGAGAGTACTAGTGTAGGATGAATGACTTAATGAGAGTACTAGTGTAACGGTAATAAAGTGAAAGGCAAATGTGCAAGAGGAGCAGTGGCTGTCTAAGAGGAAGTCAACTGCGCAAATGGGAGATACCCACATCAGAGAAAGACAGCTATGTTTGCGAGAGAAAGATAACTGCCAGAAAAAAACAGCTAGGCTTGAAGAAGACACCTATGCCAGTGAAAGACAGCTGTGCATGCAAGAGGAAGATGACTGTGTCAGAGAAAGACAAATGTGTATGCATGAAGAAGATAACTGTTGGGGCATACTGTCTGTTGGCAGTAAAAGAGGAAATGAAGAAGAAATTCATCAGATCTGCTCCTCTTCTGCATTATTCCTCAAAAAGGCGGTTGACATGTTGTGTGGTCATTTGTAACTAGGCTGTGACATCTTTGTGCTAAAAAACATAAAATGCGACTAGAAAACTCAACGGAAGGAATGGAATAGATACGCACACATACAACCAATCGTTTCAACAAAAGTCTTTGTCAACAGAGAACTAAATACAACAAAAACTGAGCGAAAACTCAGTGTACAAGACAACACAGCTTCCATAAAACCAAGAGCAACACAAAAACAATCATCATCAGTTTCCACTTCTGCCATTAAGCGTTGTGGGAGAAACAGTTTGCGATCCATTGCTTGATGGGCAGCTATGGCTACTGTCACTCTGTGTCGATGCAGAAGCTCTTTAATGTCATCAATCCATCTTCTCCCAAGACGGCCTCTTGCTTTCACTTCAGATTCTTTCATGTGTAGCGCCTGCATTTGTTGTTCTGGCTGCATTCTTACTAAATGACCAAACCATATATCTTCTGTTTCTCAATGAATTTGCTGCATGGTGTCGTTCCTAGTCTGTCTGATAATATCATTTCTAACTCTGTCTCTGATGGTTGTGTTTGTGGCTTTTCTCTGGCATCTCATTTTACAGGTGTGTTTTTTTACATAGGTTAGTCTTTGATAATGTCCAAGTCTGGCACTGGTAGCACACTGTTGGTATGAACAAGCTGTTTATAATCTGTTTCTTGGCGGTCATACTTATGTTAGAATGTCTTAATAACGGTGTCAGAAAGAACTACAGGAAATGATAGACATTGTGGTGATAGAAAGTAGCAGAATGGGCCTCAGTCTGAGTAATGGGAAGACAGAAGTAATGGTGGTATCAAAGAAACAAATTATTCCTAAATGTGTAATAAAAATCAATGGTGTTATTTTGGGACAAGTACAGAAATTTAAGTATCTGGGAAGTATCAGATGGAAGATGCATAACTGTGATAAGAAACAGAATAAGACAGGCAAAAACTGCATTTTATAAAATGAAGAACATCTTGTGCAATATATCCTTGTCATTGAGAGTTAGAAAAAGAATTCTTGCTTGCTACATACATCCAGTTTTAACATATGGCTGTGAATCCTGGACAATCGGTAGACAGGCCAAACAATTTCTTAAGGCCTCAGAGATGTGGTTTTACAGAAGAATGCTTAGAATACTTTGGACAGCCAAAAAGAGCAACCAAGAGGTTTTGAAAGAGGCGGGAGCCCGAAGACAACTTATCACAGACATCAGAAGGAGACGGTCATCATTTTTCAGCCATGTTATGAGAAGAGGGAAAATAGAACATGTTGTGGCCATTGGAAATATCTGTGGAAGGAGGGATGGAGGAAGACAACGAGAGAAGATTCTTTGTTGTCTTGTTGCATGGCATGGAGGGTGTCAGCACACAAACTGATACATGCTGCAGGAGATCGCAGATTGTGGAGAGACATGACTCCACGCCATGATGATGATGATGAGTATTTATTTTCATGTTATATCTTCCGCATGATGAATTTAGCCTGTTTAAATGTTTTTGAAGTCTCTTCCCCTCATTGTAGAACAGGCATTCATCGTCTGCAAATAGTAGCTCATTTATTGTGTGTGGATCTAATTCTTCCTCTGGGAAGTAAAGTTCCTCTTTTTCTGGGTCAACTGCTTTAAAGCTGACTTACATAAAAACAATAAATACCAAATAGGGGAACAGTGTGGATATGAAGGGCTACATTATGAAATTAGTAAGAAAAAAGAGGGAGAGAAATGTGAAATAAATAGATAAATAAAATTTGTAACATCTTTGCCATTTAGCAAACTCCTAGTTAGCCACCTTTGGGAACATGCTTGTTAAAGGAGCAGTGGTCTGGGTGGTTTATTCTTCATTTCCCCAAAATGGGGCCTTGGAAGTATTTTTGTATCCAGGTACTTCTTCTTCTTCTCTTCCACCTTGTATCTCATCTAAGTGTCGGTGGGAGATGTAATGTTCGTTGATGAGCTCTGTCAAGAGCACTATTAAGACTGATGTTCATTTCTGTAAGGCTGTTCTTAACCCTTTCGAGTCCCAGGGGGTTTAGCATCACAGGCCCAAGGGGTAGTCAAGAAAGACGTAAAATCGGCACATCTTGCGTTCATTGGGCTTCTAGGTAGGAATCTATGAACGTATGATGCGTTTCTTGGGACTCAAAGAGTTAATGCCATCACTCCATATTTTCCGAGGTCTTCCACTCGCTCTATACCCCTTGTAACGTTTTAGTGTGGCTCGCTGTGGCAGATAGTACCAGGGCATTCTTGTTAGGTGTCCAAACCAGGTACTACAAATGGTAAACTGCTAAAAACTAGAAAAAGAACTCAGTCTGTTTTAAATTTTTATTATGCTCTCAAACTCAATAGAGTGAAAAGTTCTACTAAACATTCCATCATAAAACTCTAGTTTCTTCAGGCAGCACTGAAACTATTCAATTTTCAAATAAAACTATGCTCTGTGATGATTTTAAACAAACTAAAGATTTCTATCTAAGCCACATTATTACAGTGGACACTGAAAATGAAATAAGTTAAATGTAGCCATAAAAGCATTCTGAAAGAGAAACAAATATTCCTAACTTCTTCTACTTTGTGTTAACCCGCTGAAAACTCCATAAGACAGTTCTGGTTATTTCATCCACTTCTGAAGGTTAATCTTGTTCCAGAATTTGAGTTTTGCATGTGCATGAATATTACAGATTAGGCTTATTTGTATGCAGACTGTTGGTTCTTTGCCTCAGACAGATGCACTCTGACTTCAATAGAAACACTCCTATTTAGTCGACTTTTATGACATGCTTGTTACAGAGGCAGTGGGTCTATTCTCCCTCTCACTCGGGCCCCAGGATTCACACAGGCATTCCTAACATCAACACTGAAGTGAATAAGTACTATGCATATATTATTCATAGCACTATAATTTCCTGTGTAGGTTCCGGGGGCCCCATTGGGGAAAAAGGGCGGGGGGATGGGGGAGGCAGCATACATCTACTACTGCACCTTAATAAACATGTGATAAAAAGGTGATGAATCAAGGATATATATCACAGCCTAGCTGTAAACCACAATACAACATGCTGACTGTCCTTTTAAGGGTAAACAAGGAAGAAGTAATATAACTGCTCAGAAACATGCTCTAAGCAAAAGACATAAAATAAACTTAAAAGCTTTTGAGGACAAGAAAAGAGATAAATACATTATGAAAGATGCTGGAGAAGACAGACAGCCACTGAAAACCATACCAAACAAATGTGGGTCTGGATAAGTAATAATGTGAGACAGAAAGGAAAGCATGAGGGAAAAAACAAACAAATTCCATAAAAAATACCACAAGCATGAAATCATGTTCATTCTTTCCGCACCAGGAGGTTTACAGAAGACGCCAAAGTGAGAAGTGTCTGCTGTGATCAAACCTGCCCTCTTGAGTACGTGTCATTAAACTTGTCAAATACAGGAATGGGTGGCACCACGGTTTTGAAGTTCTGAAACAGACATATTACATCATGTGTAACAATAACAACAATTGAATCAAAGCAATGTTTCCCTGTTGTGAATTTGAACAAAAAAGACACAAACAATAGGCTGCACAATTTTTTTCAGCAGTCGACCCAGCAGTCGGAAAGACCACCTTCCATCTGTTGTGCACCACCTTTTTTTGTTTCTGCACTCTGGACATGCTGTAAACAAGGACAGTGCATTTAAAATTCTTCATACATCGTCCAATGGTGGATTGCTGAGATATCTTGAAGCTGCAACTATTCATCATTTCCCTCCAGAACTTTGTAAACAGAAAGACATGAGAGTAAGCTTGCATTTGCCTTTGTAAAACAGGCAGTTGCTTTTGAGAGTGGTTAAATTTATACTTCAGTTGTAAAGGATTCACTTATTTACTTCTTCTTCTCTTCTTCTTCGCGTTCACCAGCTGTACACTCTGGCGGAAAGTTCTGGTTGCTCGTCCACTACTGAACTGCAGTCCTGCTCCAGAACCTGAGTGTTGCGTGTGCATCAGTTTTACAGATCTCATTCTCTTGAATACAGACTGTTGGTTCCTTGCCTCTCCGGCAGATGCACTCCGACTTCAAAGGAAGCTCCCCAATTAGTCGACTCTTACGACATGCTTTTGGGGAGGCAGTGGGTCTATTCTTGTTTTCCCACAATGGGGCCCCGGAACCCACACGGGGGACTTATTTACTTCATTTTATTTGATGTTACTGTAGTATGCACCTGAAGAGATACAGAGAAATATGCCACGCAATAAACTGCAATCTACTGTTTTTATCTTATCTGTTTACACAACATAATCATTACTGCAAGTCATGTTTTTATTATCACTATCATGTAGCAGGTCCTTTACACAATGTCACTCCAATCACAGCACACCTGAAAGAAACTCAGCTCCTTACTAGCTCTCTTATTTCAAGAACTCTGTATCTCTTATGTACTGTGCTACCTGGCCATGTTCCCCTTGCCTGGTACCATGCCCTCTGCTTCTCTTCTTTCCAATCCACTGTGGTGTTTGATATGGCCAAACTATTTTAGTTTCTGAGACAAGATGCTGTTTATAAGCCAATTTTCCTCAGTGTTTAGATCTTTTAAGATGTCAATATTTATTCTCCTCTTGGTCCCTGATATTCTAAGAATCTGTCTATAACACAGGTCAATGACCCTTTTTGTGCCAGTGGCCATCAGGCATATGATGCTAGACTCATAGTTTTATAAACCAGGCAGCATTGGATGGGTCACATGTTCAACGGGACTTTACCTGGTTCCCATTTTAGGCTGGGTCCACCTGGGAGCTAAGGTCATTTTCTTTTTTAATCAGACTCAATGCAGATTTGAACCCATAACCTTCCGGCCAGAGACAATTATCTAGCCACTACATCACCATGGCTCCTAAGTTGCTCATACCCCTGGTAAAATGAATACAAAGCAGTCTTCTGGCAAATCATCTGTAGCTGACTTCAAACCCTGGTATGCTGAATACATGAAACTCCCAAGCCACAGACGGGTATGGAATATCTGCACCATAATCATGGACGATAACCATAATTTAAGGGGAAACAAGGGAAAAGAAAAGACTAAAGTTGGAATTTTGGCAATAAAATTACTTTACCTGAGGAGCTATGTGTTTATCCAGAGTCTCCTCGCGGAAATATTTGGTTCCATATGGTACCTGTCCAAATCTGGAAGTGGTGTGCAGCAGAGGGGTGTAGAATACTCCTGGTTCATGGCCGAATGGGTGGAAGCTGAATGTGGACAATTAAAGCAGTTGAACTGAAGGTTCATCAGTATTTTGGCATCCTATCTCAGTCAAAATCCTGGAGCCCAACTAAAAAAGCTTTATTACAAACATTTGAGAACAAAGTCTCATGATGAATCTTTGGACCTATCAGAGATGCAGACTGGAGAATGGAGAGTGAGAAGCGACAAGAAAGTCATAATCTGTTTAAATCACCATTAATTACTGGCACCGTGAGGGCTAATAGACTGCTGTCATTATGGCATAAGGAAAGAAAATGGCAGACAGAAACAAAAACTGCATACATAGCATACAACAGAATTTGATAGAAGTAGACCATGAGGCAGACCAAGAAGACGGGGGAGAGATTACATACAGGGAGACTTACAAACACTTGGAATCACCAACTGGCAAGAGAAAAACCAGTTACGGAGATGAATGGAGATTATGTCTGCGGCAGGCAAAACACTTAAAGGGCTCGAAAAGGTGAAGAAGATCTTGAAAAATGATTCAGTTCTGCACCTTTATATTTCATTACCTTAATATTATGTGTGTGCATGTTTCCTGATTTTTTTTTTTTTTATCTCCAGTAGTTTTAAATGGGACAGTAAGAGGCATATTGTGGATTTTCACTGGCATAGTAAGGAAACAATTATAGGGTGACTCTTTGCAGTAATACTAAAAAACCCCATCTACCTCCTACTGATTATCTCAGTATTAGGACTAACTGGCAAGAAATGCACCAACGCGTGTGGGAAGAAGCATGGACACAGCAGATATCATCAAGGTTGTACAGACTGGGTTAGTGGAGACACCATCAACGCTATACGCCTAGGCTAGTGGATACTGATGAATCTTTGACACTAACATGATTGAATGACATGGGAATAAAGCCTTATTAACCACGTCTATGCCGCCTCTAATGCGGATATAGAAGACATTATAACCAGCTCTTCATGGAAACAATCAGTAGATCTACTTTGTACTGGCTGCTGCATTTTAAGACTGAGCATGCATTGTAATGCTCAATGTGCAGTGACATCGATTGTGATAACATATCTCAATATTAATTCCTCCAGTTCTCTGTTATACATAAATGAGTTCCAATCATAAATGTGTGGGGAACAAAGATTTAGGAAAAGAAATGTATTGAGATACAAATAAACTCATAGTGAGCTGCTTGGTTCTAACTTAGTCAACTCTTTCACTCCCAGGCAATATATCATGCACATTTAATACTTCCTTGTGCATGACAAATACTGTGTTTGTGTGGTTGTGGAAAGTCCTGGTTGTTTGGTAACTTCTAGACTTTGGTCTTGTTCCAGGCAAGTGCACTCTATGTAACCAAACCCCAGCAATTATAGTGGAATCATCTTCTTCTTCGTGTTCACCGGCTGTAAGCTCTGGTGAAAGGTTCTGGTTGTTCGGCCACAAGACTTTACTCCTGTTCCAGAACTTGAGTTTTGCATGCACATTCATTGTACACATCTGGCTGTTGGTTCTTTGCCTCTCAGGCACATGCACTCTGACTTTGATGGAAATGCCCTTGTTGTTAAGGGGAGTGAGTCTTTTCATATTTGCCCGCACCACAGGGCCCCAGAACCCACAAGGAGTTTATAGTGGAATGAAACAAAGACTCTTCACCTATTCCTTGTATCTGTATCAAAGCCAGATTGACTTCTCTTTCTTTATGACAAAGTACATCTACTTTGAAACACTCTATGGGGGCTGCATGGTCTCAATGCATGGTATCTGCCTCAAGTGCTGGAGGTCCTGGATTCAGGCCCCAGTAAAGGCTGAGTTTTTTTCACGTGAACTTCTAGTAGTGTCCTCTGGTCTCTGGGTAGTAAGATCGGATGCCTGTGTGTATTGTTGTGCACATAAAAAAATCCCTTGGCAGTTGAAAATCGAAAACAGCAGCCTAACCGCGCTGCCTAGGCAAAATTTGGAGGTAAAAATCTACCCAAAAGTATTTCAGGAACCTCGCCCGTGCTACAGAGTTCATGCACTGCACTGAGATTTTTCAGACTCGGGCTTGAGTCAGAATGGAGCACTTATGGGTTACCCCTTGTGCCATGATGCTGATCCGTCATCTAAACCTAAACTCATGAAAAATATGAGAAGGATTGACGGAGTCACTGACAGCCTGAGACTTCACAATATTACACAATATCAAGCAACCAAGGAAGTCACCATGGTGTAGCGGCTAGAAGCTCGCGTACGAATCAGAAGGTTGTGGGTTCACTTCCTGGTGGAGCCGGACTTTTTTCAAAAATGACCTTGGCTCCCAGCCTTGAGTGGGTACTAGGTGAAGTCCCGGGAAGTGAAGGCAGCTGGCGTGATGCTGACCACATCACCCATCTTGTGCCGATTGGTCTATAAAAATATAGGTCTAGCCCTATATGCCCTATTTGCCTAAAGGCATGAAAATGGACCTTTATTTGTTTGTTTTTTTAAACTTTTATCAAACAGCCAAACATGCCTCTGCTCAGTACCAATCACCTAACTGTGATGCCTAATGGCAGAAAACAGATGTTAACCACAGAAGCAGAATGCATAAATAAGTCACAAATGCACATATGATGACATTACACAATTATCACTTACAGGTTGTCATTGATTCTCTGCACCCATTCGTCTTTCTTTAATTTCTCTCGGGCTTTTTCAAGTGAAAAGAAATCAGTACAGACACGCAAAGTGGGCTGAAAAGGCTTATAGCGCTGTTTCTGTACATCTTTTGGATCCCGGAATGGGCCCTTGAAAATGTTACAAAAAGTTTGTATTTAATTATTTGTGTGAGATTTATTTTGGAATCATTTTATTTATAGGAGATGTGTTAGCTTAGTGGTTATATGCTCGTCTGCAGGTCCGATGTCTTAGGGTTGAATCCCCATCAAGTTGTTTTTTTTTAAACTGACCTTGGCTCTCAGGTCATGTCCTGGGAAGTAAAGGCCGCTAGAATGATGCTGACCACAGTATCCACCAATTACAAATGAAAGTATGAGTCTAGCATCATATATCAAATGTGCCGCTTACTTAAAAGGGGTCTTTTACTTTTGTCTATACTTATATATTACATCTAAATGAAAATCCACATTCAGTTGAAAGTAAGATTTCCTATTGTACATAATAAACAGTTTGTGCAGTCTGGTGCAAACATATATCCTGAACATATCCATGATTCAATTTCATATATCATGATAAGATTTATATAGCTTTTAAGAATTTTCTTTTTTGTCTGAACTGACAAAGAAAGATTGCATAAAATATTCTCCACTTCGTAAATATGCTTTTGCTACATTTAACTTTTAAAATACATTTTCCAGCTGATTTAAACATATCAGCTTCCTTGAGGATTATCCTATTTACTTTGATGTTGCATTTCAGAGGGTCAGTTTTCTGGTGTGAAAAAGATCTTTACATTTGTAACCTAATGTTTCTTCTTCTTTCTTGTTTACTTATCTGCTCTTATCATTTTCCTTTCATCTTCTTACTCCTCTTCAGCCATGACAACAAACTCTCATGACACAACTTTTTAAGTTTGGGGGGAGAGGGGAGGGGTTGGTACAAATGCAGTAATAAAAAATAATTATTTTTTCTCGCAACTAACCCACTTGCAGCATTCTAAACAAGAACATGACATTAACAGTTTCTGTAAAATTTATATTGACAATAACAGTTTCTGTACAATCTATATTGACAATAACTGTTTCTGTACAATCTATGTTAACATTAATGTTTCTGTACATTTTGTGCTGACATTAACAGTTTCTGCACAATCTATATTGACATTAACATTTACAATCAATACTACAGTGTTTCTGTATACTGAACAGTTTTCTGTACAATACTAATTTTTGTAACATAATCTTAATTAACTAGTTTCTGACATTAGTTTTTCTGTGCAATCTAAATTAAACAATTTACAACATTAGTTTCTGTACAATCTAATTAACATAAGTATCTGACTAAATTACACAGTTTTTCTGTACAATATATATTGACATTTACTATTTTAGTACAATCAATACTGACAGTAGTTTCTGTACAATCTAAATGAATATTATTTTCTGTACAATCTAAATTAACATTAGTTTCTGTACAATCTAAATTAACACTAGTTTCTGTACAATCTAAATTAACACTAGTTTCTGTACAATCTAAATTAACATTAGTTTCTGTATCTAAATGAAATTATTATTCTGACATTAACATAAGTTTCTGTATAGTCTACAGGTGAACTAGTTTCTGAACCTAACCTGTGGTATTGTTAACTATGAACATGGAGGAAAGTGGTTTTTTTAACGGAGGAAGAACACTGGAGCTGTAGTTCTTACAAATAGGATCAAATTCTGGTTCATCTGCTTTCTTCTTTTTGTGGGATAAGGGCTGCACACTACGCAACAAGTACTCTTCCTCTGTTGGGCAACTGCAATAAACATAGACAACAAGGAATAAACATCTAAGTATTAACTTTCATTTACCTAAGCTGGCATCTACCATCCGCAATTTTTATGACAACTTGAAAAAAAAAATTTTTAACTTGTTTTCTTATACTTGTTGAAGGATTTGAATTTAACACTCATAATTATTTAATTATGTTAAATAAAAACTGTTGACTAAAATAAGTGCAAAACTAATCAATGAACATGCTTACAGTATTTCTTTACCTTGTCTAAAGCTAATTTAACAGATAGGTTAAGTTACATGTAATATGAAAAAAAAAAATTATTAACTGATTCAGCTCATAATTTTATGCTGTGGGTGGGGCTTATTTATTAAATACAATAGATCACCCCTTACATAATTTAACATTTATTATAATTTTTAAGGTTAATAAGGTATGCTGCATGAGTGACTAAATTAAAGAGAACTGAATGGACACTGCAGGTCCGTTTATTGCTTGGGAACTGTTTGTATTTAGTTAGTGTTTCATTCAGAAAATGTATGCATGCTAAAAGAAATAATTTGGCAGCCTGAAAGTGAATTCTCTACTTACACAAAGTCTTTAAGGCAAATATTTTAGTGCTGTGCAATCTGTGTACTTTATTTGTGTCGCTTATCCATTTAAACACACATAACAAGAAGAAAAGCAGTGACTGGGCAGATATTTTTTAAGTTTTCAGGTATTAGTAAAACAAACTAGAAGTTCATTAAAGCAAGTTATCTTATGTTGTGTTATCACAATTGACGTCACTGCAGATCGGGCATTCCAGTGCATGCTAAGTCCTCCGATGCAGCAGCCACTCCAAGGTACTTCTACTAATTATTCCTATGAGAAGCTTGTTACATTGTCTCCTATCTCGGTCTCGAAGACGGCATAGACGTGCTTCACCATGCTTCACTCCCATGTCACGCAATCATGTTAGTGTCAGGGATTCCTCATTATCCACTAGCCCAGTCCGTACAGCATTGACAATATCTGCTCTGTCCATGCTTCTTCCACTCATTACCCTTTATGCCCGGATGACCAGGTGTGTAGATCCCGGCGAGGGAGGCTAAGCAAGTAAAGGAACCTGTCAACAAGACTGACCCATCGTGCATATGATAGACTCATATTTCTACTGACCAATCAGCAACTGATGGATAAAGCAGTCAGAATCCCTCTGGCCACCATCATTTCCCAGGACCTCACCAGGCACCCAATTTACGCTGTTTACTTGGGAGCCAAGGTCATTTTTTAACAAATTTGACTTGATGTGGATTGAACCCAACAGCTTCAGGCCTGCAGACTAGGAGTAAATGTCACAAAATATTCTATACATTTCTAATAATCAATCACTATCCTGGTGGAAATTAATATAAATTTACAAAAAAGAACATTTATACTACACATACTGATACTGACAAACAAAGAATAACTTTAGAGAGTTAAGAATTATAAGGAATAATATTAATCTGGTTCAGGTTTAGTCACACGAATTTCCTCACGGTAAAAATGGTGAGTTGTAGATCCCAGGTATAACCTCGGTACTCAGGAGGTAATGGTGTTTTCTTGCCTTATAAAAAAAATCTTGCAGGAGGTTTAGTCATAGTATTAGCAAGTAATAACATATATAGATCTCTTTATAAAAGTATTAAAGATTGAACTCCGAACAATAGTTATGGGGCTGGCTAACTCAACCCCTGGAAATTCTAAAAGCCAACCAAATGTAAACAAACACAAAATACAGAAATAAATCTAACGTGAAAAAAGATGGTGAGAATAACTTATGGCAAAGAATATGATGACTTTGCACCAGTTTAATGAACTTATACACCCCTCTGAGAAATAACAGTCATCAGTTAGAAGAAGGGTGAGAGAATGAATTTCATTGCATCAGGTTTCACAATGTGACTGGCTGTACCTGCAGCAGCAAACACAGAGATCTCTGAAAAACAGTTCACTCATAAACCAGCTGACTAGTCTGAAAACAGACTCACGAAAGGCAAATGGCTTCATTATACAGACATCATCCTTCTTCTTATTCTTCTACTTCTTCACTTCATGTTATATTGCTTTTGGTGTTGAGGAAGATTTAAGGGTCTGGTTCTTTCTCTTATGGCTGCTCAACTATGGGCACATCATATTGTTGTTTAGTTTCTCTAGTGTCATCTTTCTATCTTGTTTTTGGTTTACCATTGGCCCTGCATCTCTTTCCTCTCTTGGGATATGCTTTGAATTGTATGGCAATGCAATGCATTCTAAGTAGGCAAAAAATTTTACTTTCTGCTTCTGTGTGCAATTTAATATTGGTTTTATTCTAATTTGTTTCTGTTAAGACTTCATTGTTTATTTTATCTCTTCTGGTCACTCCTGCAGCCTTTCTCAAACAGAAGCTCACCGATAAAAATACTTTGAAATATAGTCAACAGACATGTCCACATTTACATACCTAACAATCTCATTCTTGACCTGCAAAGCCTCAAGGTACCTCTTTCTGCCATGGTAGCAGAATACGTATTTTCTCACATAATAGCCTCTCCAGATTCTCTGGATCTGAAATCGTTTTACAAATTTTTACATTCGCATGTTCAGAATTTACATAAATTACTGAATAGTTTCATATATGAAAAGAATTTTATTATTTTGTGCAATTTCTTCATAGTATTCTTCATAAACAAATTCTGGAACTTTCCTTACAGATTGATGGCAACAGGTAAACACCGCTCTCTCCTCCTCATATGTGACAGCCTTCCTTGCCGGAAGGAATTCCATCCACATTCTTACACATGTTATTTCATCTGTTCTCATTTCTTCTATCAGCAAATGTTCATAAATGGTCTTTAGAATGTCTTCTTTGTCCATTTCAAGACTTCATGTAACTATCACCTCTGCAGCCAAAAAAAAAAAATGAGCCATTCATTCTCTGGCACTCCTGCATATTCCAGAGAGTACACCTGTGTAAGTCCCTGTAATGCTGATGTGCTGGTGCTTGGTATCTACTCATGTCACATTTGCAGCCTCACAACCCAAAAGACTAAGGTGAGAGTAACATTGTTAGTAACCAATTATTATGTGTCGATGCTTGGTATCTACTCATGCCACATTTGCAGCCTCACAACCCAAAAGACTAAGGTGAGAGTAACATTGTTAGTAACCAATTATTATTTCAAACATTTCGAAGCCTTCACCAAAAACAATCTCTGTGACTCCTGCGTCAGAGGCAATCATAAGAACTTTCCAGATTTTAAGAACTTTCCAGATTTAACACACCCCTCTCCCACCTTTCAGATATTTCAATTCCTAACTGTAACCCACTAAATAAGCCTATCAATTTTAAGAAAGCATGAGTCCAGATTAGTCAAATGTTTTTCAGTGGCTTGCTGTGCAACTGCTTTGACTTAATATTTTTTTTTTCTTTAAAGTATTCATAATTTCTCTTCTACCTAAGCTGATCAATATCATGCTGCTGTCTTTACTCTCCAGTATATTTCCCAGTAGTCATTTTAGGCTGGATTAACTTCGAAGCCTTAGGTAAATTATACAAATCCAGGTTGATGCAGATTCAACCTAAAGACCTTTGGGCTGGCAAATTTATCTTGCTCCAGTACTCCCAAAAACTATGTGAGCAGAGTCCTTCATATTGGACAGTTAAAAAAAAAAAACTATTCTTAGAGAGAAACAAAAAAGTGTCCCAGTTGAACAAGGAAAATCCAAAGACTGGGGAAGGCAATGATCACGGAGGGAGGTCAATTTTTTTTTAAAGATCTCACCTCAAGGGGGATTCAGTCAAATGTCAACTAGGCAAGTCTGCTAACACTGTGTTAATGGAGAGGTTGTACGTTATATTAATTGGGGTAATAAAACTAGTTAATAACATTTAAAACAAAAATAAAAACCAATGAATATAATTAGCAGCACCAACCTTACTAGCCATTGCATTGTAGTGTTTGAATCTCATAATAAACACGGTATTCTGAAAGAAACAAGTTAAAAATACAACTTTAGAACTTTTACAGACTGCATTATTTAAACAACCTATTCATAATCTGGGAAATACATTTTATATTAAGACTACTTTAACATATAGAAGGACTCAAGTACAACATGATGACCTTGTTTTAAAAAAGAAAAACAAAATGTGTATTAATTTTGTCCCAAAACAAATATGAAAGAGATCAAAGAAGTTGCTGTAGATAATTTCCTCGGAGATATTATTATGATTATTATAAGATATTATTATGAGATATTATTATTATTAATCTGAGAGATTATTATGGCCTGGAGAGAATGAGGCACCTGGGTGTAACCAGAGGGTCTGGCCGGCTCACTACACTCAGAGAAAAGACAAGACGGATATATAACCAGATTGGGACCGGTACCATCAGTATTAGAACTCTGTGCTGGCTGCTGAAAAATGAGGACGGAGCACATATGGGAATGTCCCGAGTGCTGTGATGTCAATTCTTGACTCAACTCAACTCTAAGATATTATTCAGGAATCTTGGAGAAATGCTGTTTAGTCTATATTTTTTTTTACCAGGGGTACACATGGGGTGACATGGCTAGCATTACGCCAGCAACCTAAACTATCCTAAATAATACCATGGTGCCCATTTTATGAAGCCAGATTAGTATCAGAGGTGGGTTGACAAACTGAAAAATAAAAAAATTCTTGTTTTCTGCTTGGGATTTAACCCAGAACTGTGGTATGGTATTTCTGATCACAAGAATGGGAAAAAGTGCAGGTTATAGTGATGCATACAAAATTACTTTCAGTACCTTAGTTCTTCTTCTTCTTCTCTTCCTCCAGTTACCTCATTAAAGTGTTGGAGGGAGATATAGGGATCTTCTCTGGGCTTTTTCCAATTTTGCATAAGTAATCTTTATTTCTTTAACTCTCTGAGTCCCAGGGGTTTTATCATCATACACCCAAGGGGTAGTCAAGAGAGACGTTAAATCGGCGCATCATGCGTTCATTGGGCCTCTAGGTAGGAAACTATGAACGTGTGATGCATTCCTTGGGACTCAACGAGTTAAGCCTGTTTTGATGCTGTCTTTCCATCTGTTCCCTGATCTTCCCCTGTGCTGATGGGCGTTACGTCTCTGGCCCCTTCCCCAGCACGACGGCACCACTGGGGTGACGTTAATAAACTCTCACTAATTAAATATGTGTAGAACATTTTTTTTTTATTGATGAACTCAATCCTCGCCAGAGCTACGGATTTCGTGCGTTCCGTACTGAGATCCGATGCAGCAGCATCTACACGCTACAGAAAGTAAAAGAGGACAACATGGTAGGAAAACGGCGCAAAAGACGTGCTGGTGCACCAAAAACCAATCTAAATCAGCAAAACGCCTTGGCAAGGGAAATCTCCGCATTCTTTTGCTGGAACTGCAGGAGTGTTCGACAGAGAGGCCCAATCTTTGGAGAAACTGATATATGATGCTGATGTAATCGCACTTCAGGAGGACCCCGGCTGAATACAGAAGAAGCTCTGAATGTCTCAGGCTTCCAAACGTACTACAACAGCAAACACCTAGGCCAAGCGATCCTGGTCAGGGCGCGGAATAAACATCCTCAGTTGTAGACACGAGTGTGCATGGAACAACAACGAAATTCAGGTTCAGGCCGTAAAGGTAGACGGAAGTAAACCTTTCACATTAATCAACATCTATGCCTGTAATGATAAAGTTGACAAAGAAAAGTGGACAATTTTAAGTGACATATGCGAGCAGATAACCACCGACATCATTATGTGTGGGGACTTCAATGCCAAAGGGCGTCTATGGGGCAATCTGACGGTCCAATAAACAGGGCGAGGCACTGGAGGAAGCACTAACAGACACGGATTTAATCTGCTTGAATGCATGGCAGACCCACCAAGAATCCCCGACAGAGAAGGTGATACTGACAGTGCCCTTGATCTCTCCCAGTATGAGTGCACTTTGCAGTGGGGCGTACTGGGACATCATGGAAGCGACCACCTTCCCTGTTGGATTCTGGTCAAAAAAACAATCTGCACAAGGTATCAGAGACCAGCCACTTTCTTTCCAGTATGCTGCAAATCAGCTGATGTAATTGGGCGTCTGCGAGACAGGTCACGCAGAACACCGGGAAAGAAGAAAGCTATCTTTCAACAACCCCCATGGTGGACTCCTGAAGTCGCAGAAGCCTGGACAGAGAAACGAGGTGCCACCAAAGACTGGGAGAAATGCAGAAAGTCTTCGAATTTTACTGAGGCGCAGAAACAAGACGTTAAACACAAAAAAAGACAAACTCACTGAACACAATTTTAAACAACTCGCAAAGGAGTCTAAGCACACAATGTGGGAACATTTTTGTCAGAAATAGGTTACGAAAAAATCTCTCCAGAAAATTCTGGCGGCTCTCCACCAAAAGATGAACGGAGGCAAACGAAACCTCTGTTATGCCCGAGCTAAAATGGAAAGATGGACAACGGGGTGGTGTTAAAATCGGGATAAAGACAAAGGGGAGGCTAATCCTGCACCAGATTTCTCCTGCAGACGGAAAAGAAAGACAGGAAAGATAGGGAGCAGATGAAACAGAATTTACATGATATCCAGATGGCTGAAATCGAGGTGAAAGACGATGATACAGTATACATCTCAACGGGACTGCATCAAAGCAACACTGAAGACCTGTCCAGACACAGCTCCAGGTCCTGATGGCATTAGATACAGCGACTTCAAAAGCCTCGATATGACAGATATGGATGAAACTATCCACGATTTTTAACAACACCATTAAAACTGGCATTATTCCTGATGACTGGCTCCACAGCTATCTCAGACCAGTTCCTAAGCCAGGAAAAGACCACACGAGAATAAATGGCTATAGTGATCATAACACTTCAGAACACGGTAGGAAAACTCATGGAAAAAATCGTTGCCAGAACGTTAACCCCAAAAATTAGAGTCGGGTGGTCTATTCCCCGCTACACTAGGTGGTTACCGACCAGGAAGAGATACATGGTGTGCAATGCTGCAGTATTTGCTTACGACACATACGAGGGTTTCCAGGAGGGAATGGAAACTGCTGCAGCCGCTATTGACTTAGAAGATGCGTACAACAGCGTCCCATACAACATGCTCATCAGACTGCTGTTGGATATGCAGATAGAGACAAAGTTGGTCAACTGGATCGCAGCAGCGCTTTTGAAAGAACCGTGTCGCTTCGATGTGGTAAATGGGCATCCGAACCTCAACGAGTCCTAATGGGTCTTGCCACAGGGATCACCACTGTCGCCTGTGCTCTTCAATGTGTACACAGCAGGAGTCACTAGTGCACAACGCGTAGGTCTAGGTAGAACAATGTCGTATGCAGATGATATTCTTGTTTACCGTCGAGGTAAAAACAGGCAGGAAATTACAACCACACTACAACACGAACTGGACAGACTTAGTGAGTGGTGCCAGGAATCAAGAGCTCAAGTGAACCCGTCCAAAGCCTCCTTAACATGGTTCTCTCTAAATACTCACATCGTCAATACACCAACGCCAGTCGTAAGCATATGTGGTGTGGACATCGAGAGAACGGACACCATGAAATACCTGGGTATGACATTTGACAGATGCTTGTCATACAAATGCCACTTAGACAACGTCATACTTAGAGCCAGAAAAGGTCTGACAGCACTCAAGGTGCTAGCGGCAGCTGATATTGAACAACGCCTACTTTTCCTTCTCTATCAAGGGCTTGTGCTTAGCGTCATTGACTATGGTCTTGGCCTCCTCACTGTCAGCAAAACCCAGCTAGAAAGACTGGACCGAGTACAAAATGAGGCCATGAGACCCATACTCGGCTGCACAAAAGACACCTCCTGCAACGCCATGCGTTATGTCCTGGGTTTGCCGACGATGACTAGCAGATACAAAGTGGCACAAGTCAAGGCTTACATGAGGGTATCGGCAGACGCTAACCACCCATTGCACAAAGCTATATACGACACAAAAGGAACGCGTCTCAAAAAGGGCTGCTCTTGGATGGCAAAGGCTGAGAATTTGATCCAGCAGGTATGTGTGACCTACACGTTATCAGGCACGGAAAAGAATGGATGAATACACCAGTAGACATGCATGGCATCTCTAAGGTTGTCATCACACTAGGAAGGTACTGTCGGGATCAGATTCCTGCGGCCATAGACACAGAAGTAAGGGAACTGATAGATCAGCATTCAGACCCAGAAAGATATCATCATCTACACAGATGGGTCCGTGAAGCGCGGATCAAGGTCAGCATGGGCATACACAGCGCAAAGAAGGGGGAAAACAATACATGAGGACAGCGGCGCTTACCAGACAACCACGTCAAGCATGACCATGGAAATAGCCGCGCTGCTTCTAGAGCTTTAGCATGGGTATCCGAGCAAACCGCCACACAAGCAGTAATTGTCTCAGACTCAATGAATATGCTTCAGAAAATAGCAACAGGCAGTATGCGCTCTGAATGGATAGAAAGCATTCGGAAATCGCACTTAACTTCCGTAACCTGGATCTACACACCGGGTCATGCGGGCGTAAAGGGAAATGAGCGAGCGGACCAACTGGCAAGCACAGCACTAATGATTGCGGGAAAAAGCATGGACAGAGCAGATATCGTTAACGCTGTACGTACTGGGCTAGTGGATAATATCGAATCCCTGACACTAACACGATTGCGTGACATGGGAGTTAAGCATGGTGAAGCATGTCTTTGCCGTCTGCGAGGCCGAGAAAGGAGACAATATAACCAGCTTCTCATGGGGGACAATTAGTAGAAGTACTTTGGAGTGGCTGCTGCTTCGGAGGACTGCGCACGCATGGGTATGCCCAATGTGCAGTGACGTCGATTGTGATAACAAAACACAAAATAACATTTTGTAGGAAGTCGGCATTCCGAAACCCAAGTTCAAGGTGTCTCCTTCGTGCCAAAGAACTGCATGGGTGTTGGGTGAACAGTCGTTAACGAAGGCAGTCAGGTCGTTGTAGGGGCGACGCCTGCTGGTGGATGTAATGTCCTAAGTCCCTTTCCCAGCTAATAGTGAGGGTACTGCTGGGGTGACCATTTGTTAACCCCTCACATAATGCCAGAGTCTTTAGTAATATTCATTGGTTACTGCCCAGCCTTACAAGTTAGTAACTCATTCTAAGCCAAAGAGTTGTCCCTTTCCAGTAATAAATGTATGAAATAGCAGGTAATAAAAATAACTTCATAAGGCAGAAAGATGGTAGAAAACCTGGTCCACTGATAGGTGGAGTTAACCTTATGACTAAAAGAGAGTGAATGCAGACAGCATCTGTCTAAGACTCAAACAGTTATAATTGTTCTCTACACAATTTGACAGACTACACAAGTCATATCTGTACCCACCCTGAGAAGAATGCTGTAGTATCTTCTTGCCAGAAAGCCTCGCCATATTTTCTGTATCTTTGTAGCACATTTATTTAAGAATCTGAAGTTATTTGAGAAATGGACAGGTAAACACAAAATTTAGCAATCATATTTTTAACTAATTATTTTTAAACATTACTAGATGACCCCAAGACATTCCGATGTTCGGAGTTTAGGTGGATAATGATGTTTGCGGATAAATGCCTTTTCTGAGATAAATGAAGGCTTAAGAGGAAACGCATGTTTCTAAGTTGCATAAAATAATATTAGGCTCCAAGACTTATTTGATAGCATACCTTCATTTCTTGGTCAAATGTATATATGGACGGATCCTACAGATTTTGTGCTAAACAATGATCTCAGTGGTTAGTGGTGTTCTTCAGTTGAATAGTTGTCTGTTTGATTACTGTTGTTTTTGTGTTAAACAGTTGTCTAAATGGTTACTGGTGCTTTTTGACCAAATATCTGTCATTAATGGTAAAAAAGTAAGGTAAAGCCGGGAGATGTGAACCAGCGTCCCTGTAGACAATTAAAAACCATAAGTGCTCTGCCACCAGTACGGACAGCTGATGAGAAACTGTCCGCCTGTGTCGCCGTCTGCACAAAACTCCGTAAAATGGTATTCCTGGAATGAATGTTTCTAAGTGGTTATTTGTATTCCCAGTTTGAATATTTGTCTATGTCACTATGCCTAAACTGAACATGCATTTGTGTTGTTACAGTTGCTCTTGTATTAAATGTGGTTTATGCTGTGAATTGCAGATTCAGAAAATGGCGAGTGGACTGTTGCCAGAGAACTTGTGGTGCCTTTCTATGATTAAGTACATGTGCAACAACTGATGTGTTATAACTGCAGCTTTCATGGATGATGCACTGCATTTCTAGTGTCAGACTATTTGTGTTGGCCTTTCTGACTGCTGCTTCGTGCACTTAACTCTTTGAGTCCCAAGGAACGCATCATACATTCATAGATTCCTACCTAGAAGCCCAATGAACGCAAGATGCCCCGATTTTACCTCTTTCTTGACTATCCATTGAGCCTGTGATGCTAAACCCCCTGGGGCTCAAAGAGTTAATGCATGAGTATGCTGTTGTATTTGCTGAGACTGCCATCTGTGTTATTGTTTTTATTTTTTCACAAGGGATAGTGATTGACATTCTGTGTGGTCTTTATTGGCACAGAAAAGGATAAATTATGGGGTGACCCATTTGCTGTGTAGTTGGAACTGCACATACCCCATGTTTCTACTTAAAGTAATGCACAATGAAATACAGTGTTCAAGAAAAAACATCAAATTCTCATTGAAATTAGTCATAAGACTCATTAAAAAAAGAATAATAATTTATGATACTTACTTTAAATATGCTCTAACTCGTATCCCCCGAAACCATGCTTGAATTCTAACAGCAGCTGCATATTCATACAAACGTGCGGCATAGGCTTGGCTAAAATGTATTAAATCATGAAATAAGCTACATGGTTATAATTGTTTTGCATTCTATTATTTTCTTAGATAAATAATGTAATCACCATTTGTAATGTAATGCTTGCAAAGACTGCTGAGAAGAATTCATGGTGAGTCATCCCGGATCTGGATGTGTTCGGCCAAAAGACGCATATATCATGGCCCAGCTGTAAACCACAATGTTATGTGACAAATGTCCTTCTAAGGTTAAAGTAATTAATTAACATGAAGAAGCTGTGTTTGCATAATATAATGTATGATAATCATCAAGTGACTTGCTAATGTGTTATGCAATAAGGGTAATCATCATATGGTCATCATCATGCTTTTCTATATATATATATATATATATATATATATATAATTATGGTGTACTGTAACATCTTGTATAATACTGTATGTATACATTCCTGTGCTGTCATGTTTTCATGCCAAGATAAAAGGCTGTCAAGAATCTCTCACTCATCTAACTATAAAATATCTTTGCACCTTCGGGCGTTCTAATTTTTTTGCAAACCTTTGTTACCTCCTCTACATATTTAACGGCTAGATTGTGACAGTGGTCCTGTGGGGCCGTGTTTTGGGATCAGTATGCGGGACTGTTTGTTTCGCGGCGGTGTACTGAGGAACATCTTGGTACTACATAGATGACAGTGTAGCTAGCAAATAGCCAATTAAACAAGAACCAGGCCCCTCAGAACCAGAACTTAGGCACAAATGAACAAACTCAGGTGAAATTGCTCAACACAAAGGAAGATAAATAAAATAATATAGCAAAGGAACCGTCTTTGAAAAAGCAGGCCATCAGGGGGCTAAAAAAGGACTTAGCTTGGAATTTTTGTTTAATTTTATACGATAGGATCTCACTGCATTCTTATATTTATATCCATTCTTCAATAACTGCATCCACTCTGCATGTCCTAGCACTGACTGATAGTATAGGAATTTTAGGCTCTCCTCCGAACTTCGTCCCCATATTATGGTGGCCAATCAAAGACCCTAACAGGGCCTCAGTCGTGTGTAAAATGCAGACTTCCTCCGACGAACACATCGTGGCAAAACAAGGATTACTGTCTGTTGACAATTTCTAGAAACGCAACAATACACACGATAATAGCAACATGGCCAGGAGACCACACATTTTACACACGACTGAGGCCCTGTTAGACTATCTGTTTGGCCGCCATAATATGGGGACGAAGTTCGGAGTACAGCCGAATTAATAATTCAATTATTATACTTCTTTTTTTCTCGGTCTGGTCTGAATCAGTGAATGGATAGATAGCCAAGAGTAGCCGCGAATTATGAGAGACAATTCTGAACTTTGTAAAGCAAAAAAAAAAAAAAAAAAGCATGGATAACCTTATCATTACACAACAACTATTCTCCAACTGATTTGCGTAGATTTTGTAAACCTTGCGCATCCTCCAACAAACGAACCAATGCCGCCATTTCATTATGTTTACAGTTGCCAAGGAGGTGAACACGAGCAACTTTCTGTAACTACATAACAACAAGACAGTTTACAAATGGCGGGCTAAGCGCCTCTGTTGCGTTTGGGTCCATGGTCTGTTAGAAAGTATGGGTTCAAATATGACTCCGTTAAGGTCGTATATGCAGAAGAAGAAAAAAGTAGTAGGCAAATATAGGTACGTTTATTTGCTTGATAGAGATCAATTATCTGATGTTGAAAAATATAAACAGTGTGTGTTATTCAACGGATGTGTAATTTTTCAGTGTTCCCGATGTGATTTACGTGTTTTTCAGTGCTCTCTTAAGGATGAATCTGTGTCAGGTCCAGCAAATCGGCAGTGGATTTAAGAGTTCACAAAAATCTGCTCTGGAAACAATATATGAGATTAAAAGATGCAGTCCCAAAAATAAGGCATCAGGTGTTGATGGAATATCAGCCGAGGCAATACAGGCTTGTGGAAAAATTGGAGTCACCTGGCTACTCCACATATTTAGGAAAGCCTGGAATGAAAGAACTGTACCAATAGACTAGCAAAGAGCCCTTATAGTCCCAATTTGGAAAAGAAAAGGCAATAAGCAAGATTGTAACAATTACAGCGGCATCTCCCTTTTAAGCCACGTAGGAAAAATGTTTGCCAAAATTCTGGAACAACGATTTAGATCCGTTGTAGAACCGATCCTGAGCCCATCACAGGTCGGATTTAGGAAAGGAAGAGGGTGTACTGACGCTATTTTTGCTTTAAGTCAAGTTAGCGAAAAGACAATAGAACACAGACATCAAATGAACATCGCTTTCATAGATCAAGAAAAAGCTTTCGATAGAGTAAACAGAAATTTATTATGGAAAGTTCTTGAAAACTACGGTATAAATGGAACAATTTTAGATTGTGTTAGGGCTATTTATAGACAAAGTGAAAGCGCCATTAGAACAAGAGCTGGCATCACAGATTGGTTCCCAGTGTATTATCACCTTTACTTTTCTTAAATTTATGGACAATATTAATCAAATAGAAATAACACCAACAGATGTCGATAAACAGGAGGACTTCAATGAGCTGCTCTTTGCCGACGATCAATGCATTTTTCACAGTGATAGTAAACAGCTGCAAGACCACATAAACCTACTACACAACAGTTCCCTCAAGCATCATATGAAGATCAATACTGAAAAGACAGAAGTCATGAGCATAAGTAGAGAGCAACGACCATCGACATAAAGATTCTAGATCACAGCCTAAAAACAAGTGCAAGATTTAAATACTTGGGAAGTATCTTTACATTCAATTGTAAAATAGACAGAGAGATCGAAGCAAGAAGCCAACAAGCCAACAATGTCGCATACCAGCTTGCCCCAATTTTAAAACACCCTGCTGTCCCAGCTGAGATAAAAAGACAAATTATAAATACAATCTTTATACCGACATTAGGTTATCAATGTCAGACTTGGACATTAACAAAAGAACACGAGAGAAGACTAACCACCTGTGAAATGAGATGTTTGAGAATGGCTGTGAATAAAACCAGAAGAGATCGAGTGAGAAACAATGTGATTACAAGAACTATTGGAACAATACCCATCGTTAAATTTATTGAGAAGCAAAGAAAGAAATGGTTTGGTCACCTAGTGAGAATGGAACCAACAATGCCAGCATCAAGAGCATACAACATGAAAATCGAAACACCAAGAGGCAGGGGAAGACCAAGAAGAAGATGGATTGAAGGAGTCACGGACAACTTGAGACTTCTAACATCACGGCATATGAAGCGACTGAGCGCGCCCTGGCTCGGTTGCCAATCATCTGATAGACTGCGACGCCTAGCAGCACAAGCAGATTTTGACAAAAGAAGAAAGAAGAAAAATATGTTTCAGTAAATAACTGTGTGCCGAAATGGGTTTTTTTTTCCGGCTATCCTCCGACTAAGGGTCGGTAAAGATAGCGGCCGCAAAAAATCCTTTCGAGCGACAGTCACGTGTCAATTGCGCACTAGCGGTCACAAGCACACTGCAGCTGCTGCTCGTGGGTCCTAGCCATCTACTTTAGCCCCATTCTACGCCGCGTGAGCGGCGTGGGGGACACGTGGCGATAGTCGCCGGAGAACAGCAAATTAAGTCACGTGACTGTGGCTTGAAAGGATATTTTGCGGCCTCCATCTTTACCGACCGTTAGCCGGAGGATGGCCTTTTTTTTTCTTTATTTCCTATTCTAAGTTCTAGCTTTCAACGTCAGGTTTAGGAAAAAGCATATAGTGCAAGCCTAGGTATGTGTGCTGCATTGATGCTGGTATTCACGGCTTCGTTTCCATCTAAGTGATTGGGGCTCTCTATAATGCACTGAACTGCGGTAGTCTTGACACAAGTCCGAACCATTTACCTGTGGTATCTTCATGTAGTGTGACACTGGTTTTTTTTTTTTTATCTTGTTGGTCTATATTTAATATAATATTTGCAGCCCACACTGTATATCCAGTATTCCTCAAACCTCTTGAACTTCTTCTTTTGACTTTCTATCCCCCAGTGGAACATAGGCTTTCAACCAACTCACGCCAAGTTCTTTCTATCCTTCACCATTACATGAAGCTCTCCCCATGTCCTCCCCATCTTTCTAACTTCATTCTTCAGCTCTCTTCTCCATGTGTTTTTGGCCTTAATTTACGCCTATGCCCCTGTGGGTTCCAATGCAAAGTCATTCTAGTTATCCTGTTCTCCTGTTTTCATGTGTGTGTCCTATCCAACGCCAGTGACTTTTCCTCACCTCTTGGTCCACTGGAGCCTGTTTAGTTATCTCCCAAAGTTCTACATTAGTTATTCTATCATACCATTTAATTCCCTCTATTCTGCGCAGGCACCAGTTAATGAATGTCTGTAATTTATTAGTATTTGCCTTAGTTGTTCTCTATGTTTCCGCCCTTTTGAAGTAGCCTTTACTTAATAAAAGTGGCTAATAATTTGCTGAAGAACAGGACAGAAGAAATTGGCATTTTGTTTTAAAAGAATGAAGTCTGTGGGAAAATAGTATTGAGAACAGTGTCCATTTTTTTAAGTATTCATGCAAATTATGACCACAATGTTATGAGATTCACTTTTTGTAAATTTAGTTAGTTAAAAAGAAAATTAGTAACCATGGAAATGAGATGTCTGAGAAGGGCTGTAGGAGTGACCATAGGAGATAAGATCAGGAATGAGATCATAAGAGAAAAAGTCGGCACAGAACCAATTCTAAATTACATACAAAGACAGCAAGTGAAATGGTTTGCCCACTTAGAGACAATGCCTTGTGACACCATACCATACAAAGCATACATGGAAAGAGAAGAAAGTCGTAGAGCAAGAGGTAGACCAAGAAAAAGATGGAAGGATAACATCAGAGAAGCTCTACAACAGCACGATGTGCCTATGGTCGAGGCAGCCAGAAGAGCCAGAAATAGAATCTTATATCTCCCTCGATACCCACAGCAGTAAAAGAAGAAGTGAAGAAGAAGAAGAAGTTTGTTAATAGTCTATCCTCCTCAACGCATATCAGACAAGTCCATAAGCACTGAGATCCCATCTTCAGTATTTACCTAAGCGTGTGTGGCCACTGAGAACACGATTTCTGAGATGGTTTACTATTTTTTTTTTCTTGCTACCTGTATAGTGTTTATGACTAGCAACACCTCTTTTGACAGGAGTTCTTGTATTCTTTTGAATGTTGCCAATTCACCATCGTCTCCCTAATTATCTATACATTCTACCTCCTTGAGAGCATTGCAGACATCTGCAATATATTGCTTTTTCCTTGTCTACAATTCCTCTGCCAGCAAGCCAATCTGCTCATTCATTCTATCTTATCCCAGAATATCCTGGCACAAAAATGAAACATTCCTGACAGATGAGACTTTCTCAGAAATTCCAACCACTGTCTTCTAACCCATCCTCTCTCAATCTTCTTAGGCATGTTCATGGAATCAGAAAGCAGGCATGGGAGTAAATCTGTATCTAGCCAGGTCATTGGTTATGTTACTACCATCAACTCTATAGTCAGACTCTTTGTAGTTCAGGCAAAAGCATCACTTACTTTTCCCTCCAGCCAGAACCATAAATCCCTTGAGCTTTCCACATGTCAAAATGATAGGTCCATTAATGTAAATAATGCACCTCCATCAGCTAAATTCTCTAGCAACCCAAATAATATTTTTAATTTGTCACTTAATCCTCAGCCCAGATACATTTCGCGTCATTAGTGAGGATGCTGAATGTGAACACCCCAAGTATCAGCGCACCCCATACAGATCATCCTTTGAGCCTCCCACTCCAACATTTCCACCTCTGGAGTCAAACAATAATGCAGACAATGCTGAAAACATCCATCCTTTGCACTTAAAATGCAGCTGTGTTTTGCCTTTGTTGTTGGCAGACTATCGGAGTAATAACCCTCATCCAGCATCTTGTGGGTTCTTAGATAAAAATGTTAGATTCTTGAATGAACCCATTTGTAATGTAAGTAATGAATTGGTTTGTAATATAATAGGATATTAATTTGTAAATGTAACTAATGAACACATTTATCATGTAAGTAATGTGCTTTGATCACATCTAACATGTTATGCATCAAATCACCATCTGGTGCTGCAATAGCAGCCAATCTGTCAGCCTGCTCCTTGCTCAACACAATTGCATATCCTGGAGAAAATATCCAAAGAATGCTAACTACAATTTTGTAGGTGAAATTTTTAAAACTTATGTCTTGTTTATCCACTTTTCAGAAATGTTGGAATTTACAGTTGTAAAAAAAAACCTGTTCATACCATTGCTTGATGTAACACATGTAGTTGGACCTACAGTTGTATGGACCATTAAGCACTTGCTTAGGGATGTAATTAACATTGTTAGGGCCACATTAACTTCCCAGAAAATTTCCTAGTGTCGGTTTAAGGCTGGGTCAATCTAGGAGCTAGATCAATTACAGTGCAGACTAGTTAGGGCAGTCTCGGATATGGCAAATTTTTGTTGTAAACAACAAATTTGTTTATCCCCGGCAATTTTTCTTGCTTGAACTCTTGCCAGGAAAAGAGGAATTTCTTATAAGAACCCTTTTCTTAGGTCGCTGCTAAAATATCCTTATCAGGTCTGCACTGTAAAAAAATCTAGCTCAGTAAACTATAAGTCCAGATCTTTTTGGAGGATTAAGGGGTCATTTTGTTCCAGTGTGATGACACGCTCTGGACTTCAGAACGTGTCTTTCCTCAAACTAAATTTTTTCTATGTATTTTTAAGTATACAGGAAAATATGTTGCTGGATATATCCTAAATCTAGGCCATCCAGAACAAAGCTAATTGATTTCGCTTTTGTGCTGTTGAAGTAAAATATCAGTGCCCTTGCTGAGTGTTTGAGGTGTCAGATAATTCAGATCAGGCGACCAAGTAGACTGGGTGGCTACAGTTGAATTTACTGACAACCTAACTTGAGATGTCAGACAGTTATCTTTGAAGACAGACCATCAGGGGCAGGCACCTCTGATAAAGTGATTATCTCCCCCTGAGATTAACCCACTTGAATGTAGGTCAGATGGCTACACCTGGGCGGTACTGCAGAGATCGTGTATTGCTCATTTAGCATGATCCCTCCCCTCTGTGCTGGGTTTATTTCAAAGGAGTAATATAAATTTTAAAAAAAAATAAAAAAAAAACAAGTACAGTACATTAACTTTTTCACTCCAAAACAACACATAGTCTGTGATGAGATAATTCTTGTGAGTCTTAGCCAGTGAATAATGTGCTTTTCTTTACATTTTACATTTGGTCAGAAAATCTGTCAACCCAAGTTGCTACTTTGCTATGTTTAGTCTCTGTCTAGTGTTCATAATTTGTGTCCCACTTGGGGAATTTGCTGCCAAATCTACTTTTAAAAAAAGCTAAAGATTTCTGACAATCAACTTCAAAATGTAACAGGTCTATACAGCGCCAGTTCACCATGAAGAAAAATACTGGTGGCCAGCAAGATCCAATCCAGGCAAGCTCAAGATTCCACCTTTCGCAGAAGAAACACACTACAGAATACATTACAACTGTCGACATGGTGAAAAGCCATCTGCTGCTGGCAGGCATACATCCTAATCCAAACAAAGAGCCTGCCCTTGGAACAGGTTGGATGTTGTTGTTGTTTTTTCAAGCTAAATTCTGGAAACTTACCTGGTTCTTTTTCGACGGTAACACACAACTTTTGCTTTGGTACAGTTCTCATCTAACTGTTATGCATTGTATTTGTGAGCATTGCATTTTGAAACCTAATTATCCTTATTACTACTACTATTACTGCTATTACTACTACTTCTGCTACTGCTGCTGCTCCTGGTGTTGCTGCTACTGCTACTGCTTCTTCTGCTTCTTCTTATTTATTCAGCATAGACGCCGACTTACTTTAGTGAATTTTAAGAAGTTATTTCATTAAATGTAAATCACACTGCAAACCCCAGTGTAAAAACATAAATGTCTATCAGAAGCAGTCACATTCATATACCAAAAACAAGTAAAACATAATGAAAGAACAAGCAAATACAGTAGTAGTAGTAGTAGAATGTTAAAGGTCATAACAACCTTTACCACCTGATTATTGAAAATGTGGAAAATACTTTATATCTATTCCTTATGGTATTAAATATACATTTTATTTCTCCTTTTCAAAAAACATTAGTTCCAGTCAACTTCTTAAGAGAAAGAGATGGAACTCAGAGATTCAATAAAGAATGTGTATCCTATGAACATATATACAACAGTCGGGCTAATCCGAACTATCCTGTCAGAGGAAAGGTATGCTATATAAATGTAACCTATACAGTTAAATACATATTAATTAATCCATAGCCTGCATTTTGTTTCCTGATAAATCACGAATATACATATACATATAATCTGGAGTCATATATATATATATGTATATATATATATATATATATACACACACACTTCATAGTTAACGCTTTCAGTCTGTAAAAAATCTTGACAAATGATCCTTGTCCAAATTTAATTTTTTTTTAAGCGCATTCTTATAATGCACAATTATAAAGACACCATGCCATCAAATAAACCCAACAAGCCTAGATCTCTGCATTAATGGGGCAAGAAAGTTAATTTTTGTCATAAATTCATTATGGCAAACAATGCAAAATGGTCACTCTTGCTACTACACAGATTAATTTCTTTTTCCAGCAAACTAAAGACTTATTTGTCTTTAATTTGTACTAGATAGTTAGTGGACTGGGGTTTGTCTCCTTCCCCCTCCACTCCCACTTTTTTAATTTATAATGTCACTACAGTAGTGACAAATTCACAGTTGTAGAGTAGCCTTTATGTGCGCCATTCATCCCTGTGATAATGTGTTCAAACATCCATCGAGGCAGATTTTTTTGCATTGCCTTTGTCTGCTAATCAACCCAAGCTACAAATGTGTACCAGAAAGTATACTGATAGTCTCATATTTATATAGACTAATCAATGCTAGATAAGTGATATGGCCAATAAATTTGGGATTTGATTACCAGATATGTGATGGGGCCAATAGAATGAGAATTTGATCACTAGATATGTGACATGGCCAAGAGAATGGGGATTTCATCACTAGATAGGTGATGCGGTCAATAAAATGAGAATTTGATCACTAGATATGTGACATGGCCAAGAGAATGGGGATTTCATCACTAGATAGGTGATGCGGTCAATAAAATGAGAATTTGATCACTAGACATGTGACGTGGCCAAGAGAATGGGGATTTCATCACTAGATAGGTGATGCGGTCAATAGAATGAGGATTTGAAAACTATATGGGAGATGTGGCCTGTAGAATGGGAATTTAAAAACTAGACTGGTCGTTTGTAGTTTACAGAATTACTATTTGATCACTAGGGATGGGTGATGTGAGCAATAGTAAACAGTGTTGAGGCCCAAATAGACCACAGTGGTCAATAGAAGGTTGCTGGAATTTTATCACTAGATGGGTGCTGTGGCCAGTAGTATGGGGATTTAATCATTAGATGGGTGCTGTGGTCAGTAGAATAGGGATTTCATCACTAGATGGGTAATGTAGCCAAAAGAAGGGGGATTTTATCACTAGATGGGTGATGTGGTCAGTAGAATTGGAATTTGATCGCTAGGTGGTGATGTGTTCAGTAGAAGGGGGATTTCATCACTAGATGGGTGATATGGTCAATTGAATGGGAATTTAATCAATAGATGGGTGATGTGGTCAACAGATAAGTGATATGGTCCGTATCATGCCAAACATGTTTACTTCCCAGATTGTTTCCTGGTACTTATTCTATACAACTGTAAATCAGACCTCATATCACTTTTTAAGAAATCTCCAACTTGAGAATGATTTCAAACTCTGTTGTTCGTTTAAATGTTTAATAACTTACTACAAGATGTAAGGGATTGTGATTGGGAGCAAGTAAACAGTGTGGAGGCACAAATAGACCACAGTGGTCTGAAGAGAAGGTTGCTGCTAAGATAAATCACGGGATCTGGCGGACACTGGCACTCAGGGGAGTGGGAAGATACACTTACACTCAGACTGTTGCTAGTGCTATCAAAATTGGAACTTTGTGTTTGCTGCTGAAGATGGAGATGAGGCGCTTATGGAAATGTCCTAAGTGTCGTGATATCTGTTCATAACTCGTAACTGCAAGTGAAGTATTTTACATGCAGCTGATCTCATTATCTACTAAATAGCCAGTTGTAAAAGATGTCTTTATTATTAAAGGTATGACTATAACGCATTTTATAATATTATTATTGCAGATGGTCATTTAAAATGTTGTCATATTTATTTCTCTAATAAAGCCACTGTGTCGCTGCAACACTTTCAATCACAAGAAGAAACGGCTGTTTCCCATGTTTGATTAGCAGAAGCATTAATCTTTGTGAAATGTCACAAATGCATAACGTTTTTATTGTATTGTTGCAAAAAGAAATATGAATATAATTAAAGCAGTTTAGTTCAAAATACTGTGTATTTACTGAAAATTATTAACACTGCATTCTATGTTTCCGTTTGCTTCATTGGTTTCATTTTCCTGACATTTTTGTTTTATTTGTTTGAATATTAAGTAGATTTTAGGTTACATAAACGATCTTTCCTTTAAAAGGCAGCATAGCATGCCACTTTTCATTTCTGTCGTGACTACTTTCCTTCTGCCTTCTGAAGACAGTGTCCATGTTTGACATTGACTATTATTTTTAACTGAGTATATTGGTATTACTAGGCCTCCTTATATCCCAGAGTTGTGTTTTCAGTTCTATAAGACTAAAAATGGTTGCTCTAGAGGTAGCATATAAACATTTTCATTTCTGTCGTGACTATTTTAAGGTGCTGACAGAGAAAACTCAGAAAATCAGTAAAATAAAATATGGAATAGCTTTTGAGCTAAGACATATGCTTCTGCTTTTGCAGACTTTATTCATTTCACAGGGTAGACTATTTTCATAAAATAATGAAAGGATAATATATACTGCTTCCTGATCCTGGAGTAGTGGATCTGATGCCCAGCCTTCACTGATGAGGGTGGAACCTTAAGGACCCTAATGCAGTTTTAAAATTATCTTATAGAGCAATCAGAAAGAGAAGATCTAACAGGGCACTGTCCATGTTCAATTTCAACAATTAAAAAGCTACCAAAAAAACAAAATATTTTTAGTATGTGTGACTCTCATATATATATATACATACACACATATAGGCTTACTCATTTGAATTCTTACCACAGCTGCAGAGCTCATGCACTGAGCTAAGATTCTCTTTGTGCGCTATATGAGATAAGACCAGAGGAGTAATGAAGTCACTTGTGTGCATTAAAATCATTAAAAGTGATCCTTAACCCACAATATTAGCCCTTTTGGTAAAATCCTATCAGACTGAGATTTTTACTTAGGTTTAGACGCTGCAAACGCATTTCGTAATTCCAGTATGCTGGGTTCAATCCCAACAGCAAATCACCTAGCATTGGTTTTGACAACTGACCATACAGAAAACAATGGCAAACTACTGAACATAAAATTGAACGAGTGAAATCACAAACAGTCGAAAAACTGGTAGGGCTGGTTCTACAACGTCCTGTAAAGGATATGCAACTAATTTCTTATAAGTTAAACAACTGGGTGCTAGTGGGTAGCAGTTTCATCCCTGTAAGCAAACAACGCAAACTTCAAGTTCTGGAATAAGCCGAAAGTCCAGATGTGGATAAACAACCAGAAAAGAATTTGTTTGCTGCAGTTAGCAGCCACTGAATGCTAAGTAGAAGAAGAACTTAAAGTACAATACTGCATTTAGAGGCCCTGTATCAAAGGTGCATTTCATTTGCTAATATAATTATATTGTTTATCTTATAATAATATAATGTTGTTATTATGTTTCCCACAGCGGCATGGAGCATTCGTATGGAAAAGGCTGGATCCAATCACCCAGAGGAAGTTTACTGAGTACTACGAAAGACTTAAGGAAGACGAGACAAGAGCTGGGGAAAATGGACGAAAAAGTCCATGTTCCAAGGAAGGCAGTATCCATGTTATCAGAAGTACCAATCACAAACTATTTGGAGAAAACTCACTTAAACAATAACAGTCTTTAAATGCTTACAAATGGGGAAATCTTCACATTTGGCGACACTGTTTTACATACCTTATGAAATCATATTTATGTATTCTGTAATCAGTTCTTTGCAAAGGTAATGTTACTAACTTACTAAAAAGCAATTTAATTTTTAGTTATTAGTACTAACATATCTTTACATATTGTTATGAGATGCGTTATAATTATTATCTTTTAGTTTTTAACATACAAAAATATTAGGAAATTGTTTCCTCTACTAAAGCCAGAAAAAGGAAGCAACTTATATAGAACAACACATCAGCTGAGAACTTGTGCATGTATCAGTACATGGCATTAGGCCCAATAGCAAAAGCCCAGGAGTCCTTGAATCGATCACAGTAACATATATCATCATTGGATATCATGCAAGATGCTCAGACGATTTGCCCTCTACACAACCATAGCTGCCCAGACTAATTGGCATGCAACAAATATGAAAGGAAACAAAAAGGAGAACTAGCTAACTTCACATTATCACAAACACAAATGACGTGTACGTTAAGCTTCGATATGAAAATTACATCTAGAGAGCCTTCATTAGCCAATCATATGAAAACACAATATCACAAACAGGAACAGGAATACACAGAATCGCTTAACTAATGTATCTCTGAGAGAAATTACACATCTGTCTGGCCACATGAATCTCTGGCATGTGTGTGACCACCGGAAATAAATACAAGCCAAAAAACAGCTGTAAATGGTAAGGGTCATAACTCAAAATATATTAGATAAAACTGTGTTAGATGTTAAGTTTTCTAGACGATTTGAAGCCCATTTGATAAACACTGGCATGTAGCATGATAAAAATGCCTTGTATCACAGGGTTTAATTTGTAGTATACCTTCAGTGATGTTAAATAGGAAAAGGATACAAAACTCAAGTGCCTGATAACATAATTATCATTTGTATATTTACTCACTGTAGACAAGCAATTTATTATGTAGACTCATGTAAGCCATGCTGTATTCTGTTATCTCGTTCACTTTGTCCCATTAATTCATTTTATTCCACTTAGTCATTTAATTTCAGTTCATCATCATTTCTCCTCCTTAACTATTGTCATCTCCAGAAGGTAATTGCTTTACATTCTGTTTTTAGAAAGACGTTGTTAAATTAACAGTACTGACTTTGCAGTTGAAACAAATTTCTGTTATAAGGGTTGAGAATTGCAAACTTTCTGCATGTCTTTTTCTGCATTTGAGTAGCGCTGAAATATATCTGCCTGTATTAGATTTCCTGTAGAAGTAGTAGTAGTAGTAGTTGCAGTACATTTTACCACACTAGGACATCACACAAGCGATAAACACCCGATGACACAAAGTGCCACCATGTGGATGAGGATCACCCATGGAGAGGTCCTGAAAACCGCGTTCAGCATTAGGCCATATTTATGGCCGGGCTTTATTGTTGCCCCTGTCAAGAGCCAGGATGGGGCTTTAAATAACAAAAAATTGCATTCCACAAAGGGATGATAAATGTTTTTTCCTGTAGTATGTACGCATATTCTTTCAAAAATATGTTAATTATAGTGAAACAAACTTAAAAAGAAAAAACAATTTAAATTATCTGTTAAACTTGTATTGTTTAAATATGTGCTTCCATTAGTTATCTCAAAGCATTCCACACAACAACAAAACTCCTTATTAATCATTCCATTTTACAAATGAAGTAAAACATATATTTAATATATTTTGTAATAAAGTTTACAAATTCTCCTTGAACGATAAAATGTATTTCATATATTTTGTGAATGTTACAAATTGTAACATATTTTGTACTAAAATTTACTAAGTCTGTTTAAGATATAACATATATTTCATATAACTTGTGCTAACTTTTACTAATTCTTTTTGAACAATAACATATTACCATGTCTTGTACTAAATGTCATTGACATGCCAGGCCTTAACTTCACCCAGTATTCTGTTCTCCACAAATATTTATGAATTATTTATTGAAAACTGTTTAAAATCAATAAAATAGTATTTGTTTCAGAAATGTGTAGTTTTACAAGTATGTGTACCTGGGTTCTTGTAAATGTGTTGTAAACAGTGTTTGTGATATTGCAACAGCTGAAAAGTTTTATGGGGGGAGTGAGGTAAAGAGAAAGATAAGTTTATTGATGGTCCGTTATCCAAACTGCAGATAGAGAAGACTGGTGACCTCTCTTGCAAACCTCTACACCCCAAGGTAGAAGAAGGTCGACTAAGTAAGTTAGTAAGATATTCTGTTATCACATTACTTAAACATATCAGAACATTATTTGAAACAGGCTATTATACATTGCCCAAAAAAAATTCAGTTCGGAGGAGCAGATGGATCACCACAGTCTGGTGAGACTGATGCAGCAGGGGGTAATGAGGGGTTCTGGCCGATGCTCGAGGCTAAGAGGAAAGGCAAGATGGATGTTTAATCAGAATGCTACTGGCACCATTAGTATTGGAATTCTGCACTGGCTGCTGAAGGGGACGGAGCGCTTATGGGAATGCCCCGAGTGCTGTGAGGTTGGTTCTTGAATCAACTCAACGAGAAATGTCAGGACAGTCACTGATATTATAGTTACAACACAAAGAAGTTGGAAAATTAGTATGCATTGCATGAGAAGTGGACAGGGACTTACTAAAGATGCACTGAAATAGGAAATAAATGACTGCCGGAGTGAGGACATCCAAAGAACCCCTAAAATAGATGCTGATGAAAGAGGCTAAACGTACAGGACAGGATTCCATCCGTGATATCATAAAAATTGCACTGATAGAACAGAATAGAGAAAATATACTGCAAGCCATATATGACAGATAATGGCGCTATAGGATGAAGATATACCTGAAGACAACTTGTCTCGCACATCACAGAGATGAAATCAGAATTTCTGGCTATATTATAAGAAAATAAAAGCTGGCAAGATTTTTGAAAAAAAAAAAAAAAAAAGAGAAGAGAGAGAGAGAGAGAGAGAGAGAGAGAGAGAGAGAGAGAGAGAGAGAGAGAGAGAGAGAGAGAGAAAGGGTTTGGCAGTAGGGTGAATATAATATGTTGAGCTGAAAACGGGACATTCCACCGATATTTTGGCTGAAAACGGGACATCATAAGCAAGTATATTTATCCCCTAACTCCCCTTTTTTATAGGGCACTGGAGTGAAAGGGCTAACTGCTCGATCATCCCTATTATTAAATACGAGCTATTGTCGCCAAGAAATATTGGAAACAATGTGCTCTTTAGTTGCACTAAAAAAAAAAAGTACGAAGAATATTTCCATCAACACATTTTGAGTCACTAAAGGAATCTAAAACTCATCATCATCATCATGTAGCAGGTCCTTTGCAGAACGTCGCTCTCATCACAGTCTGCCTGTAAGAAACTCGGTCTCTTGCCAGTTCTCCCGCCTCATGAACTTTCACACTCAAGGAGTCACTTATATCCTGTGCCCATCTTCGTGTCGGTCGGCCTCTGCCCCTCCTTCCTGGTACCATGCCTTCTGCTATAATTTTTCCCAATCCGTCGTGGCGCTTAATATGACCAAAATATTTCAGCTTTCGAGAAAGGATGCTGTTTATTAGAATCTAAAAGTACAAAATATAATAATGTCCACAGATATAAGTGTATGTTCTATTCTCAATCTAATTACTAGACTTTTATAAATCGGGACGAAATGCTTAGTACCAACAGGGCGGCTCGAACACACCCCAAAAAAACGTAACTGTTCCTGTGCCTTAGAATCCGACTGTCGGCTTCTGTGACTTAACGCGTTGCGAACATGCTTCATAGTTCCGTGATGCCTGGTTCGATTCCAGCTTTGGGTGATTTGGCAGTTGAATACTTTGCCTCGATTTCGACAATGGTATCAAAAACCGGCCGTTTTGAAGCAATAGCATAGTTGGTTAGTTGCGTATCCTTTACAGGACGTTGCAGAACCAACCCTAATAGCCCCTGGCTTTTATGTGGTTTATCTAGACAAATGTACGTCCAGTAGTTTACCATTGCTTTCTAGACGGTTGGATTTCTTGATATCACTGTCGAAACCACCGCAAGGCGCATGGCCCGCAGCTGGGATCGAACCCGGCATCCCGGTATTACGAAGCGTTAGCATCGACTTAGCCACAGAACAAACAATAGCATAGTACTTAACGTAATATTTTTTGTCTAGCAAGCAAAACAATCCCACCCCCCCCCCCCCCTTTTTTTTCATCCCCAAAAAAATTGCTGGCTTTGGTTCTGCAACGTTATGTAAAGGATTCGCGAATAACTGCACTATCCATTTAGCACAGTTTCAACGACTTCTGGGTACGTACTTACCTAATCGATAAGCAAAATAGCTATGGTTTTTACAAGGCTATTTTACTTTCAGTAGTCTGCCATTACCTCTTAATCGTCGGTTCTCAGGATCATTGTCGAAATCAACTTACACCAGTCTGCTGCAAAGTGGAAAAGAACCACGCATTTCAGGATTGTTCGCAGTATCTAAGCTAGAGGTGCCGACTTGTTATTTACACAAAAGCGTCTTATTCCATTCACTGTAAAAGACTTATTCACTTAAGTAAGTGTAGTCTCGTGCATTTTCATGCCGGAAAATAGGGCGGGGGGGGGTGTTAATGTCAGGTGTGCACTGCATTTTCAGTACCCCGCAACTCGCCATGCGTTTACCGAAGTAGCTTAGCGTGCTAAAACTTTTCTCATTGCCTTGCACCTTATTCGGATGTGGGCCTAGCTGTAACCAGCACTATCTAATGGCCAGACGTGCATCTAACAGCTGTAAAAGCCGCTTGCACTTTCCAATGGAAAGGAAAAATCCATTATTTTACTATTTATTGTTACTGCTTACTATTTGTTACAAATACGCCACTCGGCTTACGTCTCTCCGAATATGTAAAGCTTGTTAAAAGTATTAACAGCGAAAAGAAGACTCGCGGCATGCTGACGCTACTCATGAACTAACTTCTGAAAGCTACCGGTTACCAGTACTTCGATG